GAACCGTATTATCTATTGAGGAATATTATTTTTGTACTTTTGAGATTTTGAGAAAGTTAAAATAAGGTTAATATTGAATATATATATAAAATGCCAAACTAAAATGCTATTATATTTGTGCCTCAATTCTGTTCTGAGCATACAATGGAACATTATCAGTAAAATTATAATTACTTTATGAATTAAAAAAAAATATACAATAGATTTTTGTTGACTGAAATTAACATATTTTTCTTGTGTGATAGTAATTACTTTACAAAAGATCTATTGCAATGACATACATTTTACTTTGTAAAGTTAAATGTATGTGTGTAGATCCTTTTTCTGAGCTTAAAATGTCCCACCTCAAGACTCATTAGGAATTGTTTTTTGTTTTGTAGAACAAAGCAAATGAATGAAACAAAGTAAGATATATATTGACGATGTTTTAGCAGTTTTTGACATATTTAAGGGTTGCAGTGACTAGTAGATGGGACATGTTTTATTTGCGGGGTGGTGGCCCTCTGGTGGTCCTCCCTGGCATCTATTATCATTTTTAATCAAGATACAGGTCATCAGGAGGGATTCCTTAATTGGCATTCATAAAGAGTCTGAACAATTAACTCCTAAACTCATATTTTCTTTCTTTTGAATTTTTGTGAATTAAAATTTTTGATAATTTCTAGGAAGGATTTGATAAAATCAGATCAAATTTTAAGCCCCCAGTTAAGATCAAAAGTTGTTATCCATTATCCAACATAGAAAAGTGAAGATGAACTACATAGATCAGGAAATTCACTGTGCTAATACTTGGATGAAATTCCTCTTAAATGCAAACATGTATATCAGTATCACTGTCCATTAGTTACATCAGTGATCCAATTTAAGCATCTAAAAATCACCTAAAGTGCATTCCCTTCAAATATCAGCAAGAACACAGAACACTCACCTGCAGCCAAAACATGTTGTATCTATAAAAGACATAATTAATTAAAATTAAAAATGTTACAAAAATCATTACATTATAAATTTCAAACAAACAAAAAAGAAACAGAATGAAAAAAGTGTAATTACCTGTATGACAGACAATAGGATGACTGATAAATAAAACATCCACATCTTATCCATTGTTATTGTCTGCACTCAGGAGCTCATCTCAGGACTTCACAGGCTGAGCACTGTAAATTAGCTTCATGGGAACCAACCAGGACATCTTAAATGAGGACAGTTAAATGCCTGTGGGCTCCCTGTTTTCATGAGAAGGAAGTATGTGGCTTCTTAGGTGAAGGTGGGGGCACTTTCAATCCCCCACCCCATTACACTCAAACTTCCTTCATGTTCCAAGAATATTTCATTGCTCATAATGCAATCTGCACTGGACCAAAGAAGCTTTGAAAGCAAAAGTTGTAACACTGATTTTTCTCCAACTATGTGTATTTTTTAATAATGTTGATTTCATTGTTTAGAAAAGGGATTTTCCTGCAGAGGTAATATGATCTCCTTTGTCTGACATACTGAGTGATTGAAAAGTGACTAAAGTCCCCCTCGCCATATAGTTATCATGCATTATTGTATACTGGCTGCACTTATAGGGCCTGCCTTTTCCTGTTGCAGCACCATGAGACATTGAACTGAATTTGAATTGAATAGAATTTTTTTTTTTATTGAAATCTTTATTTTGAACATGCAAGAGAAAGTATATAAAAAATAAAATAAAACAATGTTTAAAAACATAGGAGGAAAAAAAACAACACATGAGCAGCAAACAAAGTACCCTTCTTTCTTGGGTTAACATACTTCTATCACATGTGCGAAAAGGAGTAGGAAGAAGTAAAACTTATGTACTCCTACCCCTTTAATTCTAACATTCCTTCAATTTACAATATTTATATTTATTATTATTATGTTGTTATATACATCTATATATATATATATATATATATATATATATATATATATATATATATATATATATATATACATTGTCAATACCCGAACAGCTGATTCCTGCAGGACCAGAGGTGCAGCTAGGGGAGATTGTATCATTCCCTTTAGGAAAAGTGTATTTGGTCATACTGCTTTTTCTGTTCTAGCTGCTGCTGAGTGGAACCTCACCCCCATAATTATCAGAAATATAAACACGTATAGTTCATTTAAGATTCAGTTAAGGAAATGGCTTATTGATCATCAGAGTTGTCAACATTAACTTATTACTACACATGCCCTTGATGCACACTGTTGACTTTTTTTTTTTCCTTATGTGTCATGGTTTTACGTGATGTTTGTCCGATTGTTGTTTTGATGTGTTTAGATTGTATATTTTAATATAATTGATATTTTACTAAATGTATCTTAATTTTTTAGTGCTATGTACTATGTAATCTTTTTTAGGGTGACTCTTAACATCTGTCTAGGGACTGCAGATGAAAAATAGCCTTTAGGCTAATTCTGGCATATTGACAGAAATGTTTATGAATATGCACTGTCCCTGTAATAAATAAATAAACAAAATAAACAAACATACATGCATATGTATACACATACACATGCATACATACATACATATACATATATATATGTATGTGCATACACATACATATATATACACATACACACACATATTTCTTTATATACACAATATTAAATTGACCACTGATAAGAATTTATTTATCTAACCTCGATTATGTACTTATTCAAACAGCAAAAAATACAACAAAAAAAACAAAACACTTCTACTTTTACAGTGCTTCTCGATACCTCCTGAAAATAATTAGACATTTGTGTCCACAGGTATTGGATGAATTGCTATGAAATTTGTGTCTCAGGATGAATTGTAATAACTTTGGTTACCCCCTATCTTTGCATCTAGCGCCATCAACAAAATTTCAATTTGTGTTCAATACTTTGGTTTATGATCAAATTCCAAAACTTATGACATTCCCATCAACATCAGCTGTTCTGAAACTTAGCAAATGTTAGCTTGCTAACAAACTTAACTAAGATGATGAACATTTTCAACACAGCATGTTAACATTTTCTTTGTGAGCATGTTGCCACTCTGGCATTAGCATTTAGCTGAAAGCATCATTGTCCTCAAGGACAGCCCCACAGAGCTGCTACCATGGCTGTAGACTCATAGTCTTGTTATCTGGTATATAATCTACAAAACAGTTTCTGATTGAGTTTAAAGTATAAATTTAAACCAGTTTATCCTGAAAAAAATATTTACAGATGGGAAGCTGGTGAGGAATCATATCCTTGCAGCACTACACACTATATATAATATATATATTACAATGTTTAGGATATACTATACTCTTAGGTTAATTTTCCAATAGAGCTTTGTCAATACTGTGTCTGAATTTAGTCATATTAATAAGCCATTAGAATTAGAATTTGCTTGCCGCTACAGTCATTGAAGAATTCTGGTATGTGGTATTTTCTTTTTTTTTTTTTATTTAATTTCGTAGCAATTTAATGATAAAATCACTCAACAATTCACATCTGGTCACAAGGGGAACATGGCATCTGAACTATGTACCTCAAATAAAAGCACATCTGTTAAAGAAGAAGAGTTGGAAATATTCAGTTCCTCTCAATGTGTATGTATTTTAGTGTGCAACGTAGAGCCACAGAATTAAATAATATATATATAGGTCATGTATCCAACCCCCCTGCACTGGCGACCTGTCCAGGGTGTACCGCGGGGTACACCCTGGACAGGTCGCGTCGCCTTTTGCCTGATGTAAGCTGGGATTGGCTCCAGCCCTGCCTGTACAAAGGATAAGAGGTTGATGATGGATGGAAGGATGGATGGATGGATGTATCCAACCCGACACACCTGAATGAAACATCTATATTTCGTAAAGAAAAACCCATACAAGATGATTGACGCCACACAGTGTTTCAATTCAAAAATGATGTGCTTTATTGTCGTTGTCTGTCAATGGAGAAAAAACAAATTCAATGAAAGCAGAGGTAACATTGAACTTATCTCCAGCAATCTGATCAGACGTATCATCCACAGGACATGCTGAGCATGACTCCAGGCTAACGAGATGGATACCTGCTGCCCTACTTTTAAGCAGCTTTACAACTCAGAGACATGTCATAAGACTGCCCTATGGAGGTCTTTTACTTGGAGAAGTATTTTAAATGTATTTTGTCTTAAAATGGATATTGCCATGATACATATATGTGGGCTTTCACTGTAAAGTTTCTATTCCTGTTTCTTTTTAATTTTTACTAGATGTCATTACATGTTGAGGTTACATCAAGGCTCAACATGAAAGGGTAACTGAATTGATTAAACATGAGGAATTGCAAAGCAGAAATTAAAATAACATGCAGTCTACTATGACAATTTGCAATATGGAGAATATCATTCAAATACATTGGATAAATGTCCACAGTTATTTATTTAACCCCCCCTTTTATATATTTCATTGTTTTAATTTAGTGTAATTTAGCTTTTATTTATGCATTTTTTGTTCAGAGGAAACAGTTTGTCAGACTCTATACAGCTTACAGCAGAGATACCCTAGCCCTAAATAAGAGTGATATTTCATCTGGGTATATTGGATCTTTATGGTTGCCGTTGGTGTACACACATTCCTCTGTCCATTTTGGGTAGTTGATGGTGATGGCAGATGTTCACTGTAGGGCAAGAAAGATGAGAGAGAGAAATTAGTAGCCTGGACTTGGTCATTAACAATATCTCATCATAGCTTTAGTGCTAATTCATCATACTAGTAAGTGGTCGTTCTTTGTTAAACTTTAGCTTTTTCATACTGAGTCTGGGGCTGTTAAATATCTATCACTTTGGAGCCACTCATCACAGGCAAAAAGATTTCCGTGTCACATTCCTCCCATTCTTCTTTCCATTTTTATAGTCCCAGAGGTAAAAACAGATAGAGATCAGCCTCACCTGTGCTGGTCTATATGCTCTCTCTCTCTCTGCTTCTTTTATCTGTAGGAAGCATAACACAGTAATAACAATAATAACAATAAACTTACCACAATTAATCCACACTTCGTTTTCCGCGAGAGATCACTAAAGAAGGACAGAGACATGAGATTCCGATGGTGTATTTTTGGTGTAAATATTCTTATTGGCTTTCTTGCCAAGAGTTAGATGAGAAGATCGATATCATTCTCATGTTGGTACGGTAAATGTGAAGCTACAGCTGGTTAGCTTAGATTAGCTTAGCATAATGACTGGAAATTCAATTGGAGTAGAATCAATCTTCTTGTCTAACTCTTGTCAAGATACAAATAAGTTTATTTAACAAAAGGTCAAATTATTCCTTAAACTACTGCAAAACAAAATGTTTACAGTTTAGAGCAGTGGTTCTCAAACTTTTTCTTGTCAAGGACCTCTAAACTGACACAAATTGATAATGATAAGATTTTGTCCCACGGTCTCCCATCTGAAAGGATTCTTTTCTTTATATTTTTTATTACAGATAGTGTATACAAACCATCACCGAAATAGTCATACAGTTTTTTCATTGTGTTACTTATGGATGGAATGTTTAGTGAAAATAAATGATTCATCTTTTTGCTGGGGACCCCCTGGAGCCCCCTCACTGGGGTCCCCGAACCCCACTTTGAGAACCACTGGTTTAGAGGAAACTTACCCATGCCAATATTAATTCCTGGGCAGGGAACTGAGAATATGACAAAAATAAACACATTAATGCAGCTGTTACCAAAAATCATACACATACTATAAGAACAAATGAAAATGTATGCTTTTAATTATTTCAGAGTAAAGACATTCCATCTGCTCTATGACTCACCCGAGTATGTCCTGGGTTGACAAAAGCTGACTTTGATCCCATTTTGTCCAACTGGTGTGGCCACTACTGTGTAGACGTCCCCACATGTTTCCTCCTGGATATCACAGTACATGTTGCCGGGAGCTGCGATACAGGAGTAGTTGGCTCCTGTCCCATACAGCTCTACTGTGTGGTTCTGAATCTGAGGGCCCAAAGAGAGCCAGTACACCCTGAGGGACTGGTTGGCCCTGCGATAGAGCTTGACATTTGTTGGACAACAGGCACCTGCCATAATGAGAGGATAAGTTTTTTGGTGTCCATGTCAAGGACCATACTGGTGGTTGTGGATGTTTTAGACCATTAACTACAAACTACATCACCACTGACTGTTTCCAAAACTAGTTTTAGTCCTATGTATGTGTTGATTTCCCTAGATTTATGTAGTGCTGCAGCTAATGATTCTTTCCATTATTAAATAAACCAGATTAAACCAGATTAAATTATAATTAAGAAAGATTATTGAAATCTTTCATAAGCAAGCAGATCAATAATAAAAAGAGAACATAATATTAGTGAAAATACAATACAGGACATCATTATGCTAACTAGTCAGTTACTAAGTTACTAAAAACATACTACAGTGAATCATGCAATACACAACATTCAAAGCAATAAAACGAGAAATGTTAATGTTGATATAAATATACACTAAACAATACAACACTGTGCAACATTATCACATTAACTGTTTTGTTTAGGAAACAGGGAAAAATAGGGAAAGTTCCCAGATAGATATTAAATTTAAAGTAGCCAATCTTCACATTTAAGAAGCTAGAACGAGGACTGTTTGGCATTTACGCTTCATACATGACTTTAACAATAAATTGATTATTAAAATGTTTGCAACTTGTTTTTCTTTCAGCCAACTAAGTTTAAATTTTCAGCTCTACGTTCTTTGGACAATATGTTTGCAGGTACGTGTGAATTTCTGCTCAATTATTCCAAACCACTGTTCTGATCCCTTAAAGTTACAGAAACATATCGTTTTACATCAATTGTCCCACCTTATCATTCACCCCTCACCTCACACTCTCAAATAGGCACCTGTATGTATATTTTTGTGTGTGTGTACATGTATGTATGTATCCTCACTTGATGAGAATCCACGATATCTGCACTCTGACTTGTATCCTGTGCTGCTGATGGCTTCCAGGATGACGCTGTAGGTGGTGCCACAGGTGATGCATCCCATCAGGCAGTGGGTGTCCAGGGTGTGACACTTGGCGTAGCCGCGTGAGGACATCAGGGTGGTGATGTAGGAGCGAGCTCCTCCACCAGGTGCCCAGGTCACGTTGGTCATAGCCTGGGTGACCTGGGTGACATTAATAGACACGGGGCAGCAAGGACCTGGGTGAGTAAAATGCAGAACAATAATCAATACTTGTGTGTATCCATGTATAATAAGAATATTTTTACTTGGTATGACTTGATCATACCTGTTTCCAAAGGTTTACTGTATCCAGGTAGACTTCTCCCCACAGATGTGGTGGCCACTGCCGTGACCTCATAGGTTGACCCACAGGGCAGCTGTGTGAGCTCACAGGAGTTATTTCTCGCGTTGCAAGTGTGTATGTCATAGCGTCCAATGGCAGTGATGGTATAATTTGTGTTGAGGGTGTTGGGGGTAGTGAAGAGGACACGGTATATGGAGCTGTTGGTTTGTGTCATACTCAGGATCTCCGGGGCACACGGAGCTGCAGCACAACAGACATGAAATTGACTTTTCATACAATGAACACACACGTTCATGCCACAGAGTGAGACTTTAATTTTAATTAGTTTAACATTTTGGGAAATATGATGATTCACCTTCTTGCAAAGAGATACATGAGAATATTGTCAGTGTCAGTTTGGTAAATATGAAGCTACCATCAGCAGCTTGTTAACTTACCTTAGCACAAAAAACTGGAAACAGCTAGTCTGTCTTTTTCTAAAGGTAACAAAATCCACCTACTGACACCTTTAAAGCTCAGTGATAAACACATCACATCTTAGTTGTTTAAGACATACAAAATAAAAATTAAAAAACGACACATTGGTATTAGATTTTGTTCCGTTTGGACACAGCCAGGCTAGCTGTTTGTACTATAAGCTAAGCTAACCAGCTGTTGGCTATAGTTTCATATTTATCATACAGACATAAGAGTTTTTAGAAAGAAAGCAACAAGGCATGTTTCCCAAAACGTCACATGTTTGATATTTAATCTCAAAGGATTCCCAGCCTTCACTCGCTTGTGTGTATGTGGATAAATGTGTATTTATGATGTGATATGTCATTCTTCATCAAACCTTGTGTATCAATACCTGTCTCACGTGTTTGTGGTGTGCAGGTAAGGTTGCATCCTCGTAAGTCGCTGCATGGTGTGACAGTCACAGAATAAGCTGTGTTGCACTTCAAATCAGACAGCGCACACACGGGTGCCGTGTCATTACAGTGGATGACATCATTAGTCTGTGCTGCTGTTGTCTCATATAACTCGGCCCCTTTGACTGGTGACCACATGATCTCCAGGGTCTCTGTAGAAACTAGGTTTATGGTAACATCCTGTGGGCAACAAGGAACTGGGGGAGTGGCGGGAAGAACAAATGCAAAAATATGTGAGAATCATAATCAACATTGTGCAAAGGACCATACTGATGGTTTTACATGTTTTAAAATTATGTTCTACCTTTTTGGCAGTCAACTTGCGGGTACTTGATACTTAGGTGGTCCATCACTTTGCTTTTTTCCCCTCAAATATATGTTTGTATTGTATACAGTTGTGAGCATTCGCTACTTTTTTATAGCAAATCACAAAAGGCACAGGTGTAAATAAGAATATGGGCTAAGTTTCATGTGTCCTGGAATGCCATGCCAGTGTGCTTAATACCATGAAAATGATATTATGAAAGAAGTAGCACACTTAAATGGAATACAGTAATTAAATGGTATTACTTACACCTGTGGTTTTCCCGTCATGGCATATCAAAATACTTTTGCATGCATAGTTTTACAACAATGACATTGTGGAGTAATCAGGAAAGCTGTCAGCCAGTTCCCAAAAATCCTTGCAGCCATGAGCAGTGATGTCAGGAAATCAAACCAAAAGAAGTAGGGTATGAAAAGGATAATGTTACAGAAGCCCCAAGTGGCCAAACATTCATACATTTTATTTACTTCATTTTCCCTTGACAAAAAGTTAATTTAATTTGTTTTCTCAAGATCTTGCATCATTATCTCGAAATAACATATTGGGATATAATGACATAATTAATTCAAGATATTGAGAAAACAAAACAATAGTGTAATACATGAGTCCACAAGTATGTTTGGCATCAGGCAAATTTTTTAAGGATAATTTGATTGTCAGTGTCACTGGTTAGCTCAGTCAGTAGAGCATGGTATGCTCAATGTAAAAGCGAGTGGGGAACAAACACACAACCCTTATATTGAGAGTCCTGCGTTCTAAAATTGATGCCAAATTTACTTGCCAACACCTGTACTACACTATCGTTTTGTTTTCTTGAGATCTATAATTAATAATTATGATTAATTATGTCATAATCATGATTAATTATGTCATTATCTCGGGAAAACAGAGTTTCTTTATCTCGAGATCTCAAGAAAATGATCCCGTTATCACTGGTTAACAGAGTAAATAAAATGTATAAATGTATTGCTGCTCAAGGCTTCCGTATAATGTGGATTTGAGGTGTTTCTTAAAATGGTGCTGGGAAGGTTAGTTTAACGGTCTTTCTGGATGAGTGGATTAGCACATGACAAAAGGATTTCTTTGTCAACTCAATATGTCAGACTTAATGTTTATTGGTCTGAACCAAGCCCATATCTAAAGCAAGTTTCATGACCTGCAACTTAATTTTCATGTGGCAGTGCAACGCCACTCACAGCGTGTGTTCTACTAATAAAAAAGACAACGACACTTAAATGTAGTGTTATGTTACTTTCGATAATTGTTGGTTGTAACGGAAAGTACACACGATGTGAAGTTATAAGGCTAAAACATACAAAACCACTAGTATGATCCTTTGATTTGATAACAAAAACATGTATTGGTGGTGTGTCTGGTCCTACTGGTGGTGTAATTGCGAACAGGAGCGACAGGGCTGGAGCCGGCCTGGTTGTAGGGGAAGACAGTGGTGAGGTAGGTGTAGCCACACATGCAGAAAAATGGGCAAGTGGTTCCAGTGGTGTTACATGACTTCTCTGTCCCGTCGTCCCTCTTTATGAAGGCCATGTAGAACTCCACCAGTGGCACCTTATCCCACACCACAGAGCAGTTGCCTGCTTTGGATTCCTCCACCCAGATGTTCTCTGGGGGACAGGGATCTGTCACAGACAGAGGTTAAGAAAAAAATTAAAATGGACATCACTTTTTTAAGGAATGGTTTGACATTTTGTGAAATATCCTTTTTTGATTTCTTGCTGAGAGTTAGATGAGAAGATTGATACCACTCTCATTTCTGTATGGTAAATATGAAGTTACTGCTAGGAGATGGTTAGCTTAGCTTATCATAATGACTGGAAACTGGCTCTGGTCAAAAGTAACAAAATCTATCTAACAGCACCTCTAAACCACACCAAATTACATGTTCTAGTTTGTTTAATCTGTACAAAAATCTAAATGTACAAATTACACATTGTAGTTTTATATTAAGTTATGGTGAGTATTTCTTAGCCAGGAGCGTTCACTTTTGTGATTAAACTAACAGGATATAATTTGTTGTGAGTTTTAGAGGTGCTGGTAAATTTAGTTGAATATGAACCAGGCTAGCTGTTTCCATCTGATTCCAGATTTTGTGCTAAGCTAAGCTAACCGGGTGCTGGCTATAGCTTCATATTGACTATATATTTTCGTAATTCCCACAATGTCAAACTGTTTTAACATGTAGGATTTTGTGTCTGATATGTGGCTGTAGTTGTGTGTGATATACCCACATGTAATGTAGTCTATTGGTTGCGAGGGTCTGCTGGGACCTGCTTGGTTAAAAGCTATGACAGAGACAGAGTGGTTCTGGCCACACTCCACAGGTGCAATAAAACAGTTACTATTAGCTGCTGAAGTACAGTTTTGGCCATTAGTGGTCCAAGCTATGTAGTTGTCAGCTCCTTGCGCTAACTCCCAGTACACAGCAACACCAAGAGATCGACCCTGAGTCACCTGGACGAGGGTCACATCTGGGCTGCCAGGACCTGGAAATGAAACCGGAAGTAAATTAGTAACAAGATCACCTACATTCATGTTACCGCCAACTTACCTATTGGGTTTGTGCATTATAAGTAAAAATTGGTCTACTGTAGGTTTTCTTTCACATTCTCATCAACCTAATTCTTATTATGCTTACGTGTGATCTGACTGACAGTGAGGTCGTCTCCAGCTCGACCATCAGAGTCCCAGGCTGTGCCCTTGATAAAGTAGTTAGTCCCTGCTTCAAGGTTATTAAAGGTCACTGTGGTGTCAGTGGTGTTCAGTTTGAAGCGGGAGCTGGAGCCCTCTTGGATAAGGCAGAGCGTGTAGAGGACGGCGTGCTCAACCGGGGTCCAAGTCACAATGATGGTGCCATTGTTAGGGGAGGTGGTGTTCAATGTGGGTGCCTTTATCACTACAAGCAGGTGCAGGTAGAGAGTAATGAGGGATAATGAGAAAAGAATTAAAATGGACAAACACACAGATTAGTTAACTTGGTGTGAAATAGAAACAATTTTGCTTATGTGTCCCTTATGTGATTATGTTACAGTCACTTCTCCTGCAGGAATGGAGAGAACCTAGTTCTCATGGTTTTGCTTTTCATATTATGAGAACAGTACAGTGCAGAGGGGTGGATACAGTTTCCACCCTCCTGCGTTGGATGCAAAAGGTAGATACTCTGTGACAATGGATGGTGAAATGACACACTGTTATCGCCGGCGGAGTGTGATAAAAAGCTATTGTCCAACAGGAACAACAGCCAGGTTGCATTTCACTCTTTATACACTGATTACCATCTTGAGAGTAAACTTCCTGTGATGTGTAGTGTTGTTACAGAATATTAGTAATAATACTCTAAGTCTTCATGGTAAAAATCACAAATATGTGGTGTTAATGAGTGTTGTTACATGAAGGTTTCAATCATCTATCACTCTCTGAAATTCTGCAGCCACAGTATAAAGTGTATTTAAGACTCTAGCATTACACTTTTTTTCCATACCTGTTCGAGCATTGACGGGGTATGAGGGCTGACTCCTCCCCCCAGAGTTGACAGACATGACACTCATGCTGTAGACTGTGTAGGGCTGGAGCTGCACCACAGTACCCGGGGAGCCGGTCACCACGGTCTCAGAGAAGAAATTACCAACCTCCGACTCTGCCCTCAGGATGTAGCTAGTTGCCCCTGAAACCTCTGTGAACTCCACAGTGATGCTGTCGCTGTGTTTGGAGTAGGCCTGTTTAATGCTTGGGACGTCAGGAGCTGGAGAATAAATGATGGAATCAAATTAGACAGAGGACTATTTCTCTGTTTTTTTATTATATAATAATAGTTTGTAAATGTATTGGTGGAATGTAACAAAGTACACCTACTCTACTACTTTGCTGAAATACTGTTTACTTTTTTGAGCAGTTTCTTCTTATGATGCTTCAAATCTACAACATTTAAGAAACCCCTAAGAGTCCCTTAAAAAAATTACACATTTGTCCCTAATGACAAAAAATGCTGTAAAAATATCATAAATTAATATTTTATATTATAAGAGTCAGTCCTCTTAAGCTACTTAAGCCTGAAATATACATATCATACATTAATTATATTTTTGGGATTTTAACACTTTAAATGCCATATCTCCACTGTTTTTTTTTATTGAAAAAAAAAATAATAATAATTTCCATAAAATACAATTCAAAGAGTATTTGCATTGTTATTTTCATTCAAGTTCATAATCTTAGCTTATAATGATATATAATCATTTACAGATCGTCCTGTGTGCTGTCTTGCCATCTCCGAAATAACTACTCCCACACTAAGTTACTGCTCATACTTACACTAATAGGTACACCTGTTCAATTGTTTATCAACACAAATAGTTGATCAGCCAATAACATGGCAGCAACTTAATGCATTTAGGCATGTAGACGTGGTCGAGACAACTTGCTGAAGTTCAAACCGAGCATCAGAATGGGGAAGAAAGGAGATTTAAGTGACTTAGAACGTGGCATGGTTGTTGGTGCCATTCGGGCACATTTTCGAGTGGCCTTTTATTGTGGCCAGCCTAAGGCACACCTGTGCAATACCCATGCTGTCTGATCAGCATCCTGATATGCCACACCTATGAGGTGGATGGATTATCTCGGCAAATGAGAAGTGCTCACTAACACAGATTTTGACAGATTTCTTTTCAACAATATTTGAGAGAAATAGGCCTTTTGTGCATATAGAGAAAGTCTTAGATCTTGAGTTCAACTCATGATGAATGGGGGCAAAAATAAAAGTGTTGCGTTTATAATTTTGTTAAGTGTATATTCGACACAGCCAAAATGGTTTGAAAATAAAAAACTGAATGGCACAAAATGTACCCAGGAACTCTTAAGGGTTAAGAAAGAAATGTTGTACTTTTTACTCCACTACATTTATGATATGTCCACAAGTCTCTTTACAGATTAAGATATGCAAAATATGAGAAAATCTTATAATTAGGGGTGCATCTAACTTGGTTTTCCATGTCGCTTAATTGTTTGGTCTGTTAAACTTTGAAATAAGTGAGAACAGTTTCCCAGAGCCCAAGTTGATAACCAACCATCCAAAACCCAAGGTTATTCAGTTCATACCACGGGGGCCAGTGGATGGTTGGCAATACATCATATTTTTTAGAGCTTAAACGATTATTGGTTGACAGATTAATTTTCATTCAATCAATAATAATTTAAGCTAAAAAAACATGACGTATCGCTTTACATTAACTACTTGATGTAAGTAGTTAAAATAAGTTCCACCTCAACCAGCTGAAAGATCAAAATGCTACTTCCAACACTGATAATTATCAATATACAAATCTAATAACATATTAAAAAATGACATTTATTGAGGCCTTTCTGCCTCCTTAACGAGTACTTTTACTTTTGATACTTTAAGTACATTAAGATTATAATACAGAGGTGTGTTTACTTAAGTAACACTTTGAATGCAAGATTTTCACTTGTAGTGGAGTATTTACACATAAATTGCTACTTCTACGTAAGTAAAGAATCTGAGGACTTCTACTACTGTAGAAACGTGAGATACATGAAGTGCTGTCAGGTGCAGCCAAATTTATGTCTTCATGGAGTCAGTTTCCTCCTTTACCTGTCCTTGCTGCTGTTACTGACCTGTTGTCTCCTCTGTCTCTGCGCTGCTGAGGACATTGAGTGCATTGTCCATAGCTTCTAGCTGCATGGTGTAAACTGTGTTTGGCGACAGGGAGTTGACTGAGCCCATCACGGTGCTGCCACCGAACTGAGCAAAGACGGATTGTTTTGGAGAGTTCTTGGGTGTTGCTGTGATCTTGTAGGAGCTGGCACCAGTTTGGCCACTCCACTGCACCGTCATACTCTTAGATGTGACGGTAAATACTGACAAAGTGATGCCTGAAGTAGATAGAGAAGAAAAGAATGAGACATTCAAAAAATAAATTGCCTGATGCCATTAAAATATGATAAAAAATAGAATAATATTGGTGCCATAATCTGATTTTTTGGGGGGGGGGGACTTTTCAAAGAAATTTCCATTTCAAATTATTTGTTTGGGAAGTGTCTAAATGTAAATGTAAAAGAAGATAATTTACCATTTTGAGCAGCACACATCTGAAAATGACAAAACATGGCACGTTAACAAGGAAATAACTTGATGATAAATGACAGTAAATACAGCGTTTTCATGACAAGGACATCATTCCAAGGGTAGCAAGCTATTGGTATTTCACATTATATCCTGAGACAAATTATGCCCTGTATCATATTCCTGGAGCATCAGAGGCAGCAGGCTGCACATTACCCTCACTCAACACAGATTTCAGGACTGGTCAGTGCAGGTATTTCTTTCAGGTCGGAATGAATTTGTCTATTGAGCTAAGGTTGGGCATGCCACACACACTTGTTGAAAGCAGTGACACTCAAAAGAGCCTGTGTGTTTCAAAAGTCCTCCCACTGTTATTTATCTGGATATATAAAATGTGCACTATATCAATGTCAGCTACTGAACACTGATGATGTTAAAATAGTTATTTGAATAGAAAACCAGTGCACAGAGAGAAAATGATTATCTCTTACCTCTGTGAAGGTCAATAAAAGCAAAAGTTTAAGAATCTTTAACTGTGTTTTCCGCATGCCTGCAGCTTTTTCCTGCTGAGCCTGAAGGCAAGATGTATGAAGCTGTTTCTCAAAACAACTTCAGGGAAACTGCTCAGGATTAATTGTGACTTATTTCTTTTTTTTCTGTGTCTCTCTCTCCCTCCCTCTCGCTCTGTTCTCAGATGAAGCGACAGGTCCCTTATTGTTTCAGCGAATACCTAAAGAGTCCAAATGCTGTATCTCCTCCCCTCAGGGGTGCTTGGGTGGCCTATCAGAGCGAGAGGAGGAAGCTCACCTTTGTTAGATGAGGATGTAGATTATTGCAATTATAAATGCAACCATGAGAAACCAAAGGTACCACTCTGATATCCCTGTTGAGAAATATGCAACCCCACACCTAACACAAAAAGATTACTTGATACAAGTGATGATCTATTTCTATTGCTTGGTGTGTCTGAAAGGAAGTTTTTTGGCCTGTTTAAGGTTTCCTAACAATTTGATTTCTCATGGTTTCCAAATCCATTGTATCGTGTGAAACCTCTTTTTGAAAGCAGTAAGTCATTTTGTCCTAAATTTTTCAATGCCTGAAGAAACACACATCTATCAACACAAGATTTAGTGTAGCATATACAGTAGATAGTATAGCATCTGCAATTGATAGTATTTTAACTAAGACAGTTGCTGAAGTGCCCTGGGATGTGGTCTATACAACATATGTGTTTGTTTTCTCTGATATAGATGCAGAGTCAATTGAGGTCAGTTTCACTACACCACAATGCTGACAAACAAATCAAACTAGCATAAACAAGCTGGTTTATGTAACCACATACAACATACATAGAATGAGTGTACTTGCAAATAGTAACAGTTACAGTGACAAAGGCAAGGCAAGCTTACAACAATAACCATTCTTCCCCAGTGGCCGAGTATCTGCGTATTATGAAGTGGGTGGGGGCTGGGAGGATCGACCAGCTATGGACAAACTCTTTTGTGCATAAAGGTCAAAAGGAGGGAAGAGATCGAATCTAATTTGACACAGATGAGATAATCACCATTTTCCCAAAAGTTTAAAGAACAAAAAGTAACAGTGTCAGATTTTCTTCTCTTTCAGACACAACAAAAAAGAAGGATATTTACCGCCAAGTTAGGAGTCTCCCGCATTTCTCCACACTCTTTATTTTCTGTAGTGTGTCAAACGACACAATGTAATACTTACATTTATTTGATGATAAGTAATTTTAAATTTTATCAAAAAGATTGAATTATAATTATTAAATTAATTTGATAAAATTGTATATAAAAATATAAAATAATTAGATAATTAAATAACATCAACTCAATTGAAATAATTAAATATAATTACAAGAAATTAGTAACGTTTAATACAAAATTTAACAAATAAGTTACGTAGATTATCATAGGTTAAGATAAAATATGAAATAAGATTCATCACTGTGGAGTTCACAGAGGATACAGGTGTGAAATTCAATATTAATTATCACCAATAGTACTTCTTCCACCACTATTATGTATGTAGCCTATGTATGTATATTTATGTGTTATGTAATCATGTTTATTTTGAACAAACAAATGAAACTAGGTTTCAGCAATAATGATGATTTATTGCTTCAAACTGAACAAATTCAAAAGACATTTTAAATACAGTATTGTATGGAAATTATTGAACACAAATTTGTGCTGTTATACACTTCACATGATGGTAAGTCTTACTGTGTGTGTGCTGCAGATGTATTACTTGCACTTGCATGCATGTGTGCAGTGTCTTCCAGTCCTTTTTGGGTCAAAAGACATCACAGCACTTCTTTTTGATATTGGCTACAACCTAGAATGTATGAATATGTATGTATGATATGGAGTGGAGTCTTATACAGTATGTATGAATACATACTGTATAAGACTCCACCATCACAATATTAATATGGCTTTATAATACTTTTACTGCATAAAACTGTCAGCCATTTGTTCTTAATTCACTTAAACAAAAGTAAGTAATAGGTTAGTGATAATGAACACTCTCAGGTTGTACACATTACTTGTTTACATTACTTCATTTAGCTGAAGCTTTTATCCAAAGCGATTTACAATTGCTAAGTATATCAGAGGTATAAACTAGGGGGTTAAGTGTCTTGCACAGGGACACATTGGTGGATGTGTGGGGAATTGAACCCAGGTCTCTCACACTGAAGGCCTGTGTTTTAACCACTGCCCCATCACCACCCCAATGGCAATGGCTTGACCTAAGCCATGGGCTGACCATGATGAGCAGGATTTCCTTCTTTTTGAGGAAGAAGACCTAGCTTCTCCGCTTCAGGGGTAACGATGTGCCTGCTGGTCACTGTTATCCTCTCAATGATCTGCCCAGTTTTCCAAGTGTGTGGAAACTCAGCCACACAGGAAGAAGGCCTTGAGATTCCTGACCTACATCAACAATTGGGTGATTCTCACTGTGTCCAGGCAGGAGGTGGAAGCCCATACCCTGCTGGATTATGCTGCCAGTTGGGCTTCACCACCAATCGCAGCAAGAGTGCCTTCCAACCAAGCCAGCTGATGCCAGACCTCGGGCTGCTCTTGGACTTCCACACCATAACTGCACACCTGTCAAAGCAACAACATCCCGGAAGCCCTCAACACGGGGTCAGAGAGGATGTCAAGAGGGGGTCCACTTGAGAAGGACTGGAGCCTCTCTCCAGACAAAGTCGCACAGCTCTGGCAATGGATCAGAGAATCGAATTGGACAACCGGTGGCTGATCGTTTCCACTTTGGTTCTACCTGAGGCTAATTGATGCCCCGCCCTTAGGGGGTAGATGCGTTAGCTCACCCGGTCTGGCCTACTGGCCTGCTATATGTAAGCAGCATCTGTCATGATAATGGTGACACTGGAGAGCCTGGGTGGCCAGCATAGACAGTATATTACTGGACGAAGCCACCCCGCTGATTTGAATGGAGAGCAGTGAAGCCAGTTTTGGACCAATAAAATACAACTACAGGGCCACTTCCTGTTGGCACCAGCGTCTACTGCGCATGATCGCGCTGCATAACTGTGGTTTAATGATGTAGAACAACTGCAGAAACACCGTAATTCTGGTAGCTGTATAAATGCGCAACAAAAAGTGTTTGTCTGACTTGGATCGTCACTGTTTAATCAGCCCACCTACAAGGTTCACCTGTCAAACACCAAAGCAGCGTCTCTGATTACTCTGATAGTTTTTTTTTGATTGCAGAGAGTTTCTAATCTAAGCAATATGGTTACATCTCTCATGTGCGACGGGGTGTCACAGGGTCATTTTTGGGCCTACATGGATCCCTCCATGCAGGCTTTGGTCGGCTTCACTGTCCGATCTCTGGCTTTAGTACTAGTAGGTAGTTTCCAAGCCGTGGTGGGTCTGTGGCCTGTAGGGTATCTTTCTACAGTTCTACATCAGGCAGAGGGCACTGTCTTCTCGCAACTGATCCTCGGATGGCCCTAGGAGCCATAATTTTGTGAAGCATGTTCTATGGGGGTCCAAAGGTTGAGGCCCCCTACTTGTTGCCTGGTTTCTTAGTGGGACCTCCAAGCAGTGTTGGACAGCCTTGCGGGGCCACTCTTTAATCAGCTGGGTCAGGTGGACCTGGAGGGTTTGTCTCTTAATACGGTGCTCCTCTTAGCTTTGGTGTTGGCCAAGAAGGCAGGGGATCTCAGTGCCAGTGCATCCCTCCTGCATGTCTGTCAGTGATGACAGGGGATCAGTGGAGCTGCATTTCCAAAAGTTTGCCAAAAGTTATCACTTCATCCTTGAGATGACTCTTTTGAGTCATTCGCCTGAAGGCATTCTTCCCCCCTCCTCAGGCGAGTCGAGTCGAGTTGAATATAGATTATAGATAGAATATAGATTGCTAAGTGACCAAAAGGTTGGATCTTAGGTGACGGAGAGGACTCTGAGAGTTCAGGAGTGGAAAGAGAATGGGAAAGGTGTGCTTAAATACTGGAAATGGGATGTGTTTGATACGTGGTCCTCGTTCCTAGTTATAAAATTTCATTTAAAGAGAGGCAATGAATGACCACAATATCCGGTTGCAGGTCTATTAGCCCTTAGACCCTTCCTTCAAATAAAGACATGAATATCATAAGGATCTCTGATATTAGTCATCTGATCATCACAAAGAGGTAAAATAACAAGAGTTTTCCATGTGTATGTGATATTCCAATTACTCAATAATGAGTTCTCTAGCATCCCTTATTAGGGGTCCAAGCCCAAGTGGGCTGGGAACCCGCGAATGCAAGGCATCGCGGTTCCCAATACCAGCGGAGCTGGGAACCCTATTGTAATCGTTCTCAATTTTATTTATTTATTTATTTTTTATTCTTCCGCCACTAATTCCACTACTGCAGCCTAGACTGTAACTGCTAGGGATGCGAAACTCATAGGGTAGGTACAAGCCCCTGCAAGTAACTCAGGCGCAAAAATCTGCAAACTTCTACCTCTAGGGGGCGCTATAAGCAAGGTCAACGAGTTTGGCCTTGGAACTCCCGCCTATGAAAGGCGGATATCAAAAACCTTATATCCACGCGTTCGGGGGATCGAGCTGAATCTCCTGGTATAGGCCGCGCCCATTTCCGCCTAAACTTCTCATGTACAATTTATATAAAAAAAGATCGATACTTGACGTTCGTGTTACGATACGATATTGCCTTGCAAAATATCGCGATACTATGCTATACCCACCCCTAGTGTACTGGGTAGCTAACAGTTAGGATGCAGGTAAAATAAAAAGGTGACAAGTGTTAAGATAAAGTTTAAGGTTGTTGCTTCCCTACTAAGTGACATTGAATGGTTTGACTGATGACGCCTGATAACTAAAGGTCATACTAAACAAGGGTCTGAGCAATATTTTGAGCTGTTTTGATGTAATATTTGCCTTATATTAAAATACTCATGTTAGAAAAGAATTTTATCTACTATAGGGGATATAATTTCTTCACTTTCTTCAAAGAATAAAGGAGCCTTAAAGACTTCAAATCATAATATAATGGCATTCAATATAAATAAAATGCTGCTAATCAACAAAAATATCAATTTGTTTTAAAAACAACCCTCAAAGATTAAACAAAACCGGTGAGATTATAAAATCCAAATTGTATTTTCACAGTGTGATTTCAGACTTTTATGCATATTAAAAATTTACAAGCATGTACAAAGGCAACAACTTAACACAAACAGGTCCTTAAATAACTCAAAATCCAACAAAGATATATTCTACATAGTCATCAGTATCAGGTATTATAAGGGCTAGCAGATTGATGATTACAGATCTGGACCCTGATTGTTATGCTTGGTATTTCCTGCCCCCTTGTGGCTGCATCTTGAGCACTTTCCTGTGGAGTTGAGCCTTGGCCAGGTCAGCTGACAGTCTCTTGGCCATTTGGTCAGTGGTCCTCTTAATACTGCGGGCCACCTCAATAGCCTGGTCTAGATTCCTGTTCATTTCTTCCTCCTAGAAAACAACAGGAAACTTTCCAGTGAGCTGACCATGAAGCAGATACACAGCAGATGTCCTTGTACACAGGGAGCAATTTCAGTATAGTCGGCACACATGCATGTGGAAAGACATCTCACCTTGTTCCCCTTGCGTCTGCCTGTCCTGATGCCAGTCTTTGTGGGCACCGATACTGGAGACATTGTCCGCTGGAAGTACACATTACTGGGCAGGAGTGCCGTGTCTGACTGGGTAGAGTGCTTTCTTTGATGGCACGTGGACTGCAGTGGTCGCTCCCTGACTTTAAAGCTGGATTTGAGGATAGAGAGCGAGAAATCACGATTCCGCTTTAATAGAATTATATAACTCACTAACTTTTTTTTTGGAAACTCAAACTGCTAATAATCAATCAATCAATCAATCAAACTTTATTTCTAAAGCACATTTAAAAAACAACCAGGTTGACCAAAGTGCTGTACATTGACATGAAACAATAAATAGACAAAAATACAACACCAGACAAATACAACATACAGTTCTCATGCCAGATTAAAAGCCAAGGAATAAAAATGTGTTTTAAGTCGTGATTTAAAAACCGGCAGGCTTGGGGCCAGTCTGACATGGAGAGACAATACATTCCACACAGACTGTCTGTTTCAGTAAGGGATGTGTTTTGAGTTATCATAAGATGTGTTTACCTGGCAGGCAGGCTGCTGGAGGAGCCATAGCTGACCTGGAGAAGGGGCTTCTGAAGAGACGGAGAAGAGAAAAGAGACCACCTCTCCTTGCAGTACAAACTCTCCATGACAGCTGCTGACCATGAAAACACGACACAACAACTTGTACAAAGATAAAATACAATACTACATATATTATAATTTTTTGTTGTTACAATTTAGGCTTTTTATGATGAATCGTAATGTACTGTCTGCCTGCTGTTTATGTCCAGGCTGTTACCCTTGTGGTTTTCAAGTAGATGCTCTGGAACTAATTTGTCTATTATGGAAAAAGTAAGTTGACATCTGCCATGTGTAAATTGACAACAAAATGTTGACCTTGTAAACATGGAATCACTCACTTTGTGGTCTCTGCTTGGTATGGCTGTCAGAAGCCTCCTCTTTCCCTCCTTTTAAAATGGATCTGGTCAGACCAGACGTTGTCACTGAGCCATGTCCCTCTGACCCTGACAGAGTATAACACACATGCTGTCCCATTTTGGATGCAATATCCCCATGTAAATGATAAACATAAAAAAAGAAACAATTTGGGTGTGTACTTTACTGTAAAAAATAGCTATGGCTCTGACCTCTGCTGGACTGCAGTGCCCCCTGAAGTTTATATCGAAACTCAGGTGCCGAGCGTACACTGCTGCTGCCTCGCCTGTCCCATACAGGTGAATTGTGGAACTGCAACATGTTCTCAGAGCCAGCTGTGTCACCACTGTCTGTCCCTGAAGAGAAAATGATAAAAAAAAACATAGTAGACAATGAAGGAAATACACAGACATAGATGTAGAAACACACTTTGAAAATGTTTTGCTTCAATTAGCTTATTAGCATGTTTTGGTGGTGGTGGTGGTGGTACCTTTGCTCTTGCCGGGGTCCATGTCTGAAGAGATCCAGTTATCTATCCACACCTGACTGGAACTGAGATTGCTCACATTCTGTCTGCTACTCGATGGCTTCCACACACTAGATGTAAGAATAAAATATAAAAAGGGTCACAATAACAACTGTATCATGAGTAAAAAAGAACATGACCGGACTTTGAATGCCTATCCTGGACTTTTAGATGAAAGCATCTGTATTTCTCATGCAAGCTTTTCACTAGAGCTGAAACAATTAGTCGATTAATCAATGGTTTATTTAAGGGAAAATCATTTTTTGATATTTTGATAATCGATTTATTGTTAAAGTCATTTATCAACCAAAAAAAAGAAAAGAAAAATGCTACAATTTCCCAGCTTCTCAAATGGGAGGTTTTGGATGAAGGTTCTCAGTCATCCAGGTCATAGTGTATATCAGTGTATATCACTTTAAACGGAATATCTTTTGATTTTGGTAAAACGAAACAAAACCTTTGGTAAAAAAAAAAAAAAACATTTGAAAACATCAACTTGGACTCTTGGCATTGGACAACTTGGACAATTGGCATGTTTAAATATTTTTCAATTAATAATCGTAAATAGCAACCAAATATCACTGTACACCCCAGCAATGCCGGTTGTCCTTCAAGTCCTCCACTAATACCAGCAGGATCACTGCCCCACCTGTTGCAGGCTGGTCTGTGGTGGGTCCGGGATTTGGTTTTTGACCTGCGCTCCTGACGATCCTGTCTGTATTTGGAGGTGAGATAGTCCATCTTCTCTGTCAGGTGAGGCAGCTGGACCAAGCCCTCCTCAAGGTCCTTCTTCAGCCTGGATACCTCTGACTGCAAGGCCAGGATAGCCTCACTACACACACACACACACACACACACACACACACACACACACACACACACACACACACACACACACACAGATATTCACTGTGTAAATAGTGAAAATTAGAATAAACTGTTTAAAGTTCTAGTTTTCAGCAGTGTGGCAGTCAACCACCAAAACTGGTTGCTCCTTAGCATATACTGGCCTATTACAAGAGCAGGAGTACAGCGGTCTGCCTCTCTCTTCCGTAGTCATGGTGATGCCGAGTACAGGTTCAGACATGTGGTGATGGAGCTGGGCAGGAAGGCTGCATTCAGATCCTGTTTGGTCAGTGGTGAATAAGTTGTCATCATTTCAGTATTGACCAGTTACGATGAAATAAAAAGAGAACTTCTTGATGATGAAGTAAGGATTTGCTCACCCTGCAGCCTGACTGAAGGCTCCTTAGTGGTGCTCTCTACCCACCGCTCCACTGCCGCTGCTGTAACACAGGACTGTGTTTGCACAGATGGGTGGGGACGAGCCCACTGTGGGCTGGTGAGGCTGACTGAATGGATGGCTGTCTGCAGGTTGGAGCAGGAGCCCTCACTGTCTGAGCTACTTAAACCATCATTCTGGGACTGCACACTGTAGATGGGAGTTTCAAACTCGAGTTATTGTTAAATTAGATCCGTGTTATATGCACATAGTAGCCGTCGTTCGGTAATCTACTGGAGCTCATTTTACAAACTACTTCAAAAAATATTTTATTGTTGCCGTCTACCTTTGTGTGAGCAGATTTTGTTGAAATGGTCCAGAAGCTGATTGATTCAAATAGGAACTCCCAAATCCACTGTCTGTCTCTGGGCTCACAATCCTCTGCACCCCAGAAAAAACAAAACAATCAGTTCAAATAAAGTAGCCTATGAATCCTACACACCACTGTAACTTAAACAGCATCCCTGAAAATCTGTTGTATATCAAACATTACATGATAAACTAAGATGGGGGGCTTGGAAGACTCCACAGTGGTATATGAGCAGAGACTAAACTCATCAAACAACTATTGTCTGTGACTGACCTGTGATACAGATGAGGTGTTGAGTGGAGACTCTGAGAGGCTGTGGGTGGCTGAGTCTCGGGGTGCATCAGGGGAAGAGGAGACCTCCACAGCCAGACTCACACATTCACCCAGATCACATTTACCCACTGGGCTCAGGAAACTATCTGGAGCACTATGACTGCAGCAACAACAATAACAAGTGAGAAATTTAAATGTTTGTGTGGTGGAGATGAGGGGAATTTAAGTAGTATTTTAAGAGCATGACCTGAAAAGCATTGCATGATAAAGGTAACTCCTCTTGGTACAGCACATGCTTTATATTTATGGACTGACAATACATACAGTATGTAAAAGTAGGTCTCTTACACTGTGATAGGATTTCTTGTATGAGCCATTAATTAATTAAGAGCAAACCACTAAATAGAAGCAACAACGGAGAGTCAGTTGAGTCACAGTTAGCGCTTTTATATGGACTTTGATATCATACTGACCTGTCGGGTGTCCATTGCCTCTGTCTTGAGGATGAGCTGGTTCCACTTAAGTATGCTAAGATGTTACTGTCATCTATCAGCTCTGACAAAGCAGAGCTCCTTTCCTCTTCAGCCTCAGCTGTCTGGATTTCCAGACCCTCCAAAGACAACAATGAGCTCCTGAAACTGGACAGAGAAGAAAACCTGCACACAGCTGCTCAAACACTCAGTGGAACCTAACACCAACAGTGCACCTGAAATGCTATCAGCCTGTAGGAAGGCTGAGACTATACCTATTATTCGTGCACCAACACACATGCAAGCACCACAAACATTTCAAAAGCTATCCACAATGGTGACAATAAAACATACACAACAGTGGTGTATTATATTTATGTATCTAAGCCAGAACATCTACTTAAATTATAGAATCCACGACAGAATCCGAATCAGACCAAACATTGCGCTACATAACAAAAGAGAAATATTACTTGAGCTTTTAAAACATTTAAACAAGTACCTTGAATGGCGGCAGTCAGTTGTTATGCGTTCACCGCTTCGCTGTAATCCATCACCTCGATGGACCTCATTGGCTTGTTCCACTTCTTTTTCTTTACGTGTCTCCATCTTGTAACCCGCAATAGAAAAACCTGCACTTAGTCCCTGAAACATGAGACCCAGTCAGATAATTTGCGGTTAGTGTAATCTTACACACACATACCAACACACACTCATTTCCTCCAAGAGAGAATTGATCACAAATTATGAATGCAGGGCGTGGATGCTACAAATGAGCTTCTACCGGTCCAGGCTGGAGTATCTCATATTAACATAAGAAATATTGGATTGAGACATTTTGACGGTATCAAAATGTCATGATTCATCTGTGGGGAGCACAAATATCTGTACCAAATTTCATGGTGATTCATCCAATAGTTGTCAAAGCATTTCACTCCGAAAATGTCAACCTTCTGATGTTGAAATATTTCAGTTTAAACTAACCTGTTAAAGTATAAACCAGGAAATAAGAAACAATGTTATTAAAGCAAAACTTAAATGAAATATACAGTGTAAATTAGGTAATTTAAACACTATAAATAATCAGAACACACAACACTATATATCCAAAAAATTGATAGATATATCAATATGTCCTGCTGACAATTTCAACCAATGTATATTTGAAACCTGCATTTTCATAGTATGTAGGCGTCAGTTCTACTGGTTGTGATAACTTTTTTATAAAAAGGCTTGGACAGACACAGAGGGGCAATGTCACAATAAAAGGGTATGTTTTAACATTTTAGCTAATAGTTAGGATGCAGGTAAAACCATTTTAACTGTAAAATAGCTCCATCACGCTGAGGAGTAGAGGGAAAATTTAGGCATAATGATGACATATTGTTTAATCACTGCACAGCAACGTTTATTAATGTCTTTTTATATTACTGAATCAATACAAAGCCACAATCCCAGAGTTCTTAATGATATCATTATAATGTGTAATGTTCTAGAATTCTACCGGAGTACATAAACTGTCTGTCAGCAGTTCGATATCAGCACTTCCACAAAGCAAACCTACAGGTCTTCATTACAGACACTTATTGTAAGACATAGCTCTCATTAAGTTATAGTACAGACAAGCATTTTCAGTGACCTAACTAAAAATATCAGAAAATGGAGGATTTGAGGAGCCACGAGCACATCGTGGACCTCTTCCAGATGTATGAGAATGAGTTCAGGGTCCTTTGCAGTGACCACAATGACCTCTAACTGGAAAACACGGAGATAAAACTGCACTACAAAAATAAGCTCACAGCAGAGAGGAAGAATAAAGTATCCCTGCATCAAGAAATTGACAAACTGATGAAAAAGCTTCAGAGAGTTTACACCGCTGAGCGCTGACAAGGTGACCAGTGTGAAGGTGGTCTCCTTAGCCGTGGAGTCACCTGGTCAAAACCTTACAGAGCTCAACACCAGCTCCAGATGGAAGTAGAGAAAAAGAGGTGGGGCGAGGGCAGAGGCCAAAGCAAGTAAGGCTATTGACGTTGCAGATGAACTTATGCAGAAACTGGAGGAGATGCATAACATGAGCCCTCAGTTACAGACCAAATGCTCTATGCTGAACTTAAAACAAAGGTGAAAGACCACCACCTGGAAATTCTGGAGCTGAAACAGCTCCTTCAGATGGAAACAGAATTAAGGGTCCAGACAGAGGCAGACACATTTATGGCGGTCAAGGTGGCAGAGGCACTTTGTAAAGAAGTAGAGCATAAACAAAGGGTCCTCGAGGTCTCAAAGAGGTGCTCTGATAACAAGAAGAGCATCGAGGACGTGGCCAACAGGTACATGGCAGAGAAGAAGGAAAAGGATGGTCTCCAACAGGAAATTGTGGAGCTGCTCAAGAAGCAAAACATCCTGACGCACCAGAACGAGACAGCCAAGAATTGGCAGCTGAAAAGAGTGCCAGAGCACCATTTAGCTATAAGGCAAAATACAATTGCCATCAGGCTGGAAATGGAAGAAAAGAAGGAGAAAGTTCTCTTCCTCGACATATTGTGGCTCATTCAAATGCTCAAGAAAGAGATGGAGTTGAGGCAGAAACTAACCACTGAAGTTGGGGAGGTCAATTAACTGAAAATACAAAGTGTGCCCAAGGTCCCAGAAAGATAAAGCAAAGTCAGCTGGCACTAGAGTGACAAGACCTGTCAACTGAGCATTGACCCCCTTTATTGTTTATCGTTCGTCACTCTTTTGACTTGACTTTTCTTGAATAAACAAATGTGAAATCTTTGAAATGATAAAGTGGCTTTATAGTTTGATCTTTGTAGGAAAGTACAAAATAAATGGCACCACAGTGAACACTCTAGCAGCAGGGATAGCTGTTTGAGACAAAACAGCTGTGTTTGATCCACAGTTATTTTTATATTGCTGTATTTGCTGGTCCACAATCTAAAAATAAATAAATCACTATCATTTAGTAACACAAGTTATGCTATGGCAACTTAACAGTGAGTTTATTATATCATTCACTTTTTTGACCATTAAGATCATAAATGTCTGTACAAAACTTTAAAACAATCTGTCCAATGTTTGTTGAGATATCTCACTGTGGACAAAGTGATGGAACGCCCCGTCGCTAGAGTGGCGAAAAATTGTGAAGGTTAGTGAGTGTTGTGAGTGAGGCGATGGGTGTATTGTTGATTACCTCATGCAGCGATGGTGGAGGTGAGGGTGCGGGCATGCAGAGAGGACTGGACTGTACATGCAGCATGTCTTTCATGGGTGCGGGAGTGGAGGATGAGTGGGGTGGAGAAATCTGCTCACACACGTTTTTGTCTATCATGTCCTTTATGTCCTCAAGGTGCATCCCTATCCTGAATATGTCTCCCTCCACCAGCCTGCACGTTTTAACACACACACACACACACACACACACACACACATACATGAATGGACCAATTAACATGATACATGTTCACATGTGTGCAGTAGTGAGGTCTCTTTAACCTGTTTGGGTCAAAGGTGCCAGTGTTCCTGGACAGGCCCATGTAGTTTTGCATCTCCAGAGCTCTGTGCTCTTCCTTCTTACTGATGTATTTTCTTTCCAGCTGGTCCTGAGCCTCCATAATGCTCCTCAACATCTAACAATACATACATTTTACATGAATGCACATGAAGACGAAAGAGGGGTAAGAAAAAAACTACTGCTCTCAGAAATTATAATGCATCTCAGACATAAAATCAAGTTATTCTGAGTATTGAACTAGATATAGGAAGTAAACAATTCATACCATTTGCTGTTCTGCTGTGCTCACTGACATGTTGCTTACACTCCATTTGAGTTCCTCTACCTGAATAGAAGGTTCATAAATGGTTTTAGATGTGCATTTAATGGTACCTAAATCCTGACACATATGTAAACTTACCTTCTCCATGAACTGGTTGATGATGTCTTTAAGCTCAACAGTCATTATTTCCCCATCACTGGGACCCACTTCATGCTGGCTGGAGGAAGCTGTGTTCGCCTCCTTAATGTTGCTATGGGTGGTTGTTTCTCCTTTTTCACCAAGGTTTTCTAAAAACAAAGCAAGACCTCAGTGATACAGCCTGAACATATTAGCAAAATTATCCTTGATATGGAGTGTCTGATTGGTACGGAAAAGTGAAATCAAAAGATTAAGAAACTAAGCGTAACTAATTTTTTATATTTTCAGCATAAACATGCAAAGAATTTGTTATTTGTGTTTTGTGAACAATAAAAATTGCACATGATGCATACAGTTAAGAGAGTTCTATGATATAGAAATCAAAAAGTGATTTATTTTAGTTTGGTTAGGTTGTCCAGTTCACAGCCGTTGCTTTCTACCTAATAAAAGTGCTCCAAAAGCAAAGAAAAGATGTTTGTGCAACTAGAATAGTGTCATCTGACCCCATTAGTCTCCATGGAAACAGGTTGCACTTCACAGCGCAATTTGCAGGTAGTGAAGCATAGCGTCTACCTGTCATAATATCAGATGTCAGACACAGAGACGTATCTGATGGGGGAAGGTGAGGAGCCAAGGATCCAAGATGGCTTCCCTCAAATACAGGTTGAGGATTTCCCTTATGGTCATCATCACACTCTAAGTCAAGCATCAAATCTGAGGAGGGCTGAGTCTGTGAAACGAGAGACACATATTTGAAACTTGCATTGAAAATATGACATTATGAAATTATAACTGATTTCTCACACGCCTACTTACGTTGGTCCCTAGTCTCATTTGATCTATAAGGTTCTCTGCCTCAGCATATTTGGTTAGTAATTTATCATATTCAGCCTGAAGAAATATGGAACGAGACAAATGTTAGTCCTATGTCCTATACACAGCACTTATATTTATTACTATTTGAGGATATACAAGTAAAAGAAACCAAAAGGTGTAGGTAGAGGAGCACTGTGAAGAGTAAATTCAGAATGCTTTCTACCTGCAGGTGATGCACTAGTGCTGGAGGAGTCTCTTTGTCCTCGTCTTTGAAGATGTAGGGCTTCTCTGATGGCTGGACTGCATCCTCCAGGACTCTGCTGATCACCTCTAACATCACCGGAGAGGGCTGGGCTCTGTGCATGGTGGTGGGGCTCTGAGGGACAGGTCTGGCTGGACCACTTGGAGCTTTGGGGATTTTCACCCTGGGGGCAACCTTGGAGAAATCCGGGAGTTTGTAATGGACTTGGCCTTGGCCATACTTCATCTCGCTGAAGGACCTGGTGCGCACAAGTGGGGCTCTCTGAACCTGATCTTCCTCTTCTGCCCTTTCCTGCTTCACTACATCTACGGCACTTGTATCCTCACTGCAGTGTTTTGAGTTTATACTTGCAGAGCTGGATGTAATGCTGTCAGTAGCAGCAGAGATGACATTATCAATTTCCCTTTCTGCTTCTTCATCTTCTCTGGATACTGTATTACTCTTTTCATCAGTCCTGTCACAGCAGATAATCAGATTTTTCTCAGAATTATAAGCAGGGCTCTCTGAGCGGTTACTATTAAGTGTTGTGGTCTTTTGTGTTGGAGCCCAGCTATAAACTGTGTCATCCACGCTCTCTAGCAGGGATACCTCCGGCAGGGTCTCCGCCTCAATCAGCCTACCCGTCCACAGCAACTCCTCCTGAGAGAAGTGTCGCAGCAACAACTGGTTAATGTCTTCCGGGTAGGGGCATGACGGAGCAACTTCGCTTGGCTTGGAAGCATCAAACAAGTTGTCCTGTTTGGTGTTGGCATCCTCCTGCGACAAAGTTGCTGGTTTCTCAGCGGAAACCAAGTGTTCAATGGTATCATCTCTATCTCTTGTATGACATTCAAGCAAACCAGGAACATTTGGACTAGCATGGACAGTTTCTCTTCCATCAGAGCTCATACTGCTCTCAGAGTTAGCTGCCTGGTTGAAGTACAGGCTTCCAAGGTCACCATCGTAAGGTAGGTCATCCTGATCCTCATCACTTGTATTTTGCTCTGGGTCCTCATACCTCTGGTTTAAGGGGATCTCATCTTGCATGGTGTTTGGTCTTTGTGCAGACACATGCAATATGCTGCTGCTGCTGGTCTTGCTCCCTACCACCCTCTCACTCTGACTGCTGACAATACTAGACTCTGACGAGGTGACATCCAAGGGAGACAGCTCTGCGCTCCCTGCTAATTACAGATCACCAACAACATAAATACCTATTTAGAGGGTTGTATAGATTCTTTAAGCCTCAGTCTTTGCATTTATGTGTCAATGACAGTTTCAATTTACTTTGCGACTGTGCCAACATTACATGTATACTGTTTGCCTAACTATTCAGTCACATTACATGTCACCAGAAAAGAATGGAAGCGGCCAAAAAATATTATTATTAGATTTCCCTCATTACTGTTGTATCACATTAACAGTGCACCACAAAGTCTTTCCCCTTGTTTTCAAATTGAAATGCATGTCCAAACCTACAATCACCACTAATGATCTGTGAGAAAAACTATTGCTTGAATGCAAACTTTGCTACACATGTGTTATAACACTATATCGAATTATTCAGACAGTGTGATGTATGGTTCAGAAAAAGCTCCTCGACTCCAGGACTTACCACTGAGATGGATGCTGGCCTCAGAAGCAGCAGACTCTGCCTGGGACAGATGTAAAGCTAAGGAGCTTTCCAAATCACTCAAGTGGAGACTTTCATCCTCACTTAGATCAACAAAGATACTCTGCTGAATGCACTTCTCCCAAAGCACAGTGGGTTTGTCCTCTCTCTGAACCTCCTCATCGGATTCCTCTGGATCTCCCTCCATGGCCACTTTAGCAGAAAATGCTACAACCTCTCTTCACCTGTTAAGACAGGGGGCTAAGAAAAGAGGATGGCGCACCTGTTCATCACTTAGCAACGCAACTTGTGAGATGACAACATTGGATGAAAATGTGTAAAGCTGTAAATTATTAATGCATTGTGTGGGCAGAGGTTTGTGTGAGATACCTGTGTCAGGTGTTAGCGTGAGTGATGTTTATGGGTGAAAGAATCTGTGAGAAACAGAGGAACAAGTTTACATAAATAAAAGTAATTAAAAATATTCCATTACAAGTAAAAGTTCTGCATTTTAAATCTTAGTTAAGTGAAAGTGTTGTCAGTATCTATCAGCATAAAGGCCCCTGTCAGTGTTATATTAGGCTATTATAAAAATGATATGCTTGTAGTAGTATTATTATGCATTCATCAACACGTTAGTAGTACGTTAATGTCGATGGTTGAGGGAGTTAATATTGTGTAATAATGTTGAGTAGTTTAATCTATAACATTGCATCGTATTTTATAAGCTTATATGTTTTGCATGTAAAGTATAGTAGCTACATCTGTCAAATAAATGCAATAAAGTAAAAGTACAATATTAACGTACTTGCTTTCTTTCCACCGCTAGTAAGTTAAAGACGTGTGTGTATTGTGAAACATAGGCTACAACACTGTAGAGTCAGACTGTCAGAAAAGCTATTTCAAAATTCAGTTTGAGTAAGTTTATTCTGTGCTAAATGTTCAGTCTCATGTTGTGATGTTGTGGCGGTAACTTACTGGGGTTTTGAACTGGTCCTTCAGCAGTACGACGTTAGTTTCAAGTTGTTCCAATCCACGGCCACGTTAGCTACAGTGTTACGGTCTTTTTTTCTTTACATATGGCTTCCCGGACAGGTTTATTTTCTGTGGCATCATTAATAATGTAGCCAGTCTAACACGGCAGCGCTGAGCGTCTGGAGCCGGACTGGCAGCTGTACAGGCAGAGTCTGGGTGCTAGGTAACGGTGGACAATTGACCTCAGTAATTTACTTATTTTAAGTAAAGTACTTTACGTTTTACATCTTTAAAGAGGACCGAGTAAGGGGGAATTTACGACCTCACCTCCTTTAACGATATACATACTTTGTGCTTAATTTACAAAAGGTTTATAAAGGTGTGTGACATTTTCATAAATGATAGTCTTAAGCTACTACTGACAGATAAATAATGACAACACGTCATGTCTTTTCTATTCAAATCCATTGGTCCAATAACTGTAGTTGGGGGCGTGGTTATCTTTGAATGTCGCCCTCTGATTGGCTACTTGGCGAAAACACATACGCTAGTGCAGCCGTAAGGCTTTACTTTTTTCTCATAGAAGTTAAAATCCAAGTTTTATAAAAGTTAAAGGATAATGTAGTGTTAGGCTGGATATAATACAGTATATAAATACACTACAGCCATCCGTTTTTTCAAACGGACCTAGGTTTTTATTCTTGTGAGAAAGTAAAGAAGAGGAGAAGTATCCGTTGTTCGAACTGGATCGTCTAACGTAAGTTTAGAAGCTAACATGCTAACTAGCTAATCTTTATCTGGATGTGATACTGTAACCGGAGAGAGATGAATTCACTGCCCGAGTTTGTGGCTTCGAGCTGGCGTTAAACTTCTGGTAGTAGTGCCATCATGTAAATGTGGTGTTTGTAGTCCTCTCTTTCAAGCATCCTCATGGAAGAGTAGCGCTAAAATCTGTCTGAATAGAGCTCACACTGACAGGAATGTGTCCATTGTCGAGTTAGCTAAATTAAGCAGAAGTTCAACTGTCAACGTTACTGATCAGTATCTCGGAATTCGGATTAGTGGTGTTGTAGTTTGTTTTTATTATTGGTATCATATGAAACATCTGTAAGAATTACAAACATAGCTTACACTTAGCTAAAACTAAAATGTTTAGTTTTTGCTGAAACTGTTTTAGAAAGGTGTTTATTCATGTATTTTGGAGGCTATAGATGGAGGTTGCTGTTGAAATGTATTATACAGGGGAACTGTATATGATATTTTGTCTTCCTTCATTTAGTGTTATTTATTAGGAATACCTGGTTTATTATGTAGGCCCTACTAGCAAAAGAAATGTATATATGTATGCAGTATGTGTACCCAATAAACTGGCGACTGAGCATGTCATCTAGTGTACTAAACCAACAAGTCAAGTTTATTGTTATATCAGGTCTGTATCATAGTGTTCATAATCATGAAAGGTAAAATACACAAGTGTTCATACACAAACATAAATAACAATGTACTGCACCATTTCATTTAGATGTAAAGTTATTCATGATCACAACACTTTTCCTTGCAGGCTTTCCAGATATCCTGTTCCTGTGAGGAAGAATTACCGGTCAGTATCCCATTACTTAATGTAGTTTCTTCTTTTTGTTTTGGTGTAGGTTTCTGCTGACTCATGGTGTAATGCCGAGTGGTGTTTCCATATTTAGATTCTGCTGTCAGTGCCAGTAGTCATTTTACCACATCAATGGGCTGTAAGCACAAAGAAAATAGATGCAGTGTGTTTAAGATGAAATCATGTCCAAGAGTCAGTGATTACCTCCTGTGAAGCTGTCATTTAAAAACAACCTCTTGTTTCCTTTGATGTGCCTTAAGTCATCACTTCTTCCTCTTACACTGTTGTTCATGCTCACTGTAGCTTTGCGAGCAGAAAATGTCTCTCTTAAACACAGCCAGTTGGCATACAGTGGTGGAAAAGGCTGCACGAACACTGGCACACACTAATGGGTGATTATAATAATGAGCAGGAACACGAGTGCTGCACCGACTTCCAAAGCCCCGCTTAGATTGTGTTATAACAGTTCACACAGCAGCAAGCAGAACAAGGTGTGCAAAGAGATGATTTTATTCTACTCTTTTTTTTTTTTTTTACCTTTTCAGACAGGTTGACATTACATAGGCATTCCATATATATGTATGGACACATGCCTTTGGTGTGAGAGAGGTGTGCGACCTCTAACATGTATAGCAATTGTAAGTTGCTTTGGATAAAAGCGTCAGCTGAATGAATAAATGTAAGTTGTTGCAAAACAGTTGCGTCATTGCTGTTTTGGATGTCATCTGTTTGAAAGATTTGCAACTAACTATCTGACTATATCTGACAATATTTTGATATGATTATAATTATTAATATTATTAAACTTATACATTCTTCTACAGGTTACTTTTTTGGAGGGGGGGGCAACATAAGGAGGCAATTTAGCATACCACTTGCCTATATATATATATATAAAGAACACAGAAGTGGTCACGTACAATGCCTGATTTACATTACATTACAGTCATTTAGCTGATTTTTTTATCCAAGCACGCATGCCTGTGGAGCAACTAGGGGTTAAGTGTCTCACTCAGGGACACATTGGTGGATGTGTCGCATCTATAAAATGAAATACAATTTATGCACCAGTGCTATGTGTTTTATGGTTGTAACGAGCTCTGAAAGGTTTTTAAGTACGTGCACTGCTTGGGGGACGCTGCTGAAGGGTTAAACTTTGGGGGGACAAATGGGTGTGGCTGCTATGACCTCATGGAGAAATGAGGTAATGGTTGGCTCTGGTCTGGTGCTGTCTATCTTATCCATGTAGCTTGCTTATCACTGTCCTTTCCTTTCCTTTGGTGGAAGGTGTCTACACACAGCAGGTTAATTTTATTATTATTTTTTCAGGGCTTCAGTTTTAATTTTGTGACTTTTTTTTTCATGAAAAAAATCATGCAACAGGTAGCTGGTTGCTTTCTTTTCAGTGGCTACCTCTGATTTGCATTTACACACTTTGAAGATGGTATTTTTCCTGCCACCTCTGCTTGCAAATGTTGCCTTTTGTGGTGTTCAGTTTGCTCACCTTCTAGCAACTTTAGAGAACACACACACATGTCCAAGCTTGGATGAATTGATTCGTCTTAGAATCACAGTCTTAGATTGACAGCTTGCCTGTGATGACCCCCGTCCATTCATTCCCGCCCTTCTCTCTCACTTCTTGCCTGCCCCACTTGTGCACGCCGCTGTTTGGTTGGTGTTGCCATGGCACCGTGTGGCCAGAATGAGGCTTCACATACAGCATCTTGTGTTCTCTTCACAGAGGGCGGCCGAGGAGATTGAAGTGCAGTGACGCAAAAACACACAGTATATGAAAGCAGCCGTGTGGACTGACGCAGCAGCTCTGTCCAAACACTCATGGGGTTACCTTCCCCTATCAACATTCAGCAGAGAGACACTCGCAGACCTGACCACGTTGGGTGACTTTTTGTTTGGTTGACCTCCTCTTGTCCAACTCCTTTTAGCAAAAACATTTTTTTTTCTTTCTGGTTGGCTCTTGTTTTTAAACGCAACCATTTTTTCGGGAACGAAACTGGGATTGTCCCTCATATTATGTACATCAATGGACACCAGTGGCTCAGTGGTTAGCACGGGACCTGAGGAGCAGTCCTTTCATGTTCGCTACAGGTAGGAATCTCTTCTCTCTCAACTAAGGTATGGTTGTAGAGTAGATTGCCTGGCTGTCTTTTCCTTTTGAACATTGTGGAGTTTTAGAAAGGACTTTAAATGAAGTTGTTGGTTATTAGAAGAAAGACCTCTTTATATTTATTGTATGTGTAGTTATTTTAATGCTTGTTCTTAAGTAACTGATACGGTATTAAATTATTTGGTGTTACCTTGTTGAGGAAGTGGCGGTATTATGTGTAATATTGAACTGAAAATTGAGGCCTAATGCAAATTATAGAGTGGGAGGCCCCTTTTCACTGTGCTCTCTATGAATTTGCTAATTAAAGGCAGGTGAGTTTCCCAAAAAAAGCATCAGGCAGCTGTCCCTATATATCCAGGCAAAGAGCTCTGGCAGCAGGTGTGACGTCCAGTTAGCTTCAATATTTAACAAGCCCTGAAAAATTCATCACTGCTTGCTTTGTTTTTCACCACATGTGTGTCCAACTTGTTTGGATAGAGTAGGCGTCCATATAGCGGGAGAATGTCTGTTTTTCCCAGTGGATACTACCGCCAGAGTCTGCTTGTGTGACAGTTCTAGTAAAGCTACTTAGCACTCACCAGCACTGTAATCTGTCGGGTGCACACTCGACAGGTGCAATCTCAGGTGACCAGGTCAGAAGAGAGAGCTTGAAAGAAAGACAAGCAGATTAGCCGAGAAAATGCCAATTGAGCAGTTTACTTGCTGCCATTCCCTGGAAGTTAATTCTGTGCAACATCACACGCGTCTCCTTGAAAGTTTTCCAGCACGTGATGCTAAAATAACTCTGACGTCAGATGAGCAATGACAAAGAGGAGCTGCAGCCTGGAAGTTTTTCCAGTGGAAACCTCGGTAGATGCCTCTCAGATGTTCCATGTGCTGTTGTTGTTGTTGTAAGACACGAAAAGCCAGCAGGTAGGCTAGCATTTGCCACAGCTACAGTGTTGGAAAAGTATGTTGCTTAACCTGCTAGTAAATAAAAAGTGGGCTTTTCTAATTTGAGGCCTAAAACTGCTGAGATTTCTGGACTATTCAGAGAACCATGTTTGCTTTTGTTCACAAATTATAGCCTAGCCGACAAACTACTTTGATTGGTGTTTTTGTGTCATTTTAATAGCACACCATAGACTATGTTAGGGATTACTTCTTGTGGGGCATGTAGACAAGATTGTGTGTTTTAAATGAGTCTGGGTCAGTTTTTAAGAGTTTTCAGACAAAACCTTGGGTGGCTACAGGAGGAAAGCTTGAGATAAACAAACTGAAAAGACTTTGTGTGAAGCCGATCTCTTCCCCACAATACTGTTTCCTGAAAAACAAAAGTTGGCAGACTAACAATTTTTGCTTTGCACAAATATGCCACTTAATCTAAAGATAATCCATCTGCAGATAAGCCACCAGCCATTGTCTGACACTCCTTTCATCCGGCCTTGAAACGCCCGAGCCTAACCTCATATGTAACTCCACGTTATTTTGGGACATCTGTAAACACACTGACATAGTTAAGTGTTTTCAAAACAGTCCTTGCTGTAGGTGCATTACCACAATCTCATGAGAAATGTTACTAACTGAATAAAAGTTCTGGAAGTTCATTTTGATGCCATTTGGTAACAAAGTACTGAAATCAATGCCTGTATAATAGGAATGAATGTAAAAACCTATGGTAAGATGGAAAGTGATTGGAGTTGATATCATGTGAAGTAGATACAGCTTGCAGTTAATAGGCTAAAATATACAGAATCTTTTCTTTCTTTTCTGAACACAAAATGATGAACATTAGTATAGTTAAACATTTCTACCCAATCTTTGCTTTATTTTACTGTAAAGGGAACCCACTTTACTTTCTGAAGCATGTCAAAAGAATGTGAGCTCTACCACAGCAAACAAACCCCAGTTTGAGCCATTGTTCTCTGTAGGTGGAAGGAAGTAGCTAAACATTCCCTGTTGAAAGCCTTTGCTTAGAGAGAGGTTTTGTTCCCTGGTTGTGAGTAGAGTCCAGTCAGTTGGCTGTAGGTTTCAGCCAGAGAAGAGCTATTTCTCAACAACTTTCTTCAATACTGGTCCTAAATTATTGTCTGTAATACTTTGGTGCTGCTCAGTGGAAATTGTTTTTTTGAAGCTGAACCACTTCAAACAGCAAGCCAGATCCTTGTTGATCACCTGACGGACTAACTCCGCTTCTGTCTGCTGTAGGATGGAGGTGTCCTGCCTGGAGCTGGCGCTGGAGGGTGAGCGGCTCTGTAAGGCGGGCGACTACAGAGCAGGCGTCTCCTTCTTTGAAGCTGCCATGCAGGTGGGCACAGAGGACCTGCAGGTGCTCAGCGCCATCTATAGCCAGCTGGGCAATGCCTACTTCCACCTGCATGACTACGCTAAGGCCCTGGAGTTCCACCGGCATGACCTCACCTTGACCAGGTTGGACCTACAACAAGAACCCCTCAACCATGCTGACAGATGATTACTATATTTACTAATACTAACATAATGTGTGTTGCGTAGGACAATTGGTGACCTGCTTGGAGAAGCCAAAGCCAGTGGAAACCTTGGCAACACATTAAAGGTGCTGGGGCGGTTTGACGAGGCTGTGGTTTGCTGTCAGAGGCACTTGGACATAGCGAGAGACATTAATGACAAGGTGTGGCAGCACAATATTCAAGCACTTTGGTGGTAATGTGTACTGTAGAATATTTTGTAGTGTATGAGGGCATTCAGAAGACATTAAATGTCAGCATTGACCTGTTTTTCCTGGATTTGTGTTAGGTGGGTCAGGCACGAGCTCTGTATAACTTTGGGAATGTGTACCATGCCAAAGGCAAAAGTATCTGTTGGAGTGGAGCTGAGCCTGGAGATTTCCCAGAGGAGGTCATGATGGCACTGAGGAAGGCAGCTGAGTACTATGAGTAAGTGACTGTGCAGTGTGGTGCTTGTGAATATGTGTGGGCGACATTTTAATGATACAATTTAATTCTATTATCCAAATTATATTGCATTTGACTGGATGTGTATCTACAGGGCAAACTTGGCGATAGTGAAGGAGCTTGGGGATCGCGCCGCTCAGGGTCGAACCTACGGTAACCTCGGCAACACGCACTACTTGTTGGGAAACTTTCACAGAGCTGTAGCTTCTCACGAACAGGTGTGGTGTGACCCTAAAAAGCCTTTCATTCTGAAAGAATATTTGTAAAGTCTTCACGCTGCATAAACTAGCATTATAAATGCCACTCAGTTACTTCTGTAATTACAGTTATTCTGAAAGAAATGCTAAAATATGTTTCTATATCTCTTCCTCTGAACAGCGTTTGCTCATAGCTAAGGAGTTTGGCGACCGCTCGGCAGAGAGACGGGCGTACTGCAATCTGGGGAACGCCTATATCTTTTTGGGAGAATTTGAAGTAGCAGCAGAGCATTACAAGTAAGCCACAGCTCACATATGAATTTTTACATCAATCATTTTCTGTATATAAAAAGTTGGGGTGGGTGATATAATGGTATATACTGTGCAACCACCAAAATGTGTCCACAGGTAGAGATTTGGCAATACTGTTTCCAGGAGCTATCCCATAGTGTTTCAAATATATATTCAGGGGAAGCTATGTAGCAAAAAAGGGTTGGATCCTCGCATGATCTTGCCAAATTCTGAATTCAGCTGCCTCGCAAGGTAATGTGATTTGGGCTAATTGACCAAACGCTCCCTTCCCTCGTGTCTGACATTATATCTTGTGTTCCCAGGCTGTGCTGCTTCTGGGAATGTAAGCCTGTGGCATGTTTGGAAGCCAGAGGCAAACACTGAGGCCTCTCTGCACTGTTTTGAACCAGCATGTCTGTGTTTGTCAGGAGGACACTGCAGCTGGCAAGGCAGTTGAAGGATCGAGCTGTGGAGGCCCAAGCCTGCTACAGTCTGGGAAACACCTACACACTTCTCCAGGATTATGAGAGAGCAATAGACTACCATCTCAAGCACCTCATCATAGCCCAGGACCTCAATGACAGGTACACACACACACACACACACACAAATTTGCTTTAGGAAGAAGAACATTCATGCTGATGTATTGAAATGTGTTTTTGACGCAGGATTGGGGAGGGCCGTGCATGCTGGAGTCTTGGAAATGCTCACACTGCACTGGGGAATCATGACCAAGCCATGCACTTTGCTGAGAAACACCTGGAGATCTGCAAAGAGGTACATAACATACATGAATAAATGAAAGCGGTTTGTTTCTTTGACACATTCTTCTGTCTGTGACTTCTCCTTTACAATAAAGCAGTGGAGAAAACTAATCTCCCTCTGTGTATGTGTGTTTTTTTTTTTTTCCCAGACTGGAGACAGAAGCGGGGAGCTGACGGCTCGTATGAATGTTTCTGATCTCCAGATGGTTCTGGGTCTGAGTTATAGCACGAATAACTCCACTCTGTCAGAGAATAAGGATATAGACTACAACCTGCATGGTAAGTTAGTCAGTTATAAGTTGTATGTGTTGTTGTAACTGTGTAATTTGCACAGTATAACAGATGTTTATGTTGTTTGTGTTTCAGGAGCGAGGCCCAGAATGAGCCGAAGACACAGCATGGAGAACCTGGAGCTGATGAAACTCACCCCAGACAAAATGAATGTAATGAACATCTGTCCTGCCACATGAAGTGCACAATCCACAGATAATTGGAGGGTTTATCTTCTCCAGGCTTTGCGTTTCTTTTTAGCGTCTTTAAACTCTTTTCCTTCTGCATTGTGGTAACTAATCCATTCCTGTGTATTGAAGGGTCAAAAGTGGAACAGCGACATCCTGACCAAACAGTCCAAACCCTCGCTGGCTAAGACCTCCTCCAAGCTGTTCTTTGTCAGTCGCCTGCGTGGGAAGAAGTACAAGACCAGTGGCTCCAGTAAGGTCCTCCAGGACACCAGCAACATGCTGGACTCCAGTCAGGCAGCAGCACAGGGACCACAGAAGGTACATTCAACCGATAACCACACATATGCTGAGACCTCATTTAGTCTCCTACAGCTGTTGTCAAATAAGGACAACATGTTTGTGTTTTTGTACTTCTTTAGCGACTCAGTCCGGACATGCTCGGAGACGAGGGCTTCTTTGATCTGCTGAGCCGTTTCCAGAGCAACCGTATGGATGACCAACGCTGTTCAATACAGGATAAGGGCAGCAGGTTATCACTAAACAGTGGTCCGGAGTCGCCTCCCAGAGCCATCAGGAAATGTAAGTCCATACCTTCACACTCAAGAGTCATGCAATTCCCACAGTGTATCTTCCTTTTCATACTGAAATAAAACTTTGCTGCTGTTAATCTCCTCTGGCAATTCTGTTCTCTTAAACTCTGTAGCTGTATCGGATTCTGCCAACGTCTCAGGCATCCCAGGCCGGCGGTTAGAGGAATCTTCAGCAGCAGGGGGAAGCCTGCCCGGCCTCAGGCTCAATCAAAACAGCAACCAGGCCGTGCTCAGCCACCTGATGGCCAATGCTGACAATGCCGAGCCTGACGACGACTTCTTCGATATGCTTGTCAAATGCCAGGTACTTGATATGACCAAATGTAGTGGCTGAAGAAAAAGTGCAGTTTCCCTCACAATGATAAGCATACAGTGCATTTAATACACAAGAAGATATAATGTGCCTTTCTAAACAAGAACATAAAAAAAAAACAAATCTCAAACTAATGATCTCTTCCTTCCTCTTAACTCTACCAGGGGTCCCGTTTGGATGACCAGCGCTGTGCCCCTCCCCCTCCTCCTGTCCGAGGGCCCACTGTACCAGATGAGGACTTCTTCAGCCTCATCATGCGTTCTCAGGCCAAACGAATGGACGAGCAACGTGTCACCCTGCCTTCTGCAGCAAACACTACTGCCAGGCCCAGCTCCAGCTCCAACTGAACAAAGCACTAAAGGGATAGGGTTTAGGTTTTTTATCTCATGAAGGTGTGGACAGCTGTGTGACTAAACAGTCGGTGGTCACTGGGAAGAAACCCGTGTCTCTTTTACATTTTTCCTTTTGGACAAAAAGCACTGTCAGTGATTGTATATAGTATACAGTATGGAAAAATCTCAATCTAACAAGAACTTGTTTCGCACAACTTGCACCAACAAAAACTCTTTAGTATCAGGGACAAAAGTGTTTTGTTTTTTTATCCTTGTTTGTCATGATTCTGTCCTCGTAATTTCATTTCACCCTATGTGTATTTTTCAATACACAACTGCATTAATGTTTGTATTCATTGTACTGTTAATGATTGTTATGATTCTGTTAACTGCCGTCCCTACCACTACGAAGTAATGTGGTAATGCTCACAGTGGTGACTTGAGTCAGTGTGGACACAGAGGTACAGCATTCTTTCCATGTATTTTGTTTGTATGTGAGGGCGGGTATTTGGTTTTTGGTTTAAGAGTTACCAGGGTCAAAGTTAATGGAATTTTTTAGCAAACTGGTAAAATAATGAATTTAACCGGTGTACAGTCCTTACTTATGCTCTTTTGTACTAACTGTTTCAACGAGGTCAGAGGAATAAATGTACAGTAGGCATCTTGTTTTGACTTTTCAAAATGTTGAATGTAAACTGTTTAACAAAAAGACAACGCTTGTGTAAAAGACACTTTATTGAACGTACCAGCAGTCAAAATGAGTTAGCTTGAATTAATTTAAGTCACTTTTAAAAACAAGAATTAGAAAGGCTTAATACAAGAGCCACTAGCATTTCAAAAACATACTAATACCTGTACATACATAAACACAACTGAAATAAATACATCTATGTACGTATTAGTTTGGCCTTATTTGTTAAAACAATATATACTATACATTAACATAAAAACTTAAATATGCATCTTTATAAGTAAATCAATATTAGAAGACAATGGTAAAGGACAAAGTGCGCATGTAAAATTAAAGAAAATAATACAATTCATATGCCCAAAATACTGGCTCTAAATAAAAACCCACTTAGATTTCTTTGTGCATATGGTTACACCCTTGTTATGGGAAAAGACTGCCACCTACTGTTGTTATGTTATTACAGCAGTAGACAAACCAAAGCTTTTGAACACTGAAAAATCCTAAACAGAATGCTAGGGCACTCAACCACACACTTTACACTCTGTATTTCCCTTTGAGGCGGACATAATTAAAAATCTTCCATTGCAAGCAAGCCATTGCAAGACACTAACAGCTTCAGCGCAAAAACACTGATTTCAAATTTAAAACAAATACACAAGCTAAAGTTACACATTTTTGAGTTGAAGTAATGCAGTGGATACAGTTACATTACACATCAGCACATCCCACAGGGAAGCAACAGCTGACTGATGAACAGATCGTATCACTTCCACAGATTGAGCCTCCTGATGGAAAATGCTCACTACTGACACATTTAAAATTTAAATTTCACACCATAAATTCAGCTCTGGTTTTCTCAAACAAAAAATAGCAGCATAACACCAGCTGTAAGAAAATGATATGCAAAAGGAATGTAGGACTTCTCAAAATGACTTAACAAAATTTGATCTTGAAAAATGACCCTTTTTTTTGTACATCTTAGTTATGGAAACTGAGAACTGAAGGAAGGCACCATCATGAACAAAGCACTCTGTCCTGTCAAACCTCAACAACTCCTCAGTGAAAGGGTCATGCAGCAACTGACGGGTGTGTGAGTGTATGGAGTGAAGATGTAGGATGACACCACATGAAGGGATGAAATGAGAAACTGCTGTTTTACCACTGAAGATGACAACAATCAGCTTGACAAATGCTATGTGACAGATGTAAAGATAAAAGGGGGACATGCAACGTGTGCTTTTGACGTGTCACAGGTTTGTATCCATTTGGTTTCTTACAGACAGGAGTGAAAGGCTCATTCACCTGTATGTGTGTGTGTTTGTTTCAGGGTGTTACAGTGTTGATGCACTCAGGAGCAGTGTTGTTTAAGAGGAATGTGTGTGTGTTTTAGATTATAGCGACTGGTTGTCTGTGCGTGCATGTGCTATGGGTTGTGTGTCCAGAGTGTGACAGTGCGGTCAGCAGAGGATGAGAGGAAGGACAGGTCTTGTGTGTGCCATCGACACTGAATCACCTTGTCGCCGTGCTCTCCCACCACGGTCTGAGGCAACTGCTTGGTCAGGTCCCCTGTAGACACACACACACACACACACACACACACACACACACACACACACACACACACACACACACACACACACACACACACACACACACACACACACACAAGAAATGGAGTTCAGGCAGGCAGATATACAATCCTGACAAAACCATGTCTCGCATTTGATTAAAAACATTTTTTCCTGTTAATTTTGGCATCCACGATCATTCCTGAACTTAAGTGAAGACCACTTACTATATATTCAGAAATATATAGTAAGTGGTATATATTTCCATCCCTTTCTTCTGTAAGTAGTCTCCCTTTCTTCATCAAAAGGTACAGAATAATATGTACTTACAACAGGTATTTACATTCATGGCAACAATATACTTACAATACAGGTATTAAACATCAGAAGATGTGATGAAACATGGGGACCTCTATAGAATCTTTCAACACATCAATGTCTGTCCAGTAAATACACTCTGTAGCTACTGCCAGCAGCTTAGCTTAGCATACAGACTGGAAACAAGGGGAAACAGCTACCCTGGCTCTGTCCTCCAACCAGCACCTCTAAAGCTCATTAATTAACACATCATATCTTTTTTTGTTTATTCTGTACAAAAACAAATGTGTTAAAACGACACATTATGATTTTACAGGAGTTTATGTGCGTATTTCTTGCCTGGGAGCAGTGATGTCCTGTCATCTCCAGGAAGACACTCCTTGTGGCCAAGAAATAGTCTGGCACATAAAACCACCCTAAAACTGTAACATGTTGTTTTCTACTTACACTATAAAGACGCCAAATGCCTTGCCAATAGTCCCAATCCTAAAAATATTCAGTTTACAATTACATAAAACAGGGAAATTACCTAAATGACTCCTTTAATTTCACTACACAGCCAGAGAAATGCACCCTGCATTACATGGATCATCTGGATAACAACGAGATTCACCAGGTGCCTCAACAGTACGTGGCTGTAAACACAAGTGCATGGCACTTATGGCCCATTTAAACCATTTTGTATTTATAGTCAGTAAAACAGGATGGCCCACATGAAGAAGCTAAAGGTAGATAATAGCAGTCAACTATGTATATCCTCTAGTAAGAGATCTTCACTACTGCCAGCCTGAAGGTATGTCTGTATTATATATCAGCAGTGGCAGCAGGTTTGTTGAGTCATTAATAAGTCAGCAGATGGGACGTACCTTGGAGGTTGGTGACCATGACCTTTGTGTCGTAAGAACCAGTGAGCAGGTAGTGTGCTCCAGGGGAGAACCTGACGGATCGCACATCACTGGTGTGCGGCCGGTACACCTGGACGATTCGCCCTCCTCTGATGTCGTACAGCATGCACGCACTGTCTTCCTGGCCTGTCGCTAACAGACGGCCACTAGGATCGACCGCTACCGAGGCAACAGGACTGCCTGTGGAGCGAAATAAGGGGGCGTAGCTGTAAAAACCAGTACACAATTACCAGTAAAATCACTATGTACTGATTGAGAGAATCATCAGCACCCATTATGGAAGCACTTCTGGTGTCAAAACTTTCAAGGGATTGCTGAATTGCGCTATTTGATCCAAAAATGAAGGAGAAACTCATGACACACAGGTCATACCTGAGCCATGGAAAGCAGTTCCCACTACTCGGACACAGCTGGGCACCCTGAGGTCCCAGAAACGCACCGTCTTGTCTTGAGAACCAGAGGCGATCATCCAGCCTCCCCATGTATACAGTGACAGAATGTGACCTGAACAGCAACACAACACGTTATTTTACACGTCACACACTTTGTCAGTGGCACTCTTTCTCTCTTTGACTCTCCACTTGAGTTCAGAAGGACGCGTGGATGGATGAAACAGTCAGTGTACCTGTGTGTCCGCTGAGGGCGTGCAGACCCTGCCCTCTCTGACAGTCGGTGGTGTATATGTTACAGTCTCCAGCTCCGGCGCTGATCAAGATTGCTCCTCCACTTTCTGGACCCTCCATGAAGGCCAGGTCTCTGATGGTGCCATCATGCATGCTGAACTCAAGGTCTGGGCCTAAGGCACAGAAATGACAGTGCTCATGAGATGCCGATAATAACAGATCACTGTTATCTCACTGTCTACACATATATGCGTTGACACCAACAAACAAGACTTTGATCATGCATTATTGCAGAGTATACTAACCTGTGGCATTGCATGTCTCTGCACTAAAAGGTAGGACTTTGACATATTTGTCATTGGAGCCTGTCGCCAGCAGCTGCCCACAGTGGCTCCAGGCCACACAGTATATGGACCCTTTGTGGTGTTTGTTCCTCTTGAAGCGAACGACCGGCTGCTTGATTGGACTTGAACCACTGCGGAGAAGAAGAGTGGGGAAGAGGAAAAAAAGGAGAAGAAAGAGGAGACAGATAGGAGAGAAGATGAGGAAACGGGTAGACATTCAAAGTAGGTAAAGGTAGCCATCTATAAACTGATGAAAAGAAGGATTATCATTTTCTGGAATTAGTACAGCTTTCTGGAAGTGGTCAATTTGATTTAAGTCCTACCCAGTTTATAGAATGAACTTCAAGTCTCAACTTTTATTCCTGTAACTGAATAGAATCACTCAGTTGTTTTTAGCATTACGTAGGTTCTAATTGATTTAGTCATTAATTACTGATAGGTGCCCAAAAATATGGAAATTTGAACTCCTAAAAAAAACTTGGCAAATCCTTCTGCTGAAGAAAATAGTGTGATATGATCAAAAGCTCCAGAACAGTTACTGAGTGGACCTTGTGGTGACATTCAATCTTCAAGTTAGTGTTTTTTAACAGATGACCATTAAAAAGTTCTTCATTAAAAGTTTAGGGCACTAAAAGAAAACTCATCATCATCTATGTTCCACAATGCGAAATTAGGTCATGGCCAGTAACTGTGGTTGGCAGTGGACAGGAACAGGATGTATCACACTATCAAAAAACATTTTTGACATTAAGTTCTTGAGGTGAATGCGGACATTACCTTGGGTCTAATGTTTCAGGATAAGCACAGACACGTAGAGTTTTGGAGTTGGACCCCACAGCATAGAGCGCTCCAGACGGGTGAAAGGCAACAGCTCGAACGGCCTGAGTGTCCTCCAGAGTATGCACTGGCACAAACAGGTTTTTTGGCTTGTCACCCTGAAAATGCACCCACATATGAAAACACATGAACACACAGATTGCAGGAGTTATCTGTGCAGCATAATCTCCTTTGACTCTACCGTGTGACATCCATAGTGTCATGATGCTAGCTTGACATCACTGCCACTCAAATGAAACTGTTATAATCTGCTTAGTTAAATGCCAATTTAGCGCTAGGCTGCATCGTCTTATATGATGACGACAGCAAGAGGGAACGCATTTAAAATCAGTGCAAGTTCAGAGTGCAAGATAACAAATGTTCCTGCAGAATACCAGAACTTAAGTGTGACGGTCAGTAATAAACAGCTAATGTCAGAGACAATGAGTTACAAACTGAGTGTGAATAATAAAGACAAGTGTGCATGAACAAAAGTCATTCCAGGTCCATTATTCAGCACAGCGAGACATTTCCATGCTTGTTGAGGTATACATTATTATAGATTATTTGCAGCAGGTCTGACAGAAATGTGTTAACATGTTTGTGTACATACATACCTCTTTACTTCGGGATAAGGAACCTGGTGAGTCATCTTGTTGACCTCCTTTGTGTTTCTGCTCACTGTGACAAAAACAAAACACAAAAGTGTAATCATCAATACCCTCCAACGAGCTCCAGCATAAAAACAGAAGAAATCACACCTACAATACCTCTGGGATTTGACCGGGGACTCATCTGGAGGTAGGACTGTGTGGCCCCCTGTGGTGTGTTGTGGGGTGCTGCTGAGCACCCCTCCCCCTCGGGTCCGGGTCTGGTCTGGGGTCACAGATGGAGGATTGTTATTGTCCTCAGCGGAGGGCGTATTCCCGTTGCCATTACATTGCTGGGCCAGAGACTTCACCTCCTCCCCTAAATCCTCCATCCCCACATTGAGCTCCTCCAGCTTCTGGATGGACCTGAGGAGCGCGTGTGTGGGTACACACACACACACACACACACACACACACACACACACACATACACACACTGTCACTGTCTTTGTGGGGACCAGTCATTTGCATTTCACATTTTCCTGTTGCAGGCTTTTTTCCCAACGACAGGCCGTCAGTACACTGACTGAGTTGGTAGGCTAGTTAAATCTAGTTAAAACTACCAAGGGCAGGGGACAAAAGAAAACTGAAGTAATGACGTCATTATGCACAGCTACACCTTGTGAATAATGCAGAGGATACAGAGACAGGGAGAGGTAGGGGAGGACTGGAGGAACTCTCGAGGGACAAATCAAAGGGTCCTTTGTCCTGCTGACAGAGCAAAAATGAACACATTTCCCATGCCATGTTTGTCAGACTGAACACTAAATATACTGCTGTGGTGGTTTGGGAGCATGCTAAAGTTGCCACAGTACAAGTTTAAGATGGCTGCTATTTTTTTGTGAATTTTTGGTCTAATATTGTGCATTACCAACACACATGAAGTGATGGTCCCATGTGATGTGATGTAGCCACAGATGGTGCAGTTTGGCAGGAGGCGGGTTTTAGGGGAGGTGTGTGCCATGCCAGGAAAAGCCACATGGGACTCATCATTATCAGGGCCTGAACATGTCCACTTCTCTTTCTCTGACAGCTGCTCCTCTATTGTATGAAGATATTAATCAGGCAAGCTGTACCAGAACTCCCCCGACTGCTTTTATAAAGTTTGCCATATGACTTGACAGGTGTCTATATGTTATGATGGATGGATACCCTGGACATTTCCAGCATCTCTTGCTGTGCCTGTACCTGTTGAGGAACTTCTCTGTGAGGCTATGCTGCATTTCGCTGGGCGGGGGCTCCTGCTGGACCCCTCCCTCCAGTAGCATCTGCTGGTACATTTGCCTCTGCTGCTGCTTCTGCTCCAGGTGCTGCTGCACACGGAGACGCTGCCGATAGAACTCCTCATACTTCTCTGTTGAGTCGCGAAGCTGAGGATTGAACGTGATGCCATAAATATATGTGGCACATGTACACTTCCCTATTCTTCCTATTTCTCCTTATGTTGTTCAGTAAGTCCTTTTGGTTGTTTATTGTTTATGTATTTAATGTATAATGGTGATTCATCCTAGAAAGCAGAATAAGTCACTCTAGATAAATTAAAACAGCTAAAGGGCTTGAAAGAAAATAAGAACAGAGGTAAGTACAAATAAACAAGGACACATGGAAACAATTAAGTAATTAATTAAAACTCAAATTCATAGCACACAGTGACACATGTTAACATCTGAAGTAAGCCACTTCCAGCTCTTATTAACACTATTCAAAGGCAGCATTGTGATCAGATGAACCCTGCTCCACCCCGTTCTTCTGTCAGCTCAGGTATTAGAGGAGGAGTGAGGCTGAGAGCCGAGGACAGGTCACTTTCCCTCTCTGTCCTGACAATCTGGTGGGAAAGAATCTACTGTATGTTTGGAGGAGGAGGAGAGAGAACCCTGGCACTGTGCCAGCTCTGGAAAAAGGGATGGAGGGCAGAGAGGACAAGAAAAAAAGAGAGGGCAGGAGTGTGACAGTGAGATCACAGAGGGCCCAAAGTCTGCTTCTGTTTCTGGCCTCTTTATGTGTCTCCAGGGCGACGGGGATGGCAGAGCAAAGCACTAACTTCACACCGCGATGCACACGGGGCCCAGAATAGAAAGCACGAGACAGACAGAAACAGACACTGTGTTAAAACTGTGTTTACAGGCAACATGAGGGCAGTAATGATTAGTTTTTGTGGTTAAGCTCCTGGGTCGCTGAGCCACATGTCCCTACTGACTAAGGCCAAATCCACCTGGGCTTCTTTTCCCCTTTCTGCTCTGCCCAGCCCCCTTTGTTACTGGCTGGATATTAAAAACAACTAGAGCTGCCTTATGTCTCATAATAATCACAACGTAATGTAAAAACAAAATTGCCTTAAATCATTAATGGACCATAAGATACACATTTTCATTATTTATATATAAATTTATGCAGCAAGCTTCTCTAATGTTTTCAAAGTCTGACAGTGAGACCCCCGCCCCCCAGACAAAATCGAGACAACTGCCCCCCCACCTTTTTGCATATATATATTAACATTTTGGTAAATTAGCACCATTAAAAGTATGCCGAATTAGCAGTTCCTGCTTGCACTGTATTCATGGATGTACAGACAGCTAGTACTGAAATACTTTTATACTAAAGAAACCTTGTGATGATTCTAAAGCAAGTTCTAGAGTCATGATTTCTAAGCAGATGTATGGACCATTATTTAATATCTATATCAGAGATAATGATGTCCTTGGAAAGTGTAAGTCACACTGAATCTTAAAATATGTGTATCATGTCAGTCTGTTCAGATTTGACTTTGATATCTGAGAAGAAGTACAAATCCTGAAGAATCACTGATCCAAGCTTCAATAAGTGACATTCTTTTTAGACCAGCAGCGTGCACCTCTCCCTTTCGCCTAAAGCGGTATTTTTGCTTCACATCTCTCCCTCTGCCTTCCCCCATCAACTCTCTGGCGTACCACTGGGAAGGCACACCTCACAGGACAAACTATAGGAGAAACTAGTGTGCATGAGTTTGAGTATGAGGTTTAATGTGTTAACAACGTTCTGTACACAGACATACAAAAGCCCCTTTCCTGCTTGCATAAAGGTTTGAGGTGCACGTGACATGGTGAAAGCATACTAACATTACACACAAACAAATCAAAACAAGGGCAACTTCCTTTGAAATAAAGTCTCTCATCAGGCAGAGGACAACAGATTTAAAATGGACTGAACCAGCCAACATGTCACTCTAAACAATCATTGTCAGCCTTGACATTGGTTAGGCTATACTTCACACTTGCAGGAGGACCCATACTGAAAAAGATTAATTAGAAGTGGCCTATATATAGAACTTCACTGTAGGCAACACCCATCAACATGGTCTAACGAATTAAAAAGCAAAAAGTCAATGATGTTTACCTCATTCTTGTCAGCAGGGCCAGCTGATGGTGCATCCTCACCTGGAGCTGAGGCAGGACGCAGGTTCTGAGCTCCACCTGAACTCATCATCTTATCCACAGGTGTGTCTGTCCTTGACCTTCACAGAGAAATAGCAACAGCTTACTTAAAACATCTGACAAGATACTACATCAAACCAAAGTGTCAAAAAACCAGAGAGCTTGCTCCATTGTACCTCTAGACAAAACATTTTCAAACTGAGAAAAACCTTTCAAAGCTAAACCCTTACGTTTCAGGGGATTCCTCAAAGATGCTGTGGCAGTCAGAGCTCTCCATCATGAGACTCCTGCTCAGGCTCTGCCCTCCTGCTCCGGGGTAATGGAAGTTGGCAAAGGAGTGGGACATGGGAGAGACCCCTTTACCAGGCACTACCTCCCCACCACTAGCTCTCTTATCCTGGCCGGACAGCCCGTAAGACAACCCGTCCAACGCTGGGTTCAAGGAGCGCGACATGTAGGTATCAGCAGACTGGGGGCGGCGTAGTGGGGAGGAGGGGTAAGGAGACAGTTTGCTGATGAGCGGGGTGAGGAGGTCAGCGTAGCCGGTCTTTGCGGGCTTGACCAAGCGGTCCACGTGGATGTTGAGCTGCTTCTGTTCGAAGGCACAGGAGAAGACGGTCTGGGAGAGGTTCTGCATCCAGGAGAGCAGGGACAGGTCCAGGTCGTCACATCCGTTACCGCACAGCATGTCAACACCAAGGAGAACCTCACTCTCTGTGATTTCCTCACCTGTCGCCTTGCTCTGCGCACACACACACACACACAAAAAATCCGGCAAATTTAAGTAGAAATCATCTGCAATTGCTCACACCAACCCGTCTGTAAGCTAGTTGTTCAGAGGCACAAACTAGTTTAGATCACAGTAGTTATGTTTGGTTTTAGTAGTTCAAACCTGGCAGAACTCCACACAGCACTCATAGAGGACTCCTTTGAGGAGCAGCTGGAAGAGTCGATCCCTACTGGCCTTGAATCCTGCTTCACTCAGTTTCCTGTCTGCAGGGATGAACTCCGCCACCATGGTGCACGCCTCCTCAAAACACTGCACCCTGGCTGTACTCGGGTTCCAATCCTGAGAAACACCAGCAGAGAAATGAGAAATCAACATACGTACATGCCGATCACATTGAATTTTCCAACAAAACACACAATTGTTTGTTAGTGGAATTAATTAAACTTGTGAATTTGTCATTTCAACTTGCAGAAAACGGCACAATAGAATAAAAAGAAGAGGCTCCCATGCTTTACTAATGATGCTGAAATACTTCTGTTTCAATCCACAAAATTTCTTGCCTTGAACTCTGCATGGTTTGTGAGGCGAGGCAACGTGAGGAGCAGACACAGTTTGCTGTAGTCATCTTTAGAGGGGCAGAACTCCTCCAGGGCATGGAGACACTTGACTGCTTCCTGCATGGTGAACTCCAACTGAAAAACATGAAATTTATTTTAGATTGTCATGGATGACTGAGGAGAAGTTTCTCTCTGGACAGCAGAGATAAGAAAACATGGTACTTTTTGAAAAAAGCTTTATCTCCAGCAGCACACCGGAGGCACAGATGACTTTTAAATGTCAGTAAGACAGGGGTACTTCAAGGCTAACATGCACAAGAAATCAGAAAATGATCCAGAAAAAGGGGACAGCACTTTGTTGTTATTCCTAATATTTTGTCCCGCACCATCCTGAAAAGTTATTGCCAACGCACACAATTGAGGTCATATCACAACAGCCAATACACACCCCTCGGCACACTATTGCTGGTGAACATGCACATACACTGTGTCCACAGATGCCCAAAGAGGTCTGATCTAATCCAGTTAATAGGACACGATAGCTCTGGCACAGTGTCCTAACAAGCTGCATTCACAGCTCTGCCATGTGACAGCAAGCCCACAGCTAGCCTAAATTGAGAGCATGAATACAAGAAGAAAGAATGAGTCCAAATTGTATGTGTCTCTGCATGTGTGATTGAAACAGTGTGTCAGATTTATTAATTTCTTTGATCGTTTATTAATATTTATAGGGTATATACCTATACAGTCTATGGTATATTAAGGAATCCTGAAGTAAAATTCAATACTTTTAAAAAACTTTTTCAAGACCTTTTCAACATACTTTAAAACTGCAGCGCTGCTTTGAGCTGTAACCGGTTAAGTCAGACACACCTTTAAAAGGGTTTTATGTAATTTTTTATAACAATAACTTTAGTAAAACATATAATAACATCTAAATAGAAGAAGATGAATATGTTGCTCTCAGGAGGAGGCGACTGGAGGCAGCACATATTGGCACAATGGCATCCTGGCTACATCTGTCTGCTGCAGAGAATCCATCCACAACCTGGAGGAGGAGCTAGTATAAATGAATGGATTAGTATAATATATAACATTATATTAAAAGTATATTGTTAATATAATAGTAACTGTTAGTTTGATATTAATATGTAAATTATATTTGTTAGTATAGTCATTATAATTTCATATAATAGTACAGTATATAGCTTCCCACTATTATCATAATAATTCCAGTTCAAGCTGTTTTATTTTGGCGTTTTTTATTCACCAACTTTGTGCAGGAAAATGCTCTACATGGTAGTAGTTAGTCTAACTTTAATTTTAAGCAGCCTACTAATGCGTCAAACTATTTATGCAGGACGATGACTTTTTTTAATGTCCCGCTCCATTCACAAACCGTGACACTGATGCGCACATTGGCTTTATGAACAGTTGAACGTGTTTCAATAAAAGGCACTGATTCAGCTAAATAGACAGCCTTCGTTAGACCAAACCCAAACGCTGCTTATATTTCCCTGTTGTCTTCTGTCTTACTGCTTCACCTGCTGACGGCGCATTTTGTTTTTGAGAAACGGGGCTGTTTAAGCGGCCACAGCGCTCAGTCCGACTATGTTTTAAACGATTAGCATTGGGGGTCCAGCGTGGTGGAAGAATGCGGTCGGTTGTGCTCGGGATCTACTTTTAGGGGCGTATGACAGTGAAACATTCCCATGGTAGATCCCTGCGCCTAACGTTACACAGAATAATCGCACAGCCGCTAAAGTTACGTCCTACCTATCAAGTGTTTTTGGCTATGCAATATAAATAAATACGTTCACCCACACTTTTAGCAGACAAATTCTTGGGCAAAAATGATTTTCACATTGAACAATATCTACAAATTTGATACCTTGTTAAATGGCGAATAAGAATTTAATACTTTTTAAAAGCCTTAAGTTTCGCAAAATTGATTTATTACCTTTTAAGACTTTTTAAGACCCCGCGGACACCCTGATTTACAGATAACCCTCTGTAAGGGTTTATGAGAAGGTGACCACCATTTTCATTCTTCAGTTACTGTCTCTGGTACCACATCCTCACCTTTTAATGGCAACATTTACATGTATGTGTTATTCCGTAATAAGATTTTGGATTTTGGTCATAATTGAGATACAACTCAATAACAACAACACACAGACGATGAGAATCCCAGTTCAGATGCAACTTGCTCATTCCCAAATTAAATGATATTAGTATCCATTGCTTACCATTATTGTTGCTTATCTGGATATCTATTATTTCCCCTGTGTTAAATGAAATCTATGGCTCAGACAAAAAGACGGAGGGCAGCAGATGGCCACCTTTCATTTTTTTGCCTTTTGACCATTTCATCTCTGGGTGGGACATCACAGGTGAACAGATACATTCTGGAAAAGGACTTGTTCTCAGAACCATGGCTAGTCAATCACATAGTACCAGAGTAACACATAAACAGCTTAATCCAGATAAATCCTTGGCCGCAGGGAGGCAAATAGTCACGTCACTCCCAGCATGCAAATGTAGCCACTGTTGATCGTTTTCACACACACACACACACACACACACACACACACACACACACACACACACACACACACACACACACACACACACACACACACACACAGCCTTCTCCTCTCTTGATTGACAGATTTGAGGTTGTTCAGAGAGAGACTTGCAGAGTTGCAGTTTCAAACTACGTGTATTAAAAAACGCTGTTTGGTTGTCTTCTCGTGTTTGAGATGGAGCCTTCTTGTTTACTGCCATGACAACCAGTGACAGTCAGTGGGAAGACAAAGCAGCGCTGTTACAATGTCTGTTCATGAGGATCAGAATTCAAGGCTGCGTTGTCACTTGGGAGGCTTAGAGAACAATAAAAAAAGACTGATAATTGTTACGTTCGCAAAGTTCAGTGACTTACATGCTGTGGCTCATCTTCTGCAGACATGGCGTTATTCACACACAGAGCCTCCAGAAACTTCTGTTTGAGGATGATGTAGCGAAACCTGAGGATATCGCAGTTGGCATTAGAAGTTGTGACACAAAAAGAAGCGCTTTTAAGTTTTGATGCTGTTTGTGTCAAATAACTGTGCGTTAAATAAGGTGAAAATATTGATACAAAAAGGATGAAGGCTTTGAACATACTGACAGTAAACACACCTTTTTCTGTCAAACTTATCCATGCACTCCAATGGCTGAATGAACTGCAAGACCTCATCCCACTGGCCATCGAGCACCAGTTGCCTGAAACAAAAACAGTACATTTTTAATACACATTTAACACATAGAATTATGTCCTTATCTTTAAATGTCAGATTAATGTGTAAACTCAATTGTTTCAAAAAACATGGACATATATAGAGCAAAGAGTCTCTGACTCGCTAATTGCTTTGGTATTTTCCTAATAAAGGTGTATCATGACAAGATGAGACAGCCTTCACACTAGAAGGAGAAATACCAAAATGTATTTAATACAATAACTGTAGTACTGTTGGCTGACTTTCAAGGAAGCACTCACAATTACAGAAGCGGTGCAGCGTTACACTTTCTGCCTACGTAGGGAACACTATCAGAAACACTAAACTGGAACCGTTGCCTGTTGTTTTTGTCTCATAGTAGTCAGCTTCTTGGAGCTGTAACCTGAGACGACTGTATCCACACTGTGGTTATTGCTGTGTTGAGTTTATCTACCTGAGGAAGAGCATGTCGTCTGAGTAGAGCCCATTGATGACACCACTCTCCTTCTCCAGAGCCAGCATGCTGATGTGCAACTTCCTGGAGTTGAGAAAGTCCAGGATCACCTTGATCATCTCCACCTCCTTCACATTTATGGTTTCTTCCGCTGTCATGGTGACGACGGGCTGCTAATGACAAGGGCAAAGCAGCACAATACTAATACTACAGCACACATGCAAAAAAAATAAAAATCATTATCTATGTTATTCTGATGCTACAGGCATAACAACACCCTGAGGTAGCAGAAGCAGGCTTGTGACCATATTCAGTCTGAATCTCTGTAGGTGAAAATATGAGTGTCAAATAGGACTGGACGATAATTCATTATTATTATTTATCAACAGTCAGCAGAGCCACAGCTACAGTGATGATATGATCTTAGTTTCTGGTTATCATTCTACAAGTCTCTGTTGTCCAAAGTAATAATTCTAAGCAAGCCATTATTTAAAACCAACAAAATCAGTTATGTTTTACACATGTTTGTTTGCAAGTAATGCATAAAAGAGGGACACAGATCATTTCTTTGAACATCAGTTTTATTCTCCATATCTGATTTTGCAAACATTTACTGCATCTAGATATACTGTATATCAGTATCAGAAAATACCATTATAGTTATTATATGTTTTATATGTAATATAGTTGCCCCAGTGGCAGGTTATTCTTGAAGAAAGCATCTAAAATGCATATTCTGTGGAGGACTGTGGTTAGACTGGGATGCTCCTAAATATGCATGAGTGGAACTGTGTGTATCTAAAATGAATAGTGCCTCGTTTTGCAGGATGAAAAGGCCTTATGAACTCAAAAGTACAGATTTTCATCTTAGTCCACAGACTGATCAAATTTCATCTACGTATAAAGCCAGAATGCATGGTCACAAATCTCACATTACTTCTCCTACTTTTTTTCAGCTCAAAGGGGTATAACATGACAGCAGTGCAGTCTCTTGTGATTTGCAACAAATTTGTTTGCTTGTCCACCTTACCTTTAGGCTATACCTATATTCAAATAAACTGCTAGTGTTATCCAGATGGACTTGTCCTGAGACTCTGTTTAGTCGATATTTTAATGCTCTTCAGATCTAGCCACTATCCAGCATCATAATGTTGTGGAAATTGAATACAACTTAATATTTTATCATGCCAGCAGTGCAGCGTTTCCTAATCAAATGATCAGAGCATAGTGAGGACAGTGTCTGCAGCATTTAGTCCTTAATCACATTCAACCTAAATATTTAATGTTGTGATTACACCAGACAGATCCTGCTTTCACAGAGACAACAGAGGTTGTTGAATCAAGACTACTGTGTCTAACTTAGGTTGAAAAGATGAACACTCCCCCTCATCATGTTTACAGTTGAGAGAACAATCTTTTATTATTATTATCATGACAGTAAGTAGCCCCTTACGCATTTATGGTTATCTCTCTGGGTGGGTGGGCTTCAACAAGCTTCAACATTAGCCGCTACAAAACTAGCTGGAAACCAACACTGCCTGGCTTTCAAACAATCAAACACAAACACAGAAGCACTGCAGTCCTGCTAAGCTAGCATGAGATGGTTAGCTAATAACACTGGCACTAAGCCACAAGTCAAACAGTATAAGAAGCTTAGGCTACTTGCTAGCTTTACGTAGCTGCTGAGTTTAGAGAAAGGATTACAGCAAAACCAACAAATAGCTAGTTACGTAGAGCTCATACAAAGCTGACTAATTTAACCGGCGGTTGGAAGAGGAGACTGACTAGCTAGCCAGGCCGAGGGGAGAGAGAGAGGCATCATCCGCTAGTTATAGCTGGACGGGCGGGGTGCGCACTGTGACAGCTTTCCCAAGAACAGCACAAATCTGCCTGTGTGCAGCGAGTAATGCTCACCTGTTTCTAAAAATACATGGGATGAAAACGCTGACCCCGGGTGTGTCCGCGCTGTTGACAGACGCTGTCACGACGGTACCGCTCGGTATCGTCAGTGCTGTTTGTCTTCTTGCCTTGCTGTCCCTCCTCCTTGTCTGACTGTGTGTCCCCTCCCTGCTGGATCTTTCTCTGCCGCCCCGCCGCTGCGGTGTGCTGCTGCCCTGCCCAGCCCTGCTGCCTGCAGGAGCACCGCCTCCATCCATCCCTCAGACACAAACTTCAGATCAGCAGCAACCGCGCAGACAGTACAACACGATAGAAATCAATAAATATTGCGAGGTGAGATATAAAATGAATGATTACAGGTTTTATAAGGTTATATAAATTCTGTCAATAAACAGGGGCGTGCACAGAGGTTGAAAAGGGGGGGGGGGGGGGGGGGGCTTTTTCTTTCATCCAAAAGAGTTGGGCAAGTGATGTTACTTTGACTTTGCTTACTTGGCATAAGGGATACAAATTGGCCAAACCAATAGAAGAAACATGTGTAAGTTATTAGCATTGTTTCCACACTTTACTCAAAACTAAAAATATGTTTATGAAATATTTAATATTTACTGAGCTGTGTGGGGATTTATAGTTATAATTTCTAAGATTATCACATTTGTTCCATTATGTTAATATAGGCAGCTTTCATTAGGGCTTAATTTAGAAAATATAAAGTTTACAAATATCAATATCAGCCTCAAGAACTCAGTATTGTGTGCGCTCTTGTTTTTTTATATTTAACAGTAGGCTAAGGATCCCTTATGTATTCATTAGAGAATTGTCACCAAGATATGAGTGGACATTTTACCGTTAAAAAATAACCCTAACTAGAATAAAATGTTTCTGTATTTGCAACAATGTACTGGAAACACTTTCCAAATTACATGATACATATATAATATGTAAGAACAGTATAGGGATATGGTAGAGAAAGTGAAGATTTTCTGAATGACTCCATGTTTTATTTAAAATCAAGTCTACAATACTCAGTGTCATGGTAAAGCTTCTTTAGTGGGGACAAAAATATACAGCAATATTACAGCAGAAAATGCCTAAGATGATGATAATGAGGACAAAAGTATATCTGGCGTTGCAGAGTAACCAGACTTTTTTTCTACTGATGGTCTGTGTTTGTACATGGCACAGTAATGATGATGATGATGATACAAGAAGGTATTGCATAGGTGTACAATACTTACCTATATTGTTTACTTAAGATAAGCACAAGTGTGTTATTGTGTCACACAGCATTAATATCAGTTTAAATTAGGCTTTTTTCATCATTACACTTGAATATGTGAAATGAGACACCATGAATGCTGTTGATAGCTGGCATTTTAATAAAGCTCAAAAGAATAGAAAAACAAAAATCCATGAACAGTCGAGCATATTTAGTAAATTGAAAAGAAAATTAATTCGGAGTTGGAAAAAATACAATTCAGAGTTGGAAATAATATTTCTCAGTATACCTAATGGATTTCTTACCACAAAGCCTTATTAAGGGTTTATATACCTTGCCTCATCAGGTACACTTTGCTTTCAACACACTTCCTTCAACAACTGTACTGCTTCATTAGTACACACCTCCCACAGGTAAATGTCATTACAAAAAATACTTCTATATGCCAAAATATATCTGTACAGTGTCAACACAGAGTGAAGGAACACATGATAAAAAATGTAACAGTAATGTAAAAAGTAAAGTATCAAGCGTGACAGTCCTGAAGTGGAAACGACTCAGCGACACAGGGACTTGAAGTGCTATCATAGGTGAATTCATTTATTTACAATTGTGGACTACTTTGAGGGTAATCAAGAACTAGGTAGTTAAGACAATATCCACATTATTGTGGTATTTTGAGTATTTGTTAGTTCCAACTGCAACATGTTCAATGGTGATTATTTAAATTACTCTTCAATTGCACAGACTGGTGACATAGTGTGGGATTTCCATCTACTCTACTACTTACAGTCTTTTCAGTGATGCTGTTGAGTGATCACACTTTTTTGCATTTGTAGCACATTAAAAGGCCGGAAACGACAAAATACTGATACACATACGTGATAAATTATAAAAGCTACTCAAAAGCTACAACAAGCTAACTTGTTCATTTTGAATGGATCTGCCATCATATACAAATTAATTAACTTATATATGTATAGTATATTAGGTTTCTCTGAATAAAATCTAAGACACCTTTTAAAATATCTTCAAAGCATTGTCAAAATTAAATAAATTAAGAGTGCGTTACAGGTGCTTTCCAGAATTGTTTGATGGTACTCCATATGCTCAATAATTTTGGAAAGTAATTGCAATCCCCAACTGAGGTATTTTCCTCACTCTTCTTGGCACTTCACTATACACACAGATGCACAAATTTGAACTTCGAATTTGAATTGAAAGGTTTTCAGTCATATGTAAAAAAAACAAAAAAAAACAACAACAACAAAAAAAATAAACCTTGCCTGTGTAGCAGCAAAACTCTCATCAAAAATGCTGCCTCTGCCTGATCACACATCAGACAGGCCACCCTTTTAACAACCTGGGCTTGAGGGGGCGTGATCTGATCCCCAACCTGGGAGCACACACAACCTCTCCTCTATCACAACACACTTTTTCAACAGGCGTTGACAAAATGACACCAACACTCACAGCGCATCCATATGACACAAAACAAGCATAAGGCCACACATGATCTACTTAAGAAACCAAAACTGCCTCTCTCAGAGGCGTGACATTCACTGCTTCAGTGGTTCAACTAGGTAAGGCATTGCTCCGCCTATTATTTTCTTCTCTTTTTTGGCACACGAGAACATCGATACACATGCTGACAAGTACACACTTGCGCTCCGTTAAAGTAGTCCAGAGTCTAACAGTCATCTCTGTATTGTAACAACAACTTCGTGAGGCCACTTGTGTTCTACATTCCAGTTGTGATTTATTACAGTGGGAGTGTGTCCTTTTAATGAAAACGTAAAATCCACTAATTCTTCTGTGACCCTTCCAGAGAAGCGTGGCCAAAAGCTTGCCCAGCCATCTAGCACTACTTAGGGTGCAGTTTTTTGGGTGTCCCCTGCTTCTTGGTTTGCCACAGATGACTGGCGATGGTGATGGCGTCCACACTGGCCGACATGGTTTTGGCTGGGATCTGGCTGAACTGCTTCTTGTCCGAGTTGTACTTGTACAAGCCCTCGATCATCTTGGTCGTGATGCTCCTCGGCCCGATGCCGGCCAGTTTGGTGATCTCCTCTGTCTCAGGGCAGTAGGCGTACACAGACCTGAACTGGCATCCGGCGTCACGGAACAACACCAGGAAGTTATTGGCTTCGGATTTCTCCATTTCCTGCAGAAAATCACGGAGAAAAGTCAGTATTTAGTGCAGAAGGTTATTCAGTGCAGATAGACGCAGACACACAATTGCAAGACATACGTCAAGAATCTTGTTCTTCTGCCCTTCGTTGACCTTGCCAGCCAGACAGCAGTGAGCCAGGGCATTCTGGATTATGTGCTTGTTGGACTTGGCGCTTGGCTCCTTGTATAGTTTGGGTCCTGTGGGCAGAAGGCAAAGGCATGAAATTGCAAAAACAATACATGTTATTTACAGTAGTTATGTTGATGTAAATGATGTAAATAGTAAATGTTGATGAACTGTGGCAACAGTACAGGTATGGCTTATACCTGTGTACTCAGCGTTGGAGGGAGTGGATGAGGTGGTCGAATCATTTTCCCAATCCTTCTCCCCATTACGACTGCCGGTCGAAGGACAAGAAGAAAAACCTTCTGCAGAGTCTGGCCTGGAGACGATCACATACAAACCAACAAATGACACGCAGACGTGACAAAACCCCACAACGATATACACATGTACGAGGTATGAAAGTACACACACAACAGATTGTACGTCAGACACGCGCGCACACACACACACACACACACACACACACACACACACACACACACTCATGAGGTAAAGCAAGGTCAGACGCTATGACTCAATACTCCAAACCCTGCCTGTTGTCTCGCATCATACTGTACATGATACGAAGCTGTGCAGCGTGGGACAGAAAGGCATGTTCAGCCAAGCGAAGCAACGTCTCAGTGCTGTCTTTATGGCTACTGTGGGAGATGAGCTCAAGCACTTGTGGAGGAAACAGCAAACACAGCGGTGAAGCGCAGAGCAGCACAAGAGAAGAGAGCAAACAACAGCCTGAGAGCAATACTGCAAAAGACAGAGAGAGGATAAAGAGCGGGAGAACTAAGGCGGAAACATCTTGGGTCCCATGTACCTTAAAGCAGAAGCAAGAACTGCAGTAATGGAATATGTTCAACTATTTCACTGTTGACACATCTGTCTACTGTCTGTGTTGAAAGGACGTGTAATGAAATGCAGTTACATGGAGCTATTTCTACATGGAGCCACATCTGTTGAAGCACCACTATTCAGAGCATTACTAACCTTCCCTTTCTTTCTTTGGGAGAGCTTAGATAGAACGGGATATGAGAAGAAGCGACTTTATTGCCTCTGAGGGGGACGCAGGCAAAATAGAGAGAAAGGAGAGGGGGATACGAGAGAATCAAGATGCAGAGTGTAAGCCTCATAAATGTCAAAACACCCCATCGAAAAATTTACAGCACAGTATATAATATCTGGGTGTGACTCAAAATATGGGGTGAGTGTGAGTTGGGATATTATGAAAGTGTAACTGTGGGAGTGCACAACACAATGGTGGTAATCAATAAATGAAGGGTCAGCTGCACAAACCAACTGCAATATTTGAAAAGGTGACAAAAAAATAAAACAAGTCATTCTGAAAGACTTGCAGTAGTTAAGTAGATTTTATAAACACACATAACAAGTCTGAGATTCATATTTAAAGAATAAAATATGAAATACAAAGGACTGAAGAAAAGATGCAGGAAAATGAGATGGACATAAAGAATGAAGTCAGCTGGTAGTACTACTGTATAAGCTGTCTGCCAACTTTAAGAAGTAACTTTATTATTTATTTATATATATAAAAGGTAAACATTAGGCTAGCAGGGTTTTATTGACAAAGACAGCTGCAGGTAGAATATTTGTTTACATCTGTGATTTGTAAATCAAGGGCAAGGCAAGAGAGTGGCAGTGAGCGGGTCTTACCTGTTGTTCTTCCTGTTATTTGGCTGGTCTCTGTCGTTGTCAGCCAGATTGAGAGACGCCAAAGAAACACTCGATACGGAGAAGCCTCGAGGACGCACCCCTGCAACACAACAACATGGATCAGCGGCCGCCACACAGCCGTAGAGTGTGTTTGTGCACATGATTTTCGTGTTGCTCACCCGATGCTCTCACAGGCGGAGTGGACGACTCCATGACGTCCCTGTGGATGGACTTGGGCCGTGGCTTTTTCTTGAGACTTCCAGATCGGGGCTTGATGACGTCGTCCATTTCCACCATCAGCTTGAGCTGCTTCTTCCTCATGTATTCATTCCTGATGTATTCCCTCCTTTCCTTCTCGTCATCCTTCTTCTGCAGCTCCTCCTCGGCTTTCAACCTACAGGAGGAGACCAAGATAAAGATTTATTGCACGGCTGCACACTCAAGTTTAAAAGACACAATGCATTTATTGACGCCATAAACCTGGGAACGGTGATATATAGGTGGTACAGTAAATAAACAGAACGTAAGAAAGTCACACAAACCGTTCAGCTTCCTTCTTCTGCTCCTGGTCCAGGTCCTGCTGTTGTTTTTTCTCCTGAGCCTCCTTCTCCCTCCTCAGCCTCTTCTCCAGCAGAGCTGCTTTCTTTGCTGCCATGTCCTCTTCCCCTTTCATATCATCCTGGTGTTTGATGGGTGGGAAACACACAATATGCATACGTCAGATTACATGTATAAATATTTAGACTGCATCTCATGACTTGCTGGCAGATTTTTCAATTAAGGTTTACTTGAATTGAATTACTACATCATTAAGTTATTATAACAAATAATGCCCTAGTGTGTAATTGTTTTGTCATCGCTTCCCTCAAAACTCCAATGTTTGAAAGGGAAGATACTTATTCTTAATAATTATGGTGGTATTGGTATTTAAAGTGGCATTAGCGTAATTACCTTCTGTCAACAAAGCTCTTATATTGCTATGCTCCAATGGTCTACCGTGTGTCCGTGTTCTGGCTGTTGATTTTGGCCTAGATTCATTCATGTATTGTCTTTGATCAGCTCACAGCTCAACAGGCACAACACTGCACATGTTGTGCCAGGCTCTCACAGCATGAGATTCTTCCAGTCGTTGCTACGTGCATATAGCACCTTAAGGTTTTATAGATTATATTATTAATGAGACATTAATTAACTGTGTTTATTAGTTGGTATTATAGTTTTACTGCAGTGGATTCAAAAGTGGGGGCAGAAATGCAGAGTTAAACTGAAACTGAAGCCCTTTTTCACAGCAGACGTTTGACCTGTCAGTACCAACTAATGACATTTTTAATTGCTATATTGCATTGCAGCATTTGGAGTTACAAAGCCTTTAATAATGTTAATGTCTGCTGTGAAAAAAGTTTAATTCATTTGGAAACAATATAGCAACGAGGGTGTTCTGATGCTCGCAAGGCTAGCAAGACTCATTCTAGCACATTAGCTACAACAGAGAGACTTTTGACAGGAAGAAAATAAAAACTCATCAAGCCAATATATCAGTCAAAAACAATATGGTTCACAGTCAAAATAGCAGGAGAGCCTTACGTCTTTTGTGTGTATAAAGTCTGGCATTTTGGGCAATGTTTAGAGCAAATGTTATATTTTGAAAAATACGCTTATTTGCTTTCTGGCAAAAAGGTCTCAGAAAACAAAGTCACTACTAGGTAATAAAATATGGCAACAGAAAGCACCCCAAATTCATGTTGTTTTCTTTATGGATAAAGTTTATGGCTAAACCTATTCTGCCCCTACCTACAGGTGTGTTTGTCCAGCTTTAGTACAGAATAGATGCATAGTTAAGTGCATCCCTGGGGCCAGAGCGGGCGACATTGAGTCTTATTTGAAACTGCTGGCTAAGGATAAACGTAAATACAGTAAGATTGTTATTCACGTCGGCGGTAATGACTCCCGGTTACGCCAATCGGAGGTCACTAAGATTAATGTTGAGTCGGTGTGTACATATGCAAAAACAATGTCGGACACCGTAGTTTTCTCTGGACCCCTGCCAAATCTGACCAGTGATGACATGTATAGCCGCATGTCGTCATTCCGCCGCTGGTTGTCGAGGTGGTGTCCAGCAAACGATGTGGGCTTTGTTGATCATTGGCAGACTTTCTGGGGAAGACCTGGTCTGATCCGGAGAGACGGCATCCATCCCACTTGGGAAGGAGCAGCTCTCATTTCTAGAAATCTGGCCAAGTTTATTAGTGGACCAAATCCATGACAACCCAGAGTTGAGACCAGGAAGCAGAGTCGCAGTTTAACACACTTCTCTGCCCTTCTTTTTCAGCAGTTACCCACCTAAAACCCTATGCAGAGTCGCAGTCTAACACACTTCTCTGCTCCTCCATTTCAGGAGTTACTTAGTGAAAATCCTATAGTGACGGTGTCTGCCCCCCGACCATCGAAATTATTTAAAAAGGTAAACAGAAGAGGAGCTGTGCATAAAAACCTCATAAAAATTAAAACCACAAGAGCAATAGTGCAAACGAATAGGAGCGTTAAATGTGGACTCTTAAACATCAGATCTCTCTCTTCTAAAGGTGTACTAGTAAATGAACTAATATCAGATTATGATATTGATTTATTTTGTCTTACTGAAACCTGGCTGGGTGATGGAGAATATGTTAGCCTAAATGAATCCACCCCTCCCAGTCATATTAATACTCACATTCCTCGAGGCACAGGCCGAGGAGGTGGAGTTGCAGCTATCTTCGACTCTAGCCTACTAATCAGCTCTAAACCTAAACTAAATTATAACTCATTTGAAAGTCTTGTTCTTAGTCTTTCGCACCCAAGTTGGAAATCACTGCAACCAATTCTCTTCGTTATAGTGTACCGAGCACCTGGCCCGTATTCTGAATTCTTATCTGAATTTGCAGAGTTTTTGTCAACTTTAGTCCTTAAAACGGACAAAGTTATTATTGTAGGGGATTTTAATATACATGTGGACGATGAGAATGACAGCTTCAGTACTGCGTTTATCTCTCTGTTAGATTCCATTGGCTTCTCTCAGAGTGTTCATGAACCGACTCACTGTTTTAACCACACCCTCGACCTTGTTTTGGTGTATGGTATTGAAATTGAACATTTAGTGGTGTTCCCACAGAATCCCTCTTTATCCGACCACTGTTTGATAACTTTTGAGTTTGTATTGCTGAACTACACGCCATTGGGCAAAAATTTCTATACAAGATGTCTGTCTGATAGTGCTGTAGCTAAATTTAAGGATGCGATTCCATCAGCTCTAAATACATTATCTAGTCACAAAGTAACGGAGGACTCCTATGCTAATTTCAGTCCCTCCCAAATTGATCACCTTGTTGATAGTGCTGCAGGCTCGCTGCGAATGACACTGGACTCTGTAGCCCCTCTAAAAAAGAAAATACTAAAACAAAGACGGTTAGCTCCATGGTATAATACTGAAACTCGCAAATTAAAGCAAATATCGCGGAAACTTGAGAGGAACTGGCGTTCCACCAAAGTGGAAAATTCTCGTTTAATTTGGCAAGATAGTCTTAAAACTTATAGGAAGGCCCTCCGTAATGCTAGAGCAGCGTACTACTCGTCATTAATAGAGGAAAATAGGAACAACCCCAAGTTTCTTTTCAGCACTGTAGCCAGGCTGACAGAGAGTCACAGCTCTATTGAGCCAAGTATTCCCATAGCTCTCAGTAGTTACGACTTCATGAGCTTCTTTAATGATAAAATTCTAGCTATAGAAACAAAATTCACCAAGACCTGCCCTCAACTGGCACCGACTTATCTCTTAACTCAGGAACCTTAGAAACAGCTGTAGAACCAGATACATGTTTAGACTGTTTTGCTTCACTCAATCTTTACCAACTAACTTCAATAATTTCTTCATCTAAACCATCAACCTGCCTCTTAGACCCCATCCCGACTAGGTTGCTTAAAGATGTTTTACCCTTAGTCAGCACCTCTATACTAGATATGATCAATCTATCTTATCAACAGGCTATGTACCACAGTACTTTAAAGTAGCTGTAATTAAACCTCTTCTGAAAAAGCCCAAACTTGATCCGGATGTTTTAGCCAACTATAGACCTATATCTAACCTTCCATTTCTCTCTAAGGTTCTGGAGAAAGCAGTTGCTAAACAGCTGTGTGACTTTCTACAGAGCAATAGTTTATTTGAGGATTTTCAGTCAGGATTTAGAGCTCATCATAGCACAGAGACAGCACTGGTGAAAATTACTAACGACCTCCTTATTGCATCAGACAAAGGACTTGTCTCTGTACTGGTTTTATTAGATCTTAGTGCTGCATTTGATACCATTGACCATCAGATCCTATTGCAGAGACTGGAACATTTCATTGGCATTAAAGGAACCGCTCTAAGCTGGTTTAAGTCCTATTTATCAGATCGATTTCAGTTTGTACATGTTAACGATGAGTCCTCCATGCACGCCAAAGTTACTCATGGAGTTCCTCAAGGATCTGTCCTGGACCAATCCTCTTCACTTTATATATGCTTCCTTTAGGCAATATTATCAGGAAACATTCCATAAGCTTTCATTGTTATGCAGATGATACTCAGTTATATCTATCGATCAAGCCAGATGAAACTCATCAGTTAGCTAAACTTCAAATGTGCCTTCAGGATGTTAAAACCTGGATGAAAACTGAAGTTATTGCTCTGGGGCCCAAGCACCTCCGTGACGCATTATCTAAAGATATAGTTTCCCTGGATGGCATCGCCCTGGCCTCCAGCACCACTGTGAGGAATCTTGGAGTTATCTTTGATCAGGACATGTCGTTTAAGTCTCACATTAAGCAAATTTCAAGGACCGCCTTTTTCCACCTACGTAATATTACGAAAATCAGGATCATCCTGTCTAAAAATAATGCAGAAAAACTAGTCCATGCATTTGTTACTTCTAGGCTGGATTACTGCAATTCCTTATTATCAGGCTGCTCGAAAAAGTCCATTAAGACTCTTCAGCTGATCCAGAATGCTGCAGCACGTGTTCTGACAGGAACCAGGAAAAGAGATCACATTTCTCCTGTTTTAGCTTCTTTGCATTGGCTTCCAGTAAAATCCAGAATAGAATTTAAAATCATTCTTCTTACCTACAAAGCTCTTAATGGTCAGGCACCATCTTATCTTAAAGAACTCATAGTACCTTACTACCCCACCAGAGCACTGCGCTCCCAGAATGCAGGGTTACTTGTGGTTCCTAGAGTCTCCAAAAGTAGAATGGGAGCCAGAGCGTTCAGCTATCAAGCTCCTCTCCTGTGGAACCAGGTTCCAGTTTGGGTTCAGGAGGCAGACACCATCTCCACATTTAAGAGTAGGCTTAAGACTTTCCTCTTTGATAAAGCTTATAGTTAGGGCTGGCTCAGGTGAGTCCTGAACCATGCCTTAGTTATGCTGCTATAGGCCTAGACTGCCGGGGGATTTCCTATGATGCACTGAGCTCCTTTCTCCTCTACTTTCTCTCCCTCTGTATGCAACCTCATCCCATTATTGCATGTTACTAACACAACTTCTCCCCTTTCTGGTAGTCTTGTGCTTTGTCGTCCCTCTCCTCTCTCCTCCTATCACTTCCTGCAGGTTTTCTGGCTCTGGAGCTGTGGAGTCTGGATCTGTGGCTGCGGGTCACCTGCTGCCCCCGTGTTCCTGCTCGACACCCTCTGCTGCAACGACTATTGTTACTAGTCCTATTGTTATTATAATCATTAACATTACGACTGTTACCATTAACACTACTATAAATATCTGTACCATTTTTCATTTAGTCTATAGCAACATCACCTTTACTGTCTGTACCTCTGTGTGTATATTGTGTAGGCTCTCTCTCTCTCTTTTTCCTTGCCTCTGTCGCCTAGTGCTTGCTCTTGGTGGGAACTGTTGGGCTTCTGTAATTAGCATCATAGAGTACGGTCTAGACCTGCTCTTTTATGAAAAGCGCTGTGAGATAACTGTTGTTGTGATTTGGTGCTATATAAATAAAATTGAATTAAATTAAATTAAATTCATGTTATAGATAATATTTTAGAGAAATCATTACATTTATTATCCTAAAAATGTCCATAAATATTATCCCATCTATAATTCTGTAGCTCCATCTCACCTTGAAGAAGAATCCACAGCACATCTTTTGGTCTCCTGGCTCTCCCTCCCCTGTCATCTCCTGACCAAGGGGTGATCCTCCTGGAGGTTTCAGCCCAGATAGAGGCACCTCCACCAGGTCTCTTCTGTCCTGAGGGTCTCCCTTGACCCGGATCTCAGACACCGGTTGACACAACACCTCTGAGGTTTGTTTAACGACACTCTTCGACTGAGCTTGCTCTGACTGTTTTATTTCCTCCCGTGTCTCGTCTTCCTTCTCTTTGGCTGCTTCGTTAGTAGAAGGCTGAGGAGTGCCAGCACTCTTCTTTTCCACTGTCTCTTCTTTGTACTTTGTGTTTTCTTTGTTGTCACTGGCCTCACGATTCTTCCTTTCACATGGCCCCTCATCATGGCCCATGTAGTCAAACGCGCTGAGCTGGGTGTGGCTAGGGGTGAAACGCCTCAGTCTGGGTAGGCTGTCCACTGAGGTGGGGGTGTTGAGCATTCGACTAAAAGGCGTGACCTTCAGATCATTTGGTCGTGGAGTCCGGGGTGTCCTTGCATGGAAGGAGGCTGGTCGCCGCTTAATGCCAGAAGGGGAACGATTGGGAGCATGGGGAGAGCCGGAAGAAGAGAGGATGGGAGACAGGGACCCAACTGAGCCTCGGCCTGATCCGCGGCCTGTGACGCTGCTGCTACGCAACTCACGGAGCTGCCTGGTGGGAAGAAAAAAACACACAAGGCCATTTAAGTGATCGCAGGATGGTGGTAAAATAATTTTTGTAATATATATCATTAATTGATACCTGTGTGGAGATGGAGCAGGAGGAGGAATGACCCAGGCTTGTTGCTGCTGCTCTCTCATGGACATGATCTTCTCCTGCTGCTGGGCCAAACGCTGCATCTCGGTCTGCAGGAAGGCCTAGCGACGTGTTCAGCCTCTCAATGGAGCGTGTGTAATCTGCAAGGTCGATTTCTCCTGGAGTCACACCTGTATCATAGTAAACAATAACAGAGGAAGAAACAGAATCATCATTCTGGGCTTGTCTCTCTTCTATTCCATTTTATGGAATATTCCATTTCCACAGGATTTTATCTTCTGTCTGTGAACGGTCAATGAAACGATCTTAAAAAATAAAATAAAAAATCTGTAAAGTATCTTTTTTCCTTTCCCTCTTTAACCCAGTGAACCGAACTAAAGGTGGGAGAATTTCAGTTGCGTCCCTACTGTCGTCACTCACCTCCACCGTCCACACAGGGAGATTTAGGAGCTGCTCCATCTGGCTTGCATCTCTCCGCCCACTCCATGCTGCCCTCGCTGGTTCCCTTGGAGGATGTGAGAGGCTCTGGAGAAGGTGTTTCTGCTCCCCCCGAGCTGGGGCTGAGGGGGGAAGTGACTCCTTTTCTTCTCACTACATTCAGAAATGCTGTTCTGCCCATCTTCTGACGATGGCGGGTGAAAGCTGCTTCCACCTGGAAAATGTGAAGAGAGCGACACAGTGTGAACATTTTATGTCGAACAACATAAGCTACACTACTGGCAATCTTTCTTTGTCAATATGTGTTTACCTTCTTCTTCTGGGCTTCAATGGCTCTCCGTTTCTCTTCCAGCTTCATCCTCAGGTGAATCATCTCTGATGCTATCAGGTGGGAGGGGTCTCTGGGGGAAGGCGTTACTGGAGAGGGAGATGTGATTGGCAAAGGAGGTGTAGAGATCTAGAAAAAAAGTGAAAAGATGATTCACATGAATTCTATGACAACCCACGTCACTCCAAATTGCATTTCTCTACAACAAAACTTGAGTGTAAACTAAAAGGGAGGGAAATAGTGACACACCTGAGAAGAAATTGTTTTTGCCTGGTGTGTATACGGCACATTGAGATCTGAACTCTCTGGTGTGGTTCCTCCACTACTCCGTCCCTCCAGCTTCCTGAACTTCTGCTCTGCAAAGCTCGTCATCCGGACCATGCCTCCAGATCCTCCAGAGGATGAGGCGGGGCTGGCTGTGTGGGACCTGGGGAGTGTGGGTGCTGAACTGGGACAGGGGCTGCTCGTGTCACCTCCATCTCCCCTCTCACCCTCGGAGTTAGCCTCACCGACCCCCATCTGTCCTCCTTCCCTGCTTCTCTCCCTCTGTGGCTGGTCAGATAGAGGGCACGACCGGATCATGGCCTCACAGTCTGGGTCTATATCTGAATAGTCTCTCAGAGAGGAAGAGTCCTCATCCAAGCTCTGGATGTCCTCTGTCCTCACGTGGATGCCTGTGTCCACTTCATCAGTGGACACAGAGTTGGGGTCGTGGTCATTCAGTCGAGCCTTAGCTGAACCCGGGTCGTCTCCTTGACCTTGGGCCCCTGGAGGGTCGGATGGTTCCGCGCCGTGGAGAAAGAAGCCATTGTCTCCATCCTCCACGCCCAGGCTGGCGTGGGGCCTTTCAGTGTCGTGGATAATCTTCAAGGCCTCTTCAATGCTCGGAGGAGTTGATGGGCTATTGTGGCAACTGCGGTTGCCATTGTGATTGTTGGAGCGTTGGCTGCTGTCAGGGAGGACTCCATTAGAGTACCTACAAACAGGTTTGTGTAAATTAACTGATGGTTGTTTAAAATCATCTAACCCAGAGTCAGATAAACTGATGGATATACTACTTCTATCTCTTCATGCTGCATATTTTTAACAGATTAGCTTTCCTTAGCTTGATTCATTAAACAGCAGATAAATTAATCTGAACAAAGCAAACATCATCGTTCAACCACTATGCAAAATATGAGGTGTCTCAAAGGGGACTATTATTTAAACATCATAAACGAACACATCCCTCTGCTGTACCTGCTTTGGCTCTTGACTGAAAATGTGTTGTTCCGCCCCAGGGTTTTGTGGAAGTCCTCATCCTCCTCTGGTATGTGCCTGCCCTGGCCGTTTACACTGACAGGCATGAGGGAGAGGTGGCGCTTTATGCCCCCTCGAGATGCAAAGTGAACTTTGAACCCAAGACCATCACTGCTGGCTGAGCGGGTCATACTGCGGAGGGACGGAGCATCACAGAGCGGCATAGTCGGTTCTCCATCCAAAGGAATCTCAAAGGAGATTCCCCGAGAGGAGGTGCTGAGGGAGGAAGAAAATTGTTAGTTTAATTCGCATTTGTAGGTCATCTGCTCTGGTAGGGCAGCTGTGGAGCAGTACTACTGAAGTACTAACCGTTTTTCTTTGGGCCATGTCCCCACGCAGCCATCCACGTAGGACATGGAGGTAGATCTCTCCATTACACCTGTTACAGAAAAAGGTGAAGTTTGTTTGAGTTTCTAATTGTATGTGTCAAATCCCTTCTTTCACCAGTCAACAACAAATGTTGCAGTGGAGTTCTTCAGTTTCAGTAAGACAGAGGCATACTTACACAGTTTAACTTATGAGTAAAATTACCTGGCCCAGATTTTCCAAGCTAGTCTGGAGATCTAAACTGTCTGCTCCACACCTCACCTCCTGGCTACTTATTCCAAGTTAAAATTATACATATATATACATTCATATATACACAATAGTACAGCATACGATCTACTGCATTGCTGTAAATCAGCCACTAGAGGGCCTGTAGTTTCAAAACAAAATGTGTCTACACATTCTTGCACTGTTCTGTATTCATGCCCCAGGTAACTGCTAATTGTTGTGATTATGTCATGTTTTCTTTTAAAAGCACCACAGAAGTATGGGCAAATTCAAGAAAGTAGAAGACAAATTTGTCCTGTGAAAGCTAAAGTTAAAAAGAATAGTGATACCAAGGCTCCTGCTATATTTACATGATCCTGTCCAAACTAGCATTGTGACATCTCTGCCCACATGATCACTAAAGATAAGCATCTAATTAGTGCTGTAAGTGACATATGTGATTTTTATTAAAACTCTGCTTTAAGCTTGCCAAACACATGCTGTACATACTGTATATTCACTTGGACTACCACTTCACTTAGTAGTCAGCCATTGATAACAAATTTTTTACCCTCGGCTGGGATGTTCTCTGGGCTGTTAGGTCTGTCTGCATAGGTCTGTTTGACTGGACTGGACACAGGAGCCATATTTCTACAGGATGATACAGGCTGGCAGGCTGCAGAGGGAAACGTGACAAACACTCAATATCCATGTGCAACCTTGATGTAAGTACTAGAGTTAACAATTAGTATGCGTAAGATGGAAACATTGTCATCATTGTCACAATTAACAATAACATGCTGATATTACTGTGAAGCTGTACTGTACCGTTTGGGTTGAAGACTCTAGGCTGTACAAATGAGGGTTTAACCACTTCAAACCACCAGAAAAGCTCAGCCATAAACACCAGGTAGTTACTCTGCAAGACCACACACACATAAAGACACATACACAGACATTAGGTTAATGTTGCAATGATATACGTGTTAGTTATTAATGTCATTAGCACAATATTTGTTTCTTTGCAGTCATGGCCCCTTCTCCAGAGTCTCTCTAAAGATGTTACATGAGATACAATAGCAATATTAAACAGCATGTTGACAGATCAATAAGGTCAAAGCCAGCCAACTGTTGCTAGGTAACAGGCTCAGGTGTGTGTGCATGTGTGCACTTGATAGGGACACGTTTCATTGTCTGAGTGGTTTAATGTCAATCCCATACGCCTCTAGAAAACTGCCAAAACACCATCTGGAGTTTAGTTTAAATATGTCACATGTGCACAGATGGATGCAGAAGGCAGTGAGTGAGTAACCCAAATCAATGATAAATGCATTCATGTTATAAACAGAAAGTCTCTGGAGGCCTATACAGATGATTTCATCTGTAGGAAACCTTTTGCTTAACACACACGGCCTAGTTTATTTATTTTCCAGCAGGGATAGAAAGATAAAACCAAACAAAAACTGGGATGTAAGTTCCTATTTTCTGGATCTTCATTTTACATGCAGTGACTCTGTGGTAAAAAGGCAGTGTGCCAGTCACTATAATTGCTCTTCACAAGCATTTTTCTCCCTCTCCTCCCCTCCTTTGCCTACTTGTACAATTGTAACACCATACAGTTAATACACACTCACTGTCAACAATGTAGTGAATGAGAAAAAGGGAAGAAAAAAAAGGAGAAATACAGAGCAAAGAGGGCACAAGTGTGAAGACTGCTCTGTTGTTTTAAAGAATGGAAAGCCCTGGTCAGCTTGGACCATGCCTTGAATCCGAATGTTTCTACCCACGCACCCCGCATACTATTTACCCACACTGGCTCTGCTGCTACTAATGTCTGGATGGCACAGAGATGCTCATAAAGTTGTACAGTAAGTTTCTTTTATTAATCAGAAACAAATGTGGGTGAAATGGGAAGATGTAAGCCTGAGGACTGAGTGAATCAGCAGTTGTGCTATCTCTGAAGTTCACAGATTTTGTTTTTTGATAAAAAGAGAGGGGACAGAACAAGAGAGGCAGGCAGAGACGGGTGAGAACAGTGTCCTCTGTGTGTGTGGTGGTTGGGGGGGGGGTTAGCCTGCAACGTCTGTACTAGAAAAGCACGAACAAACACACACACATATTCATTAAATATGGCACCAAAGCAGTACTCACTGTAGCAAATGATCTTTATGTGTGATCTAAATGATCTTTACTGTTAACGCACACACACACGCGCACACACACAATAATAACCCCTGTGAGAACCAAGCCAGCTCACACACATTCACTATTAAACTTTTCCTTGCATGACTCATTTTTGCCATTTCTCATTGCCCGCCCTAACCCTCCTTATTCCCCAAAACACTTTTTCTCTTTCTTTCATTAATCCACATTGTATAAATAGCACTTTCCACATCCTCCACATACATGTTCTCTTTTAATTTTTGGAATACCAGCCTCCCTACCTTTATTGATGCATGTGCGTAGAGCATGTCCTCCAGGCTGAAGTGGCAGCAATGGTTGAGGTTGTTCCTGCAGAACTCCTGCACCAGCTGGAGGTTGTACAGACTGTCGGCCAAAGACATTGTCTCCTTCAAGCAGATATCTGCTCAGCCAGGGGAGGGGTCAGACACACACAAACACACACACAAGGGAGGGGTGATAGCAAAAGGCCAGGCAGGAAGACAAGGAAAAGATAAGGCATAGTTTATGTTAACAAAATAGCTGATGAAGGGAAATTACCCCACTTTTCCCACTAGTATTTGTGCCATATGCAGTCGCTGATTTGAATCATTCAAAATCCTTGAAACAATTCATGACACACGTTTTCAAACCGTCTTCAACTCCTTCTGGATGACTCATCAGGATTTCTATCTCCTGACGTTACTGTAAGGACGGCCCATGCATGTGTATAATGACTAAAATAAGAGAACAGATCAGGGACAGACAACCAAACATGACATCATTCTGTACTTCAATGTACTCAAGCTACCAGCAAGCAGACCTAAATGAAGTTTAACTCGCTTCCACATCTGGTCCACATGTGTATGAGCTCCCTGTGAACTACATTCGATCCCTCAGAGTCTCAGAGCGCCGGCACGAGTGTTGTTTATCTTTGAAATAGCAGCCAGCTACTCCTCTAACAGTTCTCCGTCACACACCCCTCATGACCAATCACAACCCAACCCAGGGCATTTTTAGAAATGAGGGCGCAGGGAAGCTGAGAGGAAACCAGTCTTTGTTTCTCTTTGTCTCGTTCTCATTCTCCATGTCTGTCCTGAATCCTCTCTGCCTCACAGCGTCTTTCTTGGGTCAATATCCTGGAAATCATTAAATGTAACCTCAGAAAGTCAAAACTGGTCTTAATCTTTTGATTATGTTGTTTTTTAAGATTACAATTAGAACATTTCCTGCTAAAGGCTACTACACTAGAATTATTTACTTTTTTATTGAATTTACTCAGTGAATAGAAAATAATTATTAATAAATACGTTCTTTGTTTGAAGCCCCTTATTTAAATGTGTGGTTGCAGTTAGAGCAGTGAGAGCAGAAAAGAGTGTCCTTTGTGCTGACTGATCATTGTGGTTAGCTCATTGTGTGTCATTTCGTTCCTATTTCAAACTGCACAACTGAACTGACTTTAGCCTGTTTGCTTTTGGAAAGGGTGTGGCCAGTGAGATCAAGTGGGTGTGGTTACAGAATGAGGGGTTGGTCCCACCTTCCAGTCTGACGGCCTGTGGGCAGTAGAAGTGCAGCAGGGTGGTCAGGGCACAGCCGTCTGTGTTGTCCTTCAGCAGGTTCTCCACCAGGGGGAGCGATGGAGCGCTCCTCTGCTGAGCATGCTCCTTCCTGTAGCGAGCCTGAAACCATGGCAACGGCACAAAGACATCACCTATATGTGTCACTGGGGTGGATATGTACAGTTGGCGCTCTGATTGTTGGTGCAGATGCACAACTCCATCACACCCACACTCGCAGACAACCAGGTGTTAATTTGAGGAATTTCAAGCATACGGTGGGCTTCAGGCTCGACTCAGATAGTGCAGATTAAATTGTTCATGCACATAATAATCAAAAATTTTAATTGATAGAAAAGATGCAATCATGACACTTAAACATTATTTGGTTGCCTTTGATCGCTTGTGAGGAGTGGTTAGTTAGTAGTTAGTAGAAGGAGGAGGCAGATGAGGAGGGGGGAGGTTTGCATGTTGCAAACTCATTGTTTTCAGCTTTATGCATCAGGGGGGTGAACGGGGTCTAAACTGTGGTGCTGTAGCAGACAATCCATGTGATTTAAAGTTTAATAATAATCTGTGTTAAATGTGTCCGTCCTGCCTGCAGGTTTTCTTTATTTCCCTCTGGGCCTATAAAAGCCACAGAGACAACACTACTACGTAAGTCTTCAGGGCATCAGCACACGAGTGGTGTCATGTATGCATTTTACAAGAGATATGATGGAAGCTTTAATCCCAGCAGCTCTATCTGTCTGACAGCCTCTCAGTCTGTGCATCGAGCTCTGAGGAATAAAATGCTGTCCTTTGTTCCATTTGGTTTGTATAAACCGGTAATATGGTACATCGTATTGAGCACAGTTTCCACACCAGCCAATTAACATGCATACAGTAGAACAAAAAAGCAACCTGCGACTGTTTTCAATGTGCAACAGACATGCCAGATCAAACAACAAATGGGTAGCTAACAATGTAATGGGTAACTTACAAAGGTAAGCAATGGCATTAGTTTCTGATCTGTTTTAAGTGGAAAGTCTTACAAATCACAAACTGGCAAATTCTTTATACGACCATGCTACCAGACTGTTCTCGCTCTTCCAGGTAGAGAACCCTGAGAGGGATGCATGTTTAAAATGGTTTCTATATCATTCAATCAGACTCCTAGGAGTAGAAACAAGGGCTGGGGTGGGATAGGGTGGGAAGTGTCTAACCAATGCATGATGGGGCTCAGGGCCAGCCACATGCAATGACAAGGTAATTGGAGAGGAGAATGTGAATGGGTGTATCCTTGCAGGTTTGAGATTAGATACTGAGGAGGTAGATTGTGGTGGTTGGTGAAGAAGAGTTCTTTAGAATGGATGGACTTACAGGTACTAATCTCCAGTACCATTTGCTAGGAGACTTGATGGTGGATGACGTTTGGACAACAACAACAGGAGAGAGTGGGACAGGAATTAGGCCAGACAGAAAGCAAAAATGTTTTGCTACTACAGCTGAGTCTAGTGAACAAAGCCCTCTCTTAACGCTAGAAAAAACATGGTTGCACAACCATCTAAATCTTTCAAAATTTATTATAACAGTACTGAACATTTCATTGCAAGCAAGGCCCTATAAATGGTCTGCTACAAAACGGTGCTTTTCTAAAACACATCTATTTTGCAATCATCCAACCAGAAGAAGTCCTCAGAAGAGAGGAACATTTCACTAATCGCCTTTAAATCGTCATATAAGGAGTAATAAAAATGGACTCAGTTTCACCTAAATCACATAACATTTGGTTAAATTCTCTCCTTATAACGCTTTACACTGTCTGTGAGGCTATAAAAGTGAACATCAACATGGTAACATACGCACAACAACAAAGGACAACTTCAAATTTGACCTGATGGTGGCGCTAGAAAAAAGGTCATGGGGTCACCAAAGAATTCATCCTCTGGGGAACACGAACACCTGTACAAAATTTAATTGCAGTCCATCCAATTGTCTCTGATGTTTTTCAGCTGGGGTGAAATCTGTTGAAAGGTTTTTGAGATATGTTGCAAAATAATGACAAGATAAAAAATGGGACCTAAAACTTAACCACCTTGATACAAGTAATCAAAGATACAAACTTTTTTATAACTGCTATAAAGCTCCTGATTCACATAGAATAATGCAACATGTCCGTTGTCCTGACTTTCCACAAAGTCACATGAATAAGCACAAAAATTCAAAGAGTATCCACACAAAGAAATGCTGAACACTTAGTCACAAGAGCAGTTTAAGATTTTTCACACCGTCCCAGAATAGACCGAACTTACTGAGAAGTGTCTTGTGCTCATCCATTAGAGTGTGTGTTCGCACAGGAGTGTATGTGTGTGTACATGTGAAATTATCTCCTCTGAGTATGTCCTACTGAGTGAATAGACTTCTGTTGAAGCTGATAATGCAGAGAGGGAGCTGTGTGATGGAGCATGGAGCAGGAAAGCAGCTAACTGACACTGACTGTGTGCAGAGTATTCCTAACACTCTTTAAAAGACACACCCCTTCTCTCGTTGTAACTTGTTGCCTTTCACAAAGCCTGAATATGTCAGTCAGTGTGGGATAGGTCACATACCCCATGTGTATTATCAGTTTACAGAGCAATCACAGTAAGGCAGTCTCACTATACCAACACAAAAACAGACAATGAGAGGGAGAAAATTTGCCAAGATTCTCCCACAGCAAATAAAAGCTCCTTCTAAACTGATTAGGCACACACAACGTGTGACACTGTACAGCCATTTTACAAGCCGTTGTGTGTGTGTTTTCAGCCATGCTTGTGGCTTTATGGATGGCAAAGTGTGTCTGACCACTTTGTTCCAGATATAAATATTTCAGATGGATAGCCATGAAATGTTGTACAGACATTCATGGTGCCCAGAGGATGAATCCTATCCCCTTCCAACTATCCCCTGGCAATAGCACCACCATGAGGTTGACATTTGTGGTTTTGAGTGAAATGGGTCGACAATCATTGGATGGATTTGCATGAAATTTGGTACAAACATTCATGTCCCTCTCAGATTCAAGCTGCAGATCTCACGCTTTTGTTCTCTTCACTCTTTATTATTATTATTATTATTTATTCCGCCGTTTTTTTGGCATCTAACTAGTTCTGTACCGTTTGTCCTACAAACTTGGTTCCAACTTCAAATTGTACATCATGAGATGGGTGCTATTACCTGTGTTGCTGATATCTGTAATGGTTGATTTTATATTAATATTTTTATGCATTTTTAAATGACTGTGTTTCTATGAAGGGAAGGCTTTCAAGTTTCTTTGTCAATCATGTCTTATTCTAACAAAAAAATGGCTCCTAAGCACCAATAGAAGGCATGTTTTGCTCTGTGATGGCTACTCCGCTGTTGAAGAATAAAATAAATGAACAGCCAAAGAATTGACTTAATAGCTTGATAACTCAATAGCTGATGGCACAATGGATAAGATGCCTGCCTTTTGTGTGAGAGACCCGGGTTCAATCCCGCACTGTGACCCATCCACCATTGTGTCCCTGAGCAAGACACTTAACACTCGTTGCTCCAGAGGCGTGCAAACTCTGACATGTATAGCAATTGTAATTTGGATAAAAGTGTCAGATAAATGTATGTTCATTTATTTTGTTCTTCAACAGCGCAGTAGCCATCACAGAAAATATGTTTATAAGCAAAACATGCCTTCTATTGGTGCTTAGGAGCCATTTTTTTGTGAGAATAAGACATGATTGACAAAGAAACTTGAAAGCCTTCCCTTCACAGTGTATCTGAGTAGTCCGGTGGTGGAGGTTTTGCTCTTGCTCCAGATCCAGAGATTGATGGACAAAACCCTACTCACAGCATGTTAACGAAAAGGGGGCCAAACTTAATACATATGTTTGCTGAACAAGTGTGCAGCACATCATTGAGTCTCTTGGCTGATGGAGCCGGACATTGCACTGACAGCGGTAGCAATCGCAAAAAATAGCTGGCAGCTCTCACACGCATTTTCTTAAGGAAATGCCCATTCTAGTTTGGAATATGTTATCATGCTAAAATGCTCAACCAAAATAGTGCACATGGTAAACATTATTGCTAAACATCAGCATGTTAGCATTGTCACTGTGAACATGTCGCCATGCTAGCATTAGCTTTTAGCTCAAAGCAGCCCTGTGTCTAAGCATAACCTCACAAAGCAGCTAGCGTGGCTGTAAACTCTTAGTCTTGTTGACTCAAAACAAAGGCTAGCACAGGTTTACTCAATGGCACATTCAGTTAAATCAGAGTTTGAAGCAATGTTTATCTCTTTGAGTCTGTATCAAATTGCATGAAGTTTACCTATCCTATTTTTAGACTCATTTGCACAGATATAGTTGGAGATATATCTTAAAGCCTATTATTTTATTAAAGTTATCTAGTAGTATCGTAGTGTGTATGAATATATTTGTAAATTTTGTTTGTTTTGTGTAAGTTGTGTATATTCTGTTACTATAATTTTATTCTACCTATCCTTTATCCTCATCACTGTTTTAGATCACTGACCTGAGGCAAGGGTCGAGACCTCATACGGCACTGTGCTGTCACTTCATGGTTAAGTGAGTGGAAGAGGACGGTAGCTGACTGCTGTGTGTTTGTCCCAGCAGACTGACTCGTTGTGTCACAGGGACCTTACATAACTACGAGGCCTGCAGGGTGACAACACTGTCTCTGTCTGCCACTGACTCTCTTTTGCTACAGCTGACAAAGTTCTCTCCCCATGTTCTCCACCCTGGTGTCATTTCTCCCATTCCCCTCTCTCTGATTATTCCTCTTCATTTCTCTTCTCTTTCTCTAACTCTCTCTCTCTCTCTTCCTCCGCCTGCACATTTCTTCGTCTCCTCAAGCAGCAGTGTGGAAACTTTTGTGGAAACATTTCTCCACAGCTGGTCTGAGACTGAGCTTATCTGTTCCTCTGATTTACAGACCTTTGTGTACTGTGCTGTATCTGTGTGTGTACATATCATGTGCATCTCCATGTGCCTTGCGTGGATGCAGACATGTGCTATGCCTATGGGTAAAAGTAGGAAAATCTAATGTTTACATACAAGCAGACAATACAACTAAAAACAAAAGCAACAAAAGTTTTGCTGCTGTTTTCCTTGCTGTTCTTAAAGAAACAGTTTGCATTTTAGGAAATACACTTGTTTGTTTTCTTGCAGAGTTAGATGAGACGATTGACACTTTCATACCCGAGCATTAAGTACAGTGCTGGAGCCAGCAGATTAGCTTAGCTTAGCGGGGGAAACAACTAGCCTGGCTTTCTCTAAAGTAATAAAATACACCTAGCAACACCTTAAAAGCTCACAAATTAATACGCCGTATCTCTCTTTTGTTCAATTTATGCACAAGCCGTGTTGTAAAAAAAGCAATTTGACATGCTGTTGTTCCAATAAATAATGGTACCTAGACTACAAATATTAATTTTAACATGAATCTTGTACTGCATAGTGTACGGATTAAACCATGAGAGATACAACCTCTTACTAAGTGAACTTCAGACATGCTGGTAGGTGTATTTTCAAATTTTTGGACAGAGCCAGGCATTCTGTTTCCCCCTGCTCCCAGTGTTTATGCAAAGCTAAGCTAATCCACAATTTGTGGTTTCAAAAGGGATTACGCACTGTAACAATCTGCTGAGTGCAGTAACTTGTAATGAATTAGTGACCTTTAGAGGTGAAGATAGGAAGATTTTCTAACTTTATTTCCCCTTGTTTCCATTCTTTATGCTAAGCTAAGCTGAACAGTCTCCATACTGGCTCCTTTAAACTGACAAAATGAAGAAATATTCCTTCAGACGCCCTGTTATTTGGACAACTGACAAACGAGAGTTTTGTTTTCGTTAGTGCGTGTGTCTGTTCTCACTTTGTGTGCTGTTGTGTTTGACTCCTGGAAGGAAGCCTCTCTTAGCTTTTGCTCTTCGACAAGGATATCCCTCAGGTGTTCATTCACCTGGAGAGAGAGAGTGAGAGAGAGAGAGAGAGAGAGAACACACACAGGCAGAGATGAAGGTAAAATTTCAGAAGAGAATTTTGTGCACATTGACAGACTGAATAGTGAGTCTGCAATGGAAAGAGGAGAAACATGAACATTAGAACAAGAGGCTCTACACATCAAAGAAAAACGTTTCAACACCACCTCTGCTCATTAGCCACTGATGCTATCAATATAACCTACAGTACTCAAACTCAATGTAGTCTAATGATAGTATTTTTCCTTCAAAACGTTTTTTACAGTCACTGCTTTTCCGTCTTCAAAGGTTCTGAAAAACATTTTGTCCTGAGGATACACATGGTCAGAAATGCACATGTGCTTTCTTTATGTGTGTCTGTAATTGAATCCTGCACATGTATCTTCCTGCTTTTGGAACGAGAGCGGCAAGCGCATGAGCTTCTTCAGCAAGAAACGTCAGTGAACATTGTATGTTTAATTGACTCATTCATGCCATGCTGGGTCTTGTTTCATTATTTGAAACTAAGCAAAGTGTCTTTTGAGAGAACTGTCTTCCCTTAAAATGTCCTGCAACGTCTGTAAAAATTACTTCAAATGACTAAATAATCTGTAAGGTGATGAACTAAACTAAAGATGCAATCACAGAGACTTAAACACTTCCCTCTTAAAGCTTACAGCAGAGGCTCTTGGTCTGACTTTACCCTCCCAATCCTGCTTTAGCAGACCAGAAGGGGTTAGGGAGAGTCAGTTATCGTTTAGTAATCTCGCTAAGTTGGTGCCAGTTCTTCATATAGCTCTTTTGTAAATATATTAGATTTTGAACCAGGAACAGAGGAATTGAGCGCTGACACACTTTTCACACCTCTCGTGCCTTCTATATCTGGAGAAAAACAAAGTACTGTGTCCGCTGTCACAAAAGGCTCACAGATGTGTACAGTTGCTATCTTCTGAAATGAGAAAGCACGTCCTTGTGGTTTTGTGTGCACACGAGTGTGTGTATGTGTACCTTGTTGATCCAAGTGGTGATTGCATCCTCAGTGTCATAAGGCAGCTCCTGGATGTGTCCATCACTGTGCGAGGGTTCAGCAGAGGAGTACCTGTTGATGCAGGACATCACCCTCTCCACACTCACCATCTCCACGGTATACGCCATCATCAGGGTGTCTATGAGCGCCAGATGGGAACTCTGTAAAGACACACAGCAGCGTTGCAAGGATTGCCTTTTACTCTCTCTTTCCAAAAGCATCAAACTGACAATTAAAGGCCTAACTCTTTATTTCCATAGTGCTTCTCTGTGCTCCTGCACATCACAAAGACTGTGGATCGACAATTTCTGGGTATTTTTGAAGTTGCCAAAATGGTTAAAACAGATTTTTCAGTTTTCATTCAACAAAAAACTGAAATGATAAGTTTAGTTCTCTTGAAAGAAAAAGGATGTAATCCAAAGTATTAACCCTTTGGATACAGCTCCAGAAGGTGTCTGGAACAGCACCTACAAAACAGATATTATGATTTCACAACACTAATTTCATAAATGTCACATGTCCTCTGTCTAAAATGCTTTTCAGCAATCTCGTATGTATCCACCCCACTTTCTTGCAGTTTTGTCAAACCTGCCAAATTCCTTGAAATTGTGTCAGGAACCCGCTTGATGATGCAAATGCAATGAAGTGATGCTGACATCTGCTGCAGCATTACACATTTCAACTAGGAGTTCTGAAAGAAAAATACTAAGCAACTAATAATGATGAAGTAATTTCCAAGTTACTGGTGCAATAGTGGAAAAAAGGTGAGAATTTTCATCTTAAGGATTAGAGTTGGTAAATATGACGCTATATACTGTGAGGCAATATAACTGTGTCTATAGCAAAGATTTTGCCATACAGTGATATCTTTGGGGGACATTTTACGCCTTTTTAAATGAGAGAGTTGACAGTAGAGCGATGACAGGAAATGATGGGGGGGCAATATGCAACATCCAGCTGTAAAAATACATTTAAAAATAAAATAAAATTCACTACTCAAACTGGGGACGATGCATGAATTTAGCTTATGAAAGCACACATTCCCCCATGGTGGCTTTTTATTTTTCAGCCTGCTCCTCACCATCACACTCACTTTGCGCAGTTTCATGTTTGCTGACTTCAGTGCAAGTCCTCTGTGCAATTGTTTGCTATGTAAGCAAGGATCTTGCATGTGCCACGCACATTTGTTAGCTCAATGTGTAGTATGTGATCTACATTACTGTAAATCTATCATGTCTTGGGATGTCAGCTGAGGAAGTTGAGTGGACAGCAGGACGTTTCTGAGATGTCAGTTAAATGGGATCCAATGAACAAGAGGTTTCTCATTATCATTAGTCCAACATCTGAAACCACTTTACACTCTTAAATGTCAATACTACTTTTACAGAGCACACATGACCTAATTTTGAGTCCCTGACTTTATGTGAGTGGTTTTACCAGCCATCAACACCTACACAAAGCTTGACATTCTGTTGGCCTTTCTAATCCCATTCCAGGCCACTCAGACCAACAGACCTCCCCTTCCCTTTCCTGTCACTCCATAGATCTACTCAAAAACATTTAAGCTCTGTGTGTATGTCTGTGCGTCCGACCTAACTGAACAAACACCTAAGGTCGGGTGTTCCATGATCCAGGTGAGTCACACCAACAGACACCTATGAGCAGTGAGACCTTGTCCCACCAGAGTCTGTACTGTCAAGCACAAGCCTCTATTCATAACCACAAGGCCCTCACGTAACTGCCAGTGTGACCAAGTGTTTCCCTAAGAAACAGACAACTGATCCAATGCTATGACTCTGGTCTGCTGCTACTAGAGCACCACATGTTGTTCTGCCAGTCTAAACAGACGCAGCGTGTACAGAAGAAATACACTCCTCATGGAAATAAGTGCTGAGATGCTTAAATAAACTGGACTCAAGTGTCAACTGACGTCAGCATGTGTCATTAACTGGTCTTTTATCATTTAATCTGATTAGATTTGACTAAAAAGGAAAAAACAGCAACAAAAGACAATTGTTTGACAGGAATGTAATATTGCTGTGCAAATGCTCCTCCTTTAACCATTATTTTCATTACTGATTAATCTATTAATTCTTTCTCCAAATAAACATTAATTTTTTTTATAAAATGTCATAAAATAGTAACAGAGGTCATCACAATTTGAGATGATGGAACCAGAGAATTTTTTTTCCTAAACTGAACTCAAAGGAATAATAAATTCACAAATGAGTTAATTTATTTGGGGGAGGGGGGGGAATTAACAATTAAGCAATTAATTTAACTTTTTTATTTTTAATTTAATTAATTAAATTCATAATTTTCAGCTCCAGCCCTGACAGAAATTCCTTAACCAAATAGAGAGATTAACTATAAACTCTTACTGTAAGCTGAACAGTTGTTTATAGACACTGTATAAAGATATATGCTGGTGGACCTACGGTATATATGCTGAATGCTACAGCTGTACTGTATTACATGGGTATACAGGATTGTTTGAATTGGCTCTGAACACAGAGCTGCCACACTGCTGGATCCTGATATTGAATTATCCATGAAACAGTCTGCAGACACTATTTTGAATTCCTGCATCTTCAGGATATTGCCAGATATTTGACATTTCATGCATTCTCCACCAGAGGTACAGTAGCCGGCCTGGCTGACAGCTGGACTGACTGACAGACTGACAGAGAGAGGAAGGGAGAGACAGGCCAAGCAGCTTACACTGGAGCTGCAGGTCCAGAAAACATGATTTTCATGACATCCACTAAGCTTTTTCTGTGATTGAAGCTTTTCTGAGCACATTTGCATAAAACCCTAAATCTTTAATGATGCGGAGAAACTTGTGTAGGTGTGTGCACATGCATCTATGTGTGCCTGTGGGGGTGTATGTGTGTGTTGGGTGGAGAAGCCACTTGAATTTAAATGGTAATGGCAAATCACTTTAATTAGGATTTTTATAAATTTACATCTGCAATCAAATAGCTGCATTCAAAAAACATATTTTGTGGAACGTAAAAGTTTGGCCACCACTTGACAAATTTTTTATATAGTTTCTAAGGAACAGTATGAAAGGTATTAGAGGTGGTCAAAAAAGGAGGAGGAGTATTTGTATGTATTTTTTCTTTTTTCTGAGGGGAGAGTACATTTTTTGAAGAAAAGCGGAGTATTAGTAAAGTAAAGTATTAGTATTATAGTACTACTGTCTAATAGTTACAACAGGTAACGCCCTGTATGTGAGTGTGTGTCAAACCACATGTCCTTAACCGGTGTATTGTTGTTACATTTCTGTGTTGTGCAGAGATTAAACAAACACGTTAACAGTCAACATGTGAAATTAGTGAGCAGTAAAGGTGCTGGTAGGCATATTTTGGATAGAGCCAGGCAAGCTGCTTCTCCCTGTTTCCATTTTGTTTGCTGAGGTAAGTTAGCTCCGTAATTAAAAAAACAGACATGACATGTGGCATTGATCTTCTGATCTAACTCTGTGTGTATTTCCCAAAATGTCAAACTATTCCTTTAATAACATTGAGGAGGGCGTTGCTTTTTAAAAAGTGAAACATGATGTTCAGCCCCTCTCCAGACCCCAATCATTTCATCCAGTCATTAAGTGAAAAATATATTTAATATATTAACTTATTGGGAGAAAACTGGTAGTTCTATGTAAAATCAAACGTTTTGCACCCCCATATCGCATAAATGGCATGATCCTTGTTTTGCTGCGAAGCTTCAATTGTGAGATTCACAGTCAAATCAGGCACATCAAAGCATCGAATCTTCCGACTATTTGGGGTCAGCCCTAACTATTATTATTATAATTTTATTACCGTAAAACTTAAATTACAAGCCCAGTCCCAGTCAGATGCCTGTCCCTTTAACTGGCCTGGTATGGCTACCTGTTTTGACAAATAAACACAGGTCTCAATTAGAAGCCTGGTCTGGTTTTTATTTCAGTTAGTCTCTCTCTCTCTTTCTCTCTGTGCTTGAGGTTGGCCTAGATCAAATGAATGATTCATAATTAATATGTTATCCGATAGTCTAAATTAATAGTAGCCTATTTCCCATCTTTGCTGAACAAGAGTTTTGTGCAGAAGGAATTAAAGGCCTGTCCCAAATATAGGCAGGGTGAGTTCGGTGATTGGAGCAAATAAAAGCACGACTATTAACTGAAGTTTTACAATAATTATATTATTACTATTTAAATATAGACAGATTGAAAGGTCAGAGGACTGAACTACATCTAGGTTTTTCTGTGTCACTGTGTATATGGAGCCGCTGATTACATATCTACAGACTGTTCTCGTATTCACTACTGTTGACACTACAGCATGGGTTTAAAAGCCATGTGCTGTCTATTATCCAGTCACAAAGACCTTTGGCGTATGTGTGTGTGTGTGTGTGTGTGTGTGTGTGTGTGTGTGCGCGCGCGCGCACGCACAGACACAAGTCTAAACCAGTCAAGGTGACAGACACGCCTTATAAGGCTGTGGAAATGGCAGACACTGGTCATAAAGAGCTGTAAAGATCTACAGTGTGGCTACACAAGTGTGTATGCGTGTGTGTGCCGTTGAACAAAGGCATGTATAGGAAAGCAAAATACAGCTGAGCAAACAGATAATCAAAGTAAGCTCTTTCTCCACAAACATCACAAGTGTCCATTCAATGCAGGTACACGCTCCTACATCTGAGCAACACAAATGTTTTTTTATTGTACAACTTTACACCTGCTTGTCTGGTCCTACTGAGGCGTTAGTGTGTACTGACAAACAAACCACCACTAAAAATAATAATATACACTCTCGCTATCTTTCTCACACACATCCAAAAAATCCCACAAATCCTTCAGCAATATTTGTCAGAAAGCTTTTACATGGAGGTACACGCCCCTCTGCAGTAAAATTCAATTACCACTATGGCTCTAGTTCCTAGATCACTTTCTCATTTCAGCGTTTTAACGCTCAGAAGGCAGCGCGTTCGAAGCATGCGCGAGACGGAAAAGAAGTCATTGAGTAAAAGGAAAGTAGAGCTACAAAAAGGACACACTGGACTTGTGCAGACTGCAGGAGTTCTGACACCTCTTTGGAGGTGTGTGTGTGTGTGTGTGTGTGTGTGTGTGAAGAGGGGGTAATTTGGGGGGGGGCTCTCATTTGTGCATCAGACGTGCTTTGACTCACTGCGAGACTCCACCCTCCACAGTGCTGCAGTAATGCACATCACGTCTTCCTCCTTCCTCCTCTCTTCCCATCAACCCCCCTTGCTCCCCATGTACTCCGCTCTTCTCCTCCCCCAACACCCCCCCCTCCCCCTTCCAGATGGCCATATTAACAGTGGACCTTTTCCACTCGTTATCTGGCACACACACTTTGTCCTGCCTGCCAAAAAGGCAATACCTTACCCTTCCTTCCTCTCCTCTCTTCTTTCCTTCCCCTTTCCATTCATCCTCTTGCAGACTTCACATTCACCCCTTCCTCTCTTCTCTCACTCTACTTTCCCCCTGGATCACAGCCAAATGGCAGTACCTAAACTCCATCCCTAGCACCCCCAAAACCAAACCACTCTTTCTCCCTCTATATCAATTCGCCGTCTGACAGACTGACTCGCTCCTCCCCCCCCCGACATGAGTTATTCTTCTGTATTTGGAAAAGCATGAGGTCATCATTTTCTCTGCAGATATACCATAACCCAAAATGAAAAGCCTCTACTTTAGCGTGACTGAAATTATCCTGCTGAGTACACACACACACACACACACACACACACACACACACAGACACACACACGCGCGCAACACACACACACACACACACACACACACACACACACACACACACAGCTCCTCTACTTTGCAGAACCAATGTAACAAATTCATAGGGCTCAGAGGAACAATAAGGATGGACAGATTAACAAATTGACTGGCTGTGTGCTACACAAATGAAGGTCAATAGTCATAGGGAGTCGATGGACTACAGGCTCCATTTGTCTACTTATTGCTGTCACTAAATCTCTCACCATACACACAGAATCACAGACGAAGAGAGAGAGAGATGTTAAGACATACACAGAGACTACACATGCACTTTTATAGGTGTGAATGCACAAGTGTTGCACCTTCATGACATCCTCAATCAATGAGTTATGCAGTCAGCACAATCAACCGTAAACATAAAAATATCCTTCACTGACTTATGAGTTGTAAAAAGGGAGAGCGCAAGCAGAGTAAAATACTGGCTACAACATGCATGAAGGAAAGAATGTGTGGGCACTAGAGGGCTTGATGAAATACCCTTAAGCCTCAATTAAAATTTTCAGGAGATAACAATGTCCCAGTCTCATTTAATCCACAGAAATGACAGTTTGGGTGAGACAGAGGCAGAGGTTAGCACAGGCTAAACAGGACCATGACAGGAAGAGAGAGATGGAGACAGAAGGTGGCAAACTGTGAGATAGACAAGAGAGTCGGGGAAAGAAGCAGAAGACAGAGAGAGTGAGGACAGGATAGAGACGGGGGGGGGGGGGGGGTGCACTGCAATGCAGACACCTTTTGGCGTCAGCAGAAGTGCCTGGTCTCCAACCATGCGTGTGCTAGTCTGGATCGAGCTGCCACAGACTCTCCCTCCTTTCATAACTTAAACACCATAAATTAACGCTTTTTGTGGTTTAGAATCTATTCCACTCCACTCACAGCCAAGGTGATAGTACTATGTTCGACAGCTGAAACAATGAGCTTATTGATTGATTAGTCAATCAACAAGGAATTACAGACAATTGTGATAACTGCTTAAGTTAAGTTGTTTCTCAGGCAACAATGCCCCAAATTAGCTTTTTCCAGCTTCTCAGGTGTGAGAATCTGCTGCTTGTCTCTGTTTCATATAAATGTAAACGGAATATCTTTGGGTTTTGGAGCATTAAAAAGACATTACTCCTTGGCATTTTTGTCTATTTTGTGATATTCTATAGATTAAATGCCTATGCTATAAATAAACATCTAATTGTACGTTGCAGCCTTATTACATTCATCCATCCAGTATTGACAAAATACTAGAACATCTCTTGGTGGTGTGAGCTAAGGCATGTTTGCCCGGTGCTGTCTAATGACACAGAGGCTGAACAGTGAGTAATAGGTTGCTATAGGAAACCCGTCATTAGCGGTTGTTTTCCCTCAACTGGACAGATCTGCAGGACGGTCTAACAGCAGGACATATAGAGCGGCACACACAAACACACTATCATGTAACTCACTTACTGCTAGGGCTGGGCAATAAAACAATAATGATAATTATCGCATTATAATTTTCCTCAATAACAATATAATAAATGTCCAATATAGCATCTATAAATATTTGGTTTGATTAATTTGAATCACAAACAAATTAGCACTTCATTTAAAATAATTATTTTGTTGAGAAAAAGATTTACTAGTCATATTTGTTGAGAAAGATTTTTATCATAATAGTTTTAATTGTTCTACCTCAGATTTGTTAAGTGATCCACTGTGTGGCATCAAGTGTTTGTCAGATTCTGACTAACCATACAATTAACCATCTGGTTTCTTCTATTTACACTCAGGAGCAAAAATCAGCCTTTAAACTCAAAGAAATAATGATTTGACATATATCGTGATAATTATCGATATCGAATGATATGAAATGTTTATATCGTGATAAAATTTTTGGCCATATCGCCCAGCCCTACTTACTGCCCATGAAGGGAAGACACAGCAAAGCACACAGTAAAATCCACTGTTACAGGCCTGAAGAGATTAGTTGATTCATCAATTAGTCTGCTGACAGAAAATAAATCAATTTAAGTCATGTAACAAACATTTGCTGGTTCCAGTAAATGTTATATGTTAGGGATTCGGACTGTTCAAAACCTGAGCATCAATAAGTCAAATCAAGCGGATAAAAGATGGAATATTGGGCTCTAGGAAATTTTAATGGGCAATTTTGCTAGTTTTTGACATTTTATAGATACTTCATTTTTTTCATTTTGATTTTCTTTTTTTTACAGATAAATGCATAAAAAATGCCATCACAGTGAGTGAATATACATTTATCAGAACTGTTGAGGATAACAGACTGAGATCTAAATAAAGTCATCCCATTTCACCATATCTCTGAGGTTATTAACCTATGCATTTATGTGCAGTAATAAAAAATGTATACAGGAAAAGTGCATATGAATAAATGCAAACGTTTAGGTTTGTCCATACACATGAAAAAAGATAAATCGGTCTGAACTGTAAAATGCAAAACCAGCTAAAAATTTGGATGTTTCTATTCACCATGTGTATAGGCGTGTTGGTCAGATCTCTCTCAGTGACCAGTCGGTCCTGGTCAGTGACATACAGGCCTTTCTGGGCCAGGGCCTGGATGACAGCGTTGTGTCCCAGTAAAGGTTTGACAGCATCACTGCGGAGGATCAGGCTCCCCGCCCGACAGTAGAGCTCTGCAGACTGGAGCAAGCAGGCCACCGGAGGCTTCAGGTGCTCCTGGTTGTACTGGTCCCTGTATAAAGGCTCAGCCAGCTCCTCTGGTACTGCATCTGAGGGGAGAGAAAGACAGGATATGGGTTTGGAGCTGAATTTGAGCAACATGCTGAGACGCCACCATCGACAGAGAAGCAAATAGTTACTGCAGGCAGGCAATAAAAATAGCTATGCTATTATTCTTTCTATATTTTACTGCCTTTGTTGCTATGGCTTCACTACGTTGTAGCTCAGAGCCTCGCCCTCCTGGCCACATCCAGATCAAAGCTTGTTGCACATGTACGATCACATACACCCAGAAAAGAACACCACAAAACCTGCACATACACGAAAACATAGAGGAAAGCAAGTTCATCTAAGCCATAAACTCAGTTAGTAGCAAAAGGCACACCAATGCCATGTGTATATCTGCAGGTGCTTATCTTACTGAAGATCTACACAGGGCAACTTGTGAGTACAAGCCGCAGTGTGAGTGTGCGTGTGTGTCAGGCATGCTGCATCCTATATGTGTGTAGGTAGAAGTGGAAGTTACATAGCATGGAGTACATTCTAATCCTGTTACCTCATCCAGTAAATCTGAAAATAGCTGGACACACACACACACACACACACACACTTTCGTCTCTCCTTCTTTCTTCACCAGACTATGTTGTTGTTAACCACATGTTGTGACTCAAAGTTATCCTATACATCCTATGCACCTCTGTCCCATGTGTATCGCTTTAGTCATGCAAAAAAACTTTGTATGGGAATGTGTGTGTGTGTGTGTTTGTGAGTGTTTTATAACATGGCATGCTTCTGTGTGAGTGTGTGTTCCTGGTGTGTGGGGTCATTTCCTCTCTGCCTGCCTGAATCACACTGAAGGAAACAAAGGACACTAAAGGAATCTATCTTAAAGCTACAGCTTTCTGTTACTTAACCCTCCAAAATAACAACAATGTAAAGCAAAAAAAGCTCAACAAAACTAAAATTATATAATGAAAGCTCAGAAAAATAACGTGTGATCAAACCTCAGCAGTTTTGAATGTGTCTGTGGTTAGAGCAGCCACCCCATAACCCCGCGCTGGGTGATGAAAAGATATATTTAAAGCAACAGGCAGATGTTAAACCACCTTAGCATCTACTTTATAACAAGCCCTCCTGTGTCTAGTCACAACTATTAAATACAACTTTTATCCATATTTGTGCAAAGTGATTAAGGTACTTTCGTTAAAAATGGTCAGTTAAAGTACACTCTCTGAAGAGCATTCACTTAGAAGCTGTTCATAAAGATAAAGCTTTCATTTCAGATAATGGCTTGCCTTTACACTTGAAAGTTCTTGAAAGTGTTCACCTTTAAGCTTCGAGGTTAACAAACTCATTTTTTATAACATATATTTTAATAATGAACAGCAGGCTAGTTTTTCCAGAGTTCATGGAAATCTGCCTTGTCAAGTAAAAACCCTCTCCTTTGTGTTTGGCCATCAAAGAGGAAACAGACAGGAAGTAGCTGCCACAGGAAGTCCAGGCACGGAGAAGCCTGCTCCCTAAAGACCCGCGGGATCACAGCTCAGCATACACAACATCACAGTCAGCAGTGTTTATCTCTGCTGCCTAACTGCTCTATGTTAAAAAAAACTTGGTGAACTATGGTAATGAGGTCTAGACTTTTTACAGAGATTAGGTTAGTAGTTAGCTTTGGCTTATATGTTGTTAGTACGTGGTGCTGGCTCACTCTCCCTTTGAAATAGCGCTATCCCAAATTATACAGATTATTGTCACACGATAGACTAGATAATAAAAAATGACTTTCACCCTGCATTTACATTTTTGTTACTTGAGAAACAAGCTGTGAATAGAACACTGACATATTATCACCTTTTTAGCTAGTATGGTGAACTTGTTAGCAAACAGTTGCCAATTTACATATCAAGCAGACATGGAGCAACATCATTATTCATTTAGAGCCCTATTTTTGGCCACCTGATGAATGTAAGTGATATATTCTCTCTCTTTCTGTTTTTGGTCTCTACCAACTCCTGCGGGAAATATCTGGTGCTTTAGCTGCTAAATGCTGCATTATGTTCACCAGCTTGCTGCTAACTGTGTCTGTCTGTATTTTGGTGCTGGGTAGTTAGCGTGAAGTCGGGTTTTTACAACTTTTCTCTTCTGAAAACAGCTGCCTGCTGTGACGAAATACAACTCTATGAGAGCGATGATGACAGTGAACCAAAACAGTAAAGTTACATACTGTAAAACCAAAACAATGAGCTGAAAGAGGCTAAAACTCTGAGGGGAAGTGAGAGCAGGCAGGAATGACTCTTTATGAGGGCAGGCCGCCAAAGCTGCTTCTAGACCACAATGAGGACAGGACACAGGCTAGAGCTCGGACACATGTAGTCACGTAGAAAGAATATTTACTCACACACACACACACACACACACACACACACACACGCACACACACACATATCCAAAGGAAAACACCACCAAGAATAACAAAACATAACAGTCTGGAAGCTGTTCTACTGTATGCAGCTTTTATAAGAATCTAGTGATAATTCTCTGCGGCTGGACTACTTGTCGTACAAGCAAAATCTATCACGTACTCATGTCCATTGTACATATAAAATTATTGAGTATGTTCGCTTTTTCAACATTAAACTAATTTGGAAGATGCTGCTGTCCAAAACGACTTACGACCATTCAGCTCATGAGGACCACATTAGGAGCAATTTTAGTTTTCAGTGTCTTGCTCAGTGACACATATACTGACAGGAGAAGCTACGGATAAAATCAGTAACCTCATGATTAACAGCCAACCCTTTCTACCATATGAGAACAGGATGCCAAGATAGGTTACAAATGATCTCTCATAGCATTTGTCTACTTGATTGTTGGTGGCAAACGTAATCATATACTGGATAACCATTATGTATTTATTTCCTTACACATAAGCTAGCTTCTCATTTCAAAGGACCGTAACACAGAGCAGAAAGACATGAAAATCCCTGCACAGCTGTTAGCTGATCAAGTCCCTTCACTAATGTACTCCATCTGATTTCACTGATTCTGAATTCTGATTTCACTGAAGTTCCCTCATTGCTTTAGATAAAAAAGCAGAATTTATTCCACCATGGATGGATATAATAGGCCTACTCTTGGCTCTCTGTGGTCATTTGTTCTTCAAGTGATGCTGATGGAGCTGAGGAATTGCATTTCCGCAGTTCTGAATGAGCTGAATGAAAGGTTAGTGTTGGTGACCTGTGGTGATGCTGCTTACATCCCTGCTGTTACCTGAGTGATGCAGCCAAGTCAATCCAGAATCAATGTGGTGTCTGTGCTGCAGTTGATAATGGGATAAGGGTGCTCCGACTGATCGGTCACCGATCGTAATCGGACCATAATGGCTTTAACTAGTTTGATCAGTGGTCGTTAAAAAGGCCGATAAGAAAAGCCGATCAGATGATGCAATGCTCACCAGACAAAACAGCTAAAACGTTTCACTACGCGGTCTGAGCGGTTTTCAAAGCTAGCTTTGCACCAAAGTCCTTTTCAGACAGGAAGGGATTGATGCGCCCACTTAATCATTTACAATTAGAGTTGAGCAGCAATCAGACAAGTGGAGCAACAAGCAGGAGCGATCATGTGAAACTGTCGCGGCTGTGCTCAACCACACGCTACCCGCAACCGGAGTTTAATAGACACATCAGGCAGAGAGAGACTGATCCTTCAGTGTAAGTTTACTGATGCCTCTCTTTTTCAGTTTTCATTACAAAACAGACACCTTTTGCTACGTTTCCCCCTCCCGTCCAGCTGCCCCAGTGGGCAAACAGAGGACTTTATAATACGATGACACACACTCACATTTGGCTTTGTGAGTCGGTCTTATCAATCATGCAAAGGAAAAACACGCTACTTACAATTTTAGTTTTGATATTTTTATTAAAAATATATGTAGGCTACTGTGTAAATAACACTTAACAGTTAGCCTACTGTGCATGTTGCTGTATTTACTTTGCGACAACTCCCAGTCTGCTTCTGCCGCCGCCGTCTCTCTGTACTCCCTTGTTACTTTCAGTAACAGTTCCACTTTGTTCGTGGCTGCTTTGGTTTAAGTCTCTAAGACAGATTGAGCGGAATTTGTTGCCCATGTTTCCTGGCAATAAAATAAACAGTTGTCATTTCATGATACTTTATCATCTGGTAACTTTAACACTTACATGACCATAATACATTGTTTTTAGGACCAATTAAATACAGTTTACTGTATAATGCTACATGATAAATACAATGCTCCAAATAGAGCCAGCAATTGGTGATCGGCCAAAGAAATCCTTATCGGAGCAGCTCTATAATAACCCTTTGGTGTAAACCTACCATCAAATGAAATCAATATTCAAAACTGTCTGACAAGGTAATCGCTGGCTGTGATTTACAAAACTTCACCATGTGTCAAAGATCTGACCTCACAATTTAAATTTAAATGTAAATTGACAATGCTATCCCTGCACTGATTGTTAAAATCTTCCTCCAATCAAAAATGTGGTTTGCTTATTGTTTGCTTTTGTATTAATATATTGTGGATTTTTCAATAAGATGGAGTAGATGTAATTTTAATTAATTTCAATTAGGTAATTTAACTTTTTGTGAAAAATCAGGCTGCAATAATTAATCAAAGCAGATTTTTTTTGGTCTTAAAGCATGTGGGGCTCTTTAACAATACTGAACCCATCATGCTAGCACTTAAGCACTGTTCCTATGATGCCAAAATGGAGACACATCAGGGCAAAAGTGTGGAGGCAGTAAAGCTGTGCTCTGACATTTATTACACACCCTCTCACAAAACTCCACATGCACAAATGTCGGTCCACATCTTTACAAAGCATCTTAAAGCCCATTTGGTTTCTTTGGCGTTCTTTTGATTTTATAGTTTCCTCCTTTTATAAACTGTCCTCTTTTTCCCTCCTCTTTCTTCTTATTGTATATCACTTCGTAACTTAGGAACTTATGTTTGAAAAGTGCTATATGAACTATACTGATTACTTCTGTGCTTGCTACTGCACTTTGTGTATATGTGGAGTATTTTTAGCACATACATCTGTCTCTCTGAAGCTTAACTACAAGTTTTCAGCAGGTGAACAGGTTGTTGCATCTGAGCATCACCAGATTCATACCATCGCTCATGCATCCAAACTAGGCCAAACGAGGCTCTGAGGACTGGTTGGTAACGAATTGGGCCACAGTTCTCGGCAGTGCCGGGAGCTGAAACTGTGTCACTAAAGGGATGGGGAAAAAACACGGCGGCAGCGGTATGCTAACAGCCACAGGTCTTGTTGAACTAAGAATGGCTTTCTCACATGCTGCTGTCCTTAACTTTGTATGTCTCCCCCACCATTTCATGCTATCCAAGAGTTTAAAAAAGGGTCATATGCAGCTCTATTCGGCACTCATTGTTGGATCAATGGGTATGATTCAGAGGTCGGTCTTTTGATCTCTCTCTTTCTAGGTTTGTCTGTCCGTGTGGCGGCTCTGAGTACTGTACATGGAGGAGCAGCAGTTAAAGCATCCATTAGGAGCTGGGGTAAACCTCGGGCCTGAGAGCAGGCTGGCATTACTGTTTATGAGGGCAGGCCGCCAGAGCTGCTTTCAGACCACACTCAGGACAGGAGACGGGCCAGAGCACAGACACATGTAGTCACGTATAAAGAATAATTACTGACGCACATGTCCATATGAAAACACCACCACTGTAACAGTCAAGAAAAGCAAAACACAACAGTTGGCTGGCTGCAGTTGTTATATTGTGCTTAGAAAGGAACGACTTTAGTATAGTTGAAATAATTAGTCAGTTATATCATAAACCCTTATTGAATTAAATTCATCTGTTGAAGTCATTTTTCAAGCCAAATACGGAAGAAGCTTCTCTAACACCAGCTTTTTAATTATGAAGATTTGCTGTTTTTATTGTCTTACTATTAAGTAAACTGAATATCTTTCGGTTTTAGACAGTCGGTTGGACAAAACAAGACATTTTAAGAAATCACCTTGATCTTTAGGAAAGTGTGATGGGCATTAATCACTATATTCTGACATTTTATAGAACAAAAAATTGAGCTTTTAAGTCATTTTTCAAGCAGATGCATCAAAGAGGACGTGCTTCTGTTTTGTCTTGTGTGATAGTAAACTGAATATCTCTGGAGTTGGACTGTTGTTTGGTCAAAACAAGACACTTTAAGGCACCACCTCGGGCTTCAGGAAAGTGTGATGAGCATTAATCAACATTTTGATTAAATATTTTAGAACATTTGGATCGCCTGCAAGTAAAAAAAAAACAGAAGGCAGCCATTAGACTTATGAACATCCACAGCACAAGACAAGAGTAAACTGTGTGCATCTCTTGTGTGTACAGAATGACAAATTAATTTCCCCTTTTTGCACTTGTTGACATGATGTGTCTTTGTGGTGTTGCACACTGTTGGCCAGCTACAGATTCACCACTGCCATTAACCTTTAGTCATGCATTTCAACTATTTTCTTACCTTAAAATATTTATTGTTTTCATGCGTGTTAATACATGTGTGAATTGTGTTTTCAAACTCGCTTGCCTCAAATTGCATTGAGTTTTCTGGCTTGTTGGCAGTCCTAAACATTGACCTTAAGTCCCTGCGTCTGTTGATCAGCCATCAAACAGTAAAGGCTGACAGTAGATGTGCAGTCAAGTATCTTAAGCCAAGTCCAGTTGACCTTGATTTTAACCTTCTTTGGATAACTCTGACCTGGATGACTGAGAATCTTCACAGACATCTGTAGTCAGAGTGTTACATAATAGGTTTGGCCTGACTTCTGCAGTGGGGAATAATTAGCATAGGTATGCAACAGGTTAAATCGATGACACGTGTGATGACAAGGGCAGTGATGTAGAGGATTTGACCTATGAACTGCAGGTAAACACTGTAATGTAAACAGAAATGCAATAAGCTTATCATATGGTTATCATCAGTGATATTATTTAGCCAACTATATGGATACAGGAGACCTAGCCTATCTATGTTTGGTGATCATTATGTATTCAACTCAACTTCAGTCCACATTATTACATTATGATAATCTTATCATCAAATCCAATAATCTAATCCAGAGATGAGAACGATTAGGAGGCGCCACCTACCCGAGCCGAAAGCCTTGGCCACAAGCCACGTCAGGCTGCATGATATCTTGGCCCTGGTGAAGTCGTAGTGATCAAAGCTTTTGATGGCAGGGACGATGAAGGTCTGTCTCATCCCCCTGTCATCTGCCGCATCTCCCATGTTTTCTCTCTCCGGATCCCGCTACACTGCAGCAGGAGGATCTGTCAGCCCGAGGAATTCCTTCTGACTGCGGATGACATCCCGTCCAGAGGAATTCAATGCAGCAAAAATTTCCCCTTCTCCAGAAAAAAAAAAAAAAAAAAAACTTTGAGCGTGGCCTTGATTGTTGGAGAGCACGACGAGTTGGACACCAAAAAGGCGCTCCTCTGTTACTTGAGCATCCGTCTTTATGTCCTTATGTTTTAGTGATATCCTTAAACCCTGACAGCGCAACGCAGTTCAGCAGGATTTCTGAAGATTTCCTCCATTCCCTGACATTATTCACCTCAGGATGTCCGACATAACGGAGCAGCTGTGCGCCAGAGGAGGAAAAGCTACAGTCCAGCAGCGGAGGACAGTTTCCCACATTAACCAAAGACGCTGTCTGTGTCCATGTTGTTCTCGCCTTTCTTTTCTAACTGTTTTCCTCTCTCCCTCTATCTCTCCGCGGCGTCTTCTCCTCTGCGCTTTTCCTGCCGCACTGATCGGAGGATAGAATCAGTGCGCACGCGCGATCCACCCACCCAGTCTATTCAATCCCGACACGAGTCACCTCGAGTGTAACACAAACCAAAGGTGGAGTTAGACAGGGTTTCTGACTAAATCCCAGATGTTGTTTCCATGGAGAAACTGATTAAGAAAAACATTTTTTTTTAATTCTTCAAAAAAATATATCTCTGTGACAGTTTGACTGGTGGATTTGCAGACACTGTCTAAAAGCTGCTCATTTTGTAAGAAACAAGAGTCATAAATACACCTAATATTATATCAGCCTATATATCATATCTACTTAATTTGTTTTATTTTCACTAGAAATGTGGAATGATTTAAACGAATATTTAGTATTTTGCATTGTTACTTCCTTTTAGTGTAACCCCCTTCATTACTTAAGATATGATTTATTTGATCATTTCTAATGTGAAAAGTGGATGTGATTGAATATTATATTAGCCTACTTATTATTGTACATTGAGTCAATTAAAAAAAAAGTTAAAGATGCTAAGAAATAGAAAGAAAGCTGATTTTAATTTCATAATCAGAAATACTTTATTGATTATCGAGGGAAAAATCTTTGTTACAAATAGCTCACTTGCATATCAAGGTACACCAAGTATTTGCATTTTGTAAGACTTTAGACTCTTACACCACTAAACTTCTGGGCTGTGGCCCAGTTACTGAATATCAATATCAGATTTTTAAAAATCTGTTTTCTAAGAACACTTGTGTCTCCAAACTGTCAGTGTTTCATAGAAAAACAATCTTGTTTTTGCTTGGTTACAATGATATTTTTTTTAATAATATTTAGAGTCTTGGAAAGGATAAGAGGTGCAACCACTCAGAGAATGGTCTAAAATATGTCATCAGTGGCATACACAGACTCTTAAGATTTGTTTTGTTAACACCTTGAGCATTAGTTCAAGAGTCAGAAATAAAACATTTTGGAGATTGTTTCAACTGCTAGAACTTGATCTGTTTACTGAAAAAGTTACTGTTGTACCAAACGATTTAAACATGCACTTGAACAATATGGAAAATAGAAGAGCAGTGCTTCTGTCTGACACTGCACTACATAAATCATGTGAAGGGCAATGAGGAGCAATTAGGAGCATGTGACAGGACTGCTCCCTAGTGCTTAAAGTGGGTTCATGCAGCTGATGAGAACAGAAAGTATACATCACATATCGGTCAGTAGATGGCAGTCCTTAACTATATATTCATTTCAAAATGCTGCTGATAGACTCTCTTAACAGCCTCCCCTAAAATCATTAAGATGCCACTCAATTGCTCTTTTGACAGTTTTATTGAAATTTCTCTCACCAACAGTTGTAAATACAGTAGAACAAGCTGCAGTAAATACCCTCCCACAGTGACTCTTTCAGCTGTGATAATTTAGTGTTCAGAGAACATGATCATTTTTGGGTTTTTTCTAAACTGTCATTTTAGTTTATTGCCCCTCCTCTCTGTAAATTGAATCATCTGGACCTCCACCCCTATCCACAGCCATCTGAGAATTATTGCCAATCACAATGTAATTAGCATTATTAATGTGAATATTTGGATGTTGTTGTTGCAACCAAGCACCTCCTTCCTGTTGTGGAGGCACACTGTCACCGAAAACATGTGCTTGTTCCATTAAAAGGTTATGGCTCTCTTTCTCCAACAACTGTGCTGTTTTACACTCTGTGATCAACTGCTTTTGGTGCTGGTTTAAACGTTTTAGTCTCTCTCGTCTCTCCATCTGCATTTTCAACTTCCGCTCCTCAGTCCAGATTGTCCTCTGTCTTTTAATCTTTGCTGGAGACAATACCTTTTTGATTTTTCTCTCAAAGTTCTCGTTCTCCTCAAGTGGAACTATTCTCTGCAAAAGCCCAGGGAGGCTGGGCATGCGGTTGTCCCGTGGCAACAGAGGGATGACGGTGTTGTATTTGTGTGCCTTGTTTATGGAGTTGTGAAGGGCAAAGTCTGTCTTCACCTCCAGCATGCGAGTGTTGAAGTTGCGGGTAAGCAGCAGAAAAGTAAAGGCTGAGTTGTTGATAGCATCCTCCACACACACCAGAGTGCTCTTTCCAGGCACCTCAAAGTCCTCAGAGAATGTTGCACCTTCACCATCAATGACCTTTTCCAGTTTTTCTCTCATGCTCTCGGCCATATCTGCATCCTCTGGCGCATGCAAGATAACAAAGGCATAAAATATTGCCTCATCTTCCCCTTCTGCTCCTATACTTTCAGGCATTTCATTTGTAACACGCATCTTGGGTTGAACAATGTTTGTTGCAGTGGGAAGTGCAAATTTTGGTTCAGCGGTTGGTTTGGTGGTTTGGTCTAGAGTCTCATTCTGAGTGATAAGACTAACCAACTTACTGCTCTCAGCGGCTAATGTTTCATCCATCTTTGAGTGTTTCTTTGCTCCTAACAAAAGAGGCTCCTCAGAGGTCTGAGACTTCCCAGGTGTATTTTTTGCTGCACACTCACTCACAGGTATGACAGGGCCGATTAGTTTGGATTTATCTAATGTTTCTGGGGTCATTATTTTGTGCTCTTGAAATGAGGCTGTTGGAGGTATGCTTATCTCGAGATGAGAAGGGTATGAGGGCACTGAGGAGCTCGCCTGCAGTGGGCTGGGCAGACTGTGAGCTCTCTCGGACTGATCCTGGGACAGAGAAACTTTTAAAGTTGTGTTTCCTTCATTCAGGCCACTATGAGGATCATGCCCTGACTTGAGATCCGTGGAGGAGAACATCCACTCTGCAAACTGAGGCCCACAGACCACTTTAGCTTCCTCTCTGAGTTGATCATACTTCAGATCCTCACATTGACTTGTTTTTTGGTTGTCACTGGAAAGGGCTCTTTTATACGCCAGATTTCTCAGGTGCGGATCACACAGCCTCTGTTCTGTCAAAATTTTATAAATGCGAGCCAACACGGCCAAAGATTCTTCTGTTAACTCTTGGAAATGACCACAATGAACGCTAAAATCTTCCAGTTTACCTCCACTCGTCTGCCACTTTTCAGCCAGATACTTAGCAAGGTAGTTGTCCCTCAGCGTCTGGAGTTTGTTCAGGGCCCGCGCCTCTCTCTGGAGAACGATCAGACACAAGGCGTGTATGATATTATCTTCAGGAGACTCGCCCAGCTGGAATGTCAGGCTTAGCAGTCGCTCGGGAGGCGCTTTAACTATTATGTCAAAAACGTCTCTCAGTCCCGTCCCCTGATTTTCTTGTCCCCTGTGACTCATGTTCAGTTGCACTTGCTACTCAACCCCTTCAGCCTATGACAGAAGCCGACAGGATCACACACGCTTTTCCAACATGTTCTTCTTCATTTGAACTTAATTTGTTCAAAAACCTGAGTTGAGGTGCACAATTTCATAGAAAATGTCATATCTGTCAAGAGACAAAAATCAATAAACTTTAGAAGTTATGTAGTCAATATATATGGTCACAACATGATGAGCTTTTTGTAGTTTGACCTCATGTTATAAAGTTGTGTAGTACAAATTAAATTGAATAGATTAAACTTTGCATTTTTGTTCTACAAAGATCAAACTGACAGATAAAAAAAGATTTTCAGACATTAAAACATTAAAAAATTTGATAGCAAATACTCACTGGTATGGAGTTGTACGTGCCAAAACATTACATTTAGTTTGTAAGCCTCCAGCTCAAACAAGGAAGTCACTTTCTCCTTCGGTTCCACCAGTAAAAAACTCTTTCCTTTTAACAGGAAGTTCTTAGTGCACATTTAAGATCGCCGACAGAACACCACTAAACGTGTGAGCCTTGTGAAACTTTTGGTATCAAGTTTATCAGCAACGGTACTTGTCAGTTGGAGGCCTCTTCCAGCTTATTGCACTTTTGTGCATAGTGATGACGATGATGATGATGTCACAGGTTGTGAAGTAAGGGAGCTCTTGAAGGACAAAAGAGAAAAACAGGAAGAAGAGTTCTTGACTATTTAAAACACAGTTCTCCACATTACCAAATAAGTTCCACCAGGTGTTAAAAATACTGTAATGCAAACATTGACAAGAGTTACTGATTACCTCAATAAAACGTACTTTGTGACACTCAACTTTTGTGTGCTTAAATTTCACATAACATTGCAAATCTGCCCCAAAAATAAAGCACTTGAGATGAATGTTGAGTGAGACTTTGGAAGCTCTTCGCGCACAATAGGCGCAGATGAGAGAAGAATTCTGGCTTTTCTCCCTCTGCTGAGAGGCAAGTGTATTTTTATCCACAGAGGAAACCTCCAACCCTGTATTTACCAGGGGTGGGGTCACACCAGGCAGAGTGAAAGCCAACATCAAATCCCTCAATTCAGACAGAGAGCCTCACTGTTCTTAGTGCTGAGTGCTGCGTGATATGTTTACTGTATGACCACTTCTGAGGGATTACAGTGACTCTATAGGAAGTGTGGTGCCCTTACAGAATACAGTATCACCATTAATTTGATATATAGATTACATGCCTCCAAGTTCACTGCCTAACCAGCTAACAGTACACCGAGCTACTAAGGAACTGTCTGAAAATTATCTCAGAAAAGAGGGAAGTCATAAATTTTCTTTTGGCTAATTTTAGCCAACTTATATACGCATATATACGCATATATATGCTTATATATGCATAGCTATATATATAGAAATATCCTTTTGAATCCCTTGTTGAATCTTTTTAGGTAGTTTGTTTTTTGGGGGTTGTGAATACATCTCTTAGTTAAAAGAACATGTTTAGTTTTTATTTCACTCAGTATCATACCTCAACCACAGAGATTCTACTGAGTAGGGCTTTCCTCGCATATTTTGTCACTGCTCTTTGATATTCATTAACCCTGTCGTGACGCATTTTTTCTTTTGCTGCGAGGGAAATCTGTTTGCTCATTGCTGAGCAAAAACAACACAGAGGAAATAATATTAATTCTACTTTATCTTACTTTTGTGGTTTTTGCATGCACAATGCACTGAAAGTTACCTGAAGGCAAAATGGTTGTTGCATTGCTACATGTCACAGAATCCGATGGGTCACAGAATAGTAGATTAATATTTTAGCAAGGGATCTGTTGTGATTGCATTTAGCAGTTTTTCTATTGACTTTGCTGAAGTGTATCCACTTGTCTTAGTTAAGGTGATCCGCCATGTTCAGTCCGTCAGTCTCAACAACTGCGTTGCTCAGTTAGCATGTGTTAACATGTGTTTGTATATGCCAACAGTTTTTGAAGATGTCTGTAGTGTCAGAAAGAGACAAAAGAGATCATATAAGAACAACTGTGAAAGAAAGAACATTTGGTTGCGGAGCTTTGGTATGTTACCAACTTCGAACTGAATCCAAAGTGGAACTGGCTTTCAGGAAACCCATCCCTATTTATGACGGACAATCGGACAGACAACTTGTCTTACACATAAATTGTAACATCAATTGATCTAATATCTAATAACATTTATTATTTTTATTTGAAATCTGGGTGGGGTCAAAACATTATAGCTTGCAGTCCCACGTCGAAGCTGCCATCTATACCCACATCAGTGGCATTAATAATCAGTTATGTATTGGTAACTCTTTATTAAAAAATAGAAAGTTCTTAATTGTGTGGTATCTGTCATGATCTGTTTATTTCCACTTCTAAACTTGTACATTGGCTATATTATTGTTCCAAAATGATAGTGAGGTTTTAATTGGGGCACACGATTAAACAACTTGTTGGAATTTGAGGAGAAGGTTGTTGAAGTGTTGCATTAAGTCAAGTAAAGGGTGCAATGAAAATAGTAATCACACTTGGGAGGGTCTTTCTTTTTCCAAGAAGTGAAACATAAGATTGAGAACAATCCCCACCCTAGTAAGTTCCGTACGGTCCCTAATTAGCCATGATATGCACATGATTTTTTTTATAAACTCCCCCACACCATATGTGCCCTGGTATACATCCCTAACACATACACACATGCAAGCAGATGCACACATGAAAGCTCTTGCACAAAAAAACAACACACACATCTACACAGCCTCAGGATCATCCTCATCTGTCAGTTACATAACGGACTGCCAAACGTCCATCTTTATTGAGGTCAGTTCTTTCAACAAGAGAGACACACTCTCCCAGCAGCTGTGTTAGTCAGCCTGGCAGTATTTTGCCTTCACCTTCAGGCAAAACATATAGAAAGAAGGTCTGTCAGTTTGGCATATCGTGACTTTGTACAGCTTCGGTAATGGTGTTTGGAGCAAATGCTTTCTGACCTGTTTTTTTTTTTTTGGTTGAAATATTACGTTGTTTCAACACAAACACATCCGACTCTCTCTTTACATGCCGTGAACTAAAATACACAGATGTGTGTGTCTGTTTGCTTGTGAGTGTGGTTTCTGGCCGTGGGAGAGAGCCCTGAGGGAGAGACAGAGGGGTCACATATAAGAGGCTTTAGGGCAGACAAGTGAAAAGGAGGCCCTTTCTTGGACAGAGACTACGGATTAGGATGAAAGACGTACGAGTGGGGGATGCTCTCTCTTTTTTATCTGTCTCACACACTTGCTGCATCTCTCTCCCATATTCTGCATCACGCCTATTCAAACTGCGAAAGAAATAAAGAAGAAGATGAAAAGCAAGACACAGAGGAAAACACAGAGAGGGGAATGTAAAGCCAGATAGATGAGATAGTGAGACAGGGGCGGAGCAAAATACCATCTGAGACCCTGACAGATCGATAGCCTCTTTAGAATTCAGTTTGTGAGAGACAGAGAGAGGCCATGCAACACGCTGCTCTTTTTCCCAGCCACTTGATTCGTCACACATGCTAAGAGAATTTAACACACCCGCTTCTGGCAGGCAAATATATGCTCCACACACATGTACATGTGAAGACATACACAGATACAAGGCCATGTACTCATTCAATCGAGCGTCCACCCCCACAGTTCGGCCTCTTTTGAAACACTGAATGAAACACCTGCGGTACAACCACTTTTGCACTCAGCAGAGAAGTTTTGCATTCTGTACAGTTTTGTTGAGAAAACACAAAGCAGCATTTAACTTTAAAATCTCATGCGACAGTGCATTTTGTTCAGATAAGATGGAAGTTATATATGGATGGTTGCAGCTTTGGGTAGCCTATATACATTGAGTCCAACTCAGTCCATGCGTGTGCGGTGCATCAAAGCAAAAATAACCCTGGCTATCACATACTGAGGCTGGATTATGCTGTTGACAAAGCGAGCCAACAGATCTGAGTTAATGTGACAGATAACTAGCATTAATTCAGGAGCAAAGGTAAATGAAGCAGGCCTGCGGACACAACAAGGGAGTGCAGTGTAGATGGGAAGACGTGTGTACTGTACCACACTGGTCCATGCTTGGGTGAGCATGTAGGCCATGCCAACAACAATGCATAATACAGCCTCCGGTGATGGGGGATGCATATGCACACACACAACACCCCCACCTCACCTCATATACGCACACACACACCCACCCACACGCACACACACATAGACATATACCCGCACAAAGACACACACAGATACTCACACGCATGCACAGACATTGACGGTGATGGGGCATGGAGCAGTTTATGCTCATATCAAGAGAAAGTCTTTGATCAGTGTGACAGGAAGGGCACTCGCCCCAAAGGAATTAGCTAACTCTTGCCTTGCAAAAGCACATCCACAATGAATCAGGCATGTTTGCATTTGCCACAGAGGGGCGAGAATGTCTGATATTTAACTTAATTAGTATGCTAAATGTATGAATATTATTTGTTCCAGTTCAGTTCAGTTACATGTCCAAGAGTGGCATGATAACCATAGAGAGAAGAATATGCAGAAATTCAGGTTGCATGTATCCATCCATCCATCGTCAACCGCTTATCCTGCGTACAGGGTCGTGGGGGGCTGGAGCCAATCCCAGCTTACAGTGGGCAAAAGGCAGGGTACACCCTGGACAGGTCGCCAGTGGTTGCATGTATAATCCTCTCAATTTAATAGGCAGTTAAACTGCACAATGAATTACCAAATTACCATATGGATTTTAAATGAGCACAACCAGTTTTATTTCTCTTGTAAAAAATATTAAAATTAGATAGTGTTTCTGACGTTTTGAGGACTGTATAACAGATTTCTGCCATTGGAGTGCTTTATCACAAATACAGTTTTACATTTAATATGTACTTAATATTGTATATTTATAATGTATCCCCTTCTTGTAATTGTATGACATTTTTTGAAACATGTTTTTTTGGCTTTCTTGTCAAAAGTTAGATGAAAAAACTGATACCACTCCCATCTGTCAGTTAAATATAAGACTACAGCTAGCAACTAGTTAACATAACAGACCTAACAAGACGGAGACATGGGGGAAACTTATATAGTGACTGATCAGGCCATTCTGACACAAAGGGAGTAGACAAACACATAATATATAAACAAACCACAATAACTACAAAATATGTTAAGCCAATGCTACCTAATATGAACTAATGGTAAATCAATCAAATAATTATAACAACAAAAGCAGAACTAGCACGCTATGGGAAAACATGGTGCAGTCCAATTATCCATTCCCCTACTTAAACACTTTAGATGCAGTTGGAAGCCCTTCTGTCAGCTAGCCAGAGACTCCCAGTAGCAACTCCCCAGTAACTGGTATCTCAAAACAAAAGGTATTAATTTCACAGAATATAACTTCAGTTAAACAAAGATAATGAGCCTGAAATTAGCAGAATTGACAAAGTTAACTAAATGTGTGCAACCAAATAGAGACCTAATGTCAAATAACTAATAAAACTGCTTTTAAAGCTAAAATCTGTGTCCAATTATTTATTTTGTAACCTATGTAATGTGCTCAAAACAAATGAAAGAGTTACCACTGTGAGTTGTTGCTTGCATGTGTGGCTGCTAGTGCAGCCATCACAACAGGAAAACACCTAGCCTGGCTCTGTAGTCCGAGACATAATCTCCTGAAAAACCACAACTTGTCAACTTGATGATAGAATTGTTCAAACTGTAAAGTCCTTTAAAACAAATCTGTGATTCTGGGCTATATAGACTACAGTGAATGGATGAGGAGAAAAGAAGTGGCAGAACAAGAGCATAAGAGGAGCAGAGAGGAATTAAACCAGCATTGTATAAAAAAAAATGAACAGAACTAAAAGAATAAATGGACCCAATCTGGCTGCACTTGGCATTAGAATAGCTGCCCGTCCAAAAGCCAATGTTACTTTTGTCCGTCTCCAGACCCTGCGGATGCTCCGCTTGTATAGCAGATGCACATAACCAAAGGATGTGAGGCATGAAAGCAATGGGAAATTCATTACATATTCCTACCCCCCTCCGTTTACCATAATCACCACAATTAGCAGACATCTGCAGTGACTCCAAAGCTGGGAATGTATTCAGGCAATCAGAGCAGCTTCACCGACAGCACTGACTGCAGCCCCCTCTGTGATGGGCCTCATCCTGAAGGGAAGCATTCCATTAGAAACTCAGTGATTAATTGAGATGGAGAATTTGCTCCTGGCATCAAGCAAGAATGAAACCCAACAGGGGGGCATCCATGATGGCAGAGTTGTATGCAGGGTTGGTGGAGGTGGTCCGGAGTTGCCTGAGACTGTGCCATACTGTTGATGATGTGAGATAAGGCACTCACACTGTGGTTTGCAATTAGCTGTATGAGAACAGTCACCAGACAACAGCTATATGAAGATGTTCTGACCCATCAAGTAAACAAAACCTGTGTGTGTCTAATGATTATCCAGATTTTATAGCTATTTACAATACGTTTGGATGGGGGGTGATGGTAGGGAGGGAGGGTTATGTCTATTACTAATATCCCCTGCTCTGTTTTAGAAGCTCTTGATATCTGGATTTCCAAATTACCCAAGCACCATTGCCCTGTATGTTGGACATGTGCACATTACTTTACCTTTCAGATAAATGTACGTCATGTAACTGCTGAAACTTTAAAGGAATAGTCTGACATTTTGGAAAATACTTTTATTCTCTTTCCTGCTGAGAGTTAGATGAAGATCGATCCCACTTTCATGTATAGCCAGCAGCAGCCAATTACCTTAGTGTATCATAATGGCTGGAAAGGGGAGGTAAGTGTAAAAACTACATGTTGTGGTTTTATGGAGGGTTGTGAGCTGGATTATTTCTAGGCTTCCAAAAAACCAAATTGTTTTCATGTTTTTACACCTCAGTTTTGTATGGATTAACCAAACATGCCCAGGTGCTGGTGGGTGGATTTACCGTACAGACTTAAGAGCTGTCTAACTCTCAGCAAGAAAGTGAATAAACATTTCCTAAAATGTCAAAGTATTCCACTAAAACATTTCTGACTGGATAATTCTCTAAAGTGTTGACTGGCCTACTGTATGTACTCCATCTGTAGAGGATGACAGCCTGTTAGACAGCTCATTACTGAAGCAGTTGGAGATGTCACTCTCACTAGGCACAGTATGGCACAACCATGGTTTTAAGCCTCTGCTTAATACGTTGTCATGGAAATCAACAGAAGCACATCGGACTATTACCATTTGTGTTGAGTCCAGGGCTGGCTCCTGTCTGAATCACACACACATATGGACACATCGCACATCAGTCTAGCTTAAGCAGGCATGGCTCAAAACCTCACACATGCGGTACACATTTCATTTAGGCTACTTATTGTGTGACTTTTGTGGTAAAACTCTTAAAATGTATATCTGTTACATGTGAAAATTTGGCCTTTGTCTAGGCTCAAAAACTGACACTGATAGAAAAGTTTGTTTTCATGTTGAACTGCAGGATCTGCAGATTCATTCCATACCCGACGTTATGATCCACTAAAGTTAGGCACTTTACAAGATGAATAAATCCTCAAGACTGTTTTTCACATTCTAATGCAGTTTTTAGCCTGGTGTTATAAATGCTAGCATGTGATTAATAAATAGATCCTCTGTATTATTCCAGAGATGAGAGGTGCACTGAAGAATAAACCACACCAGCCATAGTTTTTTTTTTTTAACCCAGCCCAAAAGTAGTTTTTATTTATGGCTTATAACAAAAAGTGTTGATAAATGAATTAAAAACCATCCAAAAGTTACAATTTATACATCCATTTTAAGGGCTGCCTTATCAGAAAGTTGTGCCAAAATCTTTAAACCCACTGAGAACAATATGGGAAATGTGAATTGCAAACATGATAGCACTCACACACAAACTCCCACATGGTTAGATTTGTGAAAGAGCTGTGATTGAAGCTGCAGCTAAATTAAGAGGAAAGAGAGATTAGAAGCTTATAGGAAATTAAGCCAAGGCTGTTGCTCTCATTTTGATGTTTGAAATTAGACTGAATACTGAATAAATCTAGGTGCTATACTTCTGAGAGCATCATTCCCACCAGTTATGCAAATGAGCCTTCACATTCACACAATAATCAGATGATGTGCCGCTTTGTTGAGATTTGAGCATGCTATTTTATCGGTTTAACGGAGACAAGAGCAGAGCGTCTCCCAAAAATGAGCTAATTTGTGGTCGACGGCTTCTTGACTGTCGTAAAAATTGTAGAGTCACAATGAAATGGGCGTGATCATCCACTTGGTGTTTCCTTCCTTGCAGTCCAAGGGTCTGGGCCTAATAAAGGCCTGTGTGGTGCACCACAGACTGCCTTTCTGCTGTGTGGAGAAATGTGTTCAATCACCATGGCTACCGGTCAGTGAAGATCCCCCGCTGTGGTTATTAGGATTTCTCTGTCTGCTCACACACTGGCTCAGTATTCAGGTTAACAACTCACAATCTGTATTATGGATGTGAATCTGTGTGTGTTCGGGAGGCCTGTAGGTCAACTGGGATTTATTGTAATTAACCCTCTACAGAAGTACTGGTGGAGTTTTTAATTCAAAGCATCATCACTTGAGTATGCCTAAAGTGGACTGCCCTAGACTCCGTGGCCTCCCAACAGTAGCACTGATGTGCGAAGGGGAACATGAGAAAGCTTTGAGCAGTATTGATTCAGCCGAGTACTCTCAGAGCGAGTACCAGAGGATCTGAAGAGAGAATTATCCATGCACCATTTCCTCCCCTACTCCTCTGTGGAAAATTCTGCAGCTCCAGCTTTCTCGTAGCCTGCACACAGCAGAACACACACAGGGCCCCATACACATATTACACAAAGAGACACACACACACACACACACACACACAGACTTTCTTGAGGTTTGATGTTGATTTATTTATAGTTGTTCCCTTCCATCTGGTTAGTCCAGCATATTTTATTTTTGTCCAATTTGAATTTTAAAATAGAACAAACATAGAAAGAAAAAAGCTAAAAAAGAGAAATATACTGCTGTAATAGTGGAAATTTGAGGGGTTTCTCTATGTCATATTGTTTTTTCCTGTAGGAAATTGCCATTGTGGGTTTATTACAATGATCCCAAAGCCTATATTAAGCACTCTGAGGTCATCATAAGCATTAATAGCTACTGCAGACCCTCCTGGGTTAACGTAAATGCTCCTCCAATTTGACTGTTAGTCCATGTGAAGAGATTATTGGAAACCATTAACTGCGGTGGATAAATCCACCAATGAAAATCTGAATTTCTGAGACATAGGGCATTGTCTGCATATGCCGCTTTGCTCTGAGTATCCTCCTCCTCTCCCCACCCGGTTTCTCCTGAATAATACACGACAGCCCCCTCCTCGTTCGCCCCGCCGCCCAATGGCTGACGCGTATTTTATCAAGCTATCTCCTCTGAGCCAATCCCGGTCCTCCCGGTGATCCCTGTAAACCGGATGCCCTCCCTCTTGCCTCTCAAACAGACGTAATCTGTGGATCAGGGAGGCAGACGCTCATTCGGTGAGGAGTTGGACTCGGACCGAAGTGATGAGAGTGAAAATACCTACTGTGGCAGACTTGAAGATATCGCATCAGTCCACCTCGCAGGACAGTGAATCCTGCTGTTTTACAAGCAGGGGGTGAAGGAAATGTTGTAAGTATGCCATCATGTAAAATGCATTAACTATAGCTTAACCTTAAAATAGGGACGCCGCGTTTTGCTAAATCCAGTACAAATTGTGCAAACTGATGATTTAGTTAGGAAATTATGTTTCTTTAATAGAAGTAGATATTCTAGCATGAATGTGAAACTGTGACATTATGTGATGGGGTTTGGGTTGGCGCTCAGCACTAATAAAGGCGGCTTCTCGTGTCCAAATCCAGCGCATGGGAAACATACCAGCGGAGAGAAAAAGCGTGTCTTTCGTCGGTCATTTCATAAGGGCATACATGTGACTCGAGGAAAAACGTGATTTGCGATTGGTCTGTGTAGCCTTTTTACGCACATTTCAACTTTTAATGATATGCCAGACGCATCGACTGTAGCCTACACCAGTGCGCAGACAAATGTTATTTCCGTTGCTTGGGAAGTTCTAACGGTATGTTCAAACAGCCAGTGTAGCCCAAAGGAATCCTGGTAGGAGCCTCCCAAACAATATAAGTTTGATTCATTTCACTCAGCAGACAGTCTCGTCTTTCTACTGGGCATGAAAGTCGGCGAACACTGATAAATGGTGGCTATTATTTTCAGCTGAACAACGCGCACCGGCTTTGTGTGGACCATCTGTCATTGTATTGACATACAGCAGCCCTCCTGCCCCCAAAGAATCCGAGCGAGACACCTGAAGAGCAGAAAACAGACAGCGGATCGTTCAGAGCCGCCACCCGTCTCTCACAAAGCCGTGACTCATGCTGTGATCTGTCTGTGTGGATGGGTGAGTAACGTAGCCAGAAAATAAATAGGCATTGGAACAAAAGTGGTGCAGTTCAAATATTGTAGGCATATGTGTCGTGGAGAGGTGCAACACAACGTACTGCGTGCGTGTATGTTTTATTTTTCAAAGATTCAAGAATTGGAATAGTGCAGACTACAGGCATGGCTTTGCGCATCTTGAATTCTCGGAAACAGTCTTTGCGCATCTGACTTCCTCCCGGAATTTGGGCCTCCTGCACATGGCAAAAACAACCAGACTGCCATTTTCAGGGTGGACACTCTGAGAGGATGCACAATGACCAGATAAACGCACTTCATCAGGAGCGTTACATACTCAGTTTAGGGGGCGCGATGGCCTAATGTGTAACTCAGTTAGTGACCCTCCAGGCAGTTTAATGCAGCTGAGACAGGCTTTCTTTAAGGAGACCGTGGAACCTGCAGTTCTTGGCTCAGCGTGCAGTGCCAAGCACTAATATGCCTTAAGGTTAATGAGGCAGTCTCCATAAATCCTTCTGCCATTTGGATATAGTAGCTCTAGATGCTTATTGCAGCACTACATTTTACTGGCTATGGATTGTACACAGCATGCTTTAATGAAAAAAACTAAATACAAAAAACATTTACCTAATGCTTGCAGGCAATTAACTGCTTGTGCTTACATTTCTTATACATTGTCCAGTAGAGAAAGCAAAGTCTGTGTCATGGTATATAGAGAGATGCCCAGTCAGTGAGTAGTACAGATAGGTGCTGATGTGCTGTGATAGCCTCACTTCCGTCCCTCTCAGGGCTGAGTTACACATAATTCACTTTAGCTTTGTCCCTCATGAAGAGAAAAAGCAGCAGCCCCCTGCTCCCTCACAGCAAAGAGTGGAGAATATCTAAGTGCATATCTCTTGTAGGGCTTTTAATTCAGTTTAGAGTTGCTCTCAGATAGTTATCAGGGCAGGCTGAGTGAATGGAGCAAAGCCACTGTCTTCCTGCTGGTGTTATGTGGGCACAGAGGTGGTTGGATGTTGGCTTATCTCATCTCCTGCTGGAACTATGATCATCATTCCTGTGTAGCTCATTATCACACGTGATGAGTTTCATCAACAGCACCCTGCAATTATGTCGAGAAGCAACCTGCTATCACAGTGGAGAGGCTCCCAGCCTAAGATCACGATAGGTCCTCACATAGTTAGACATGATCTCTTTCTCAACAGAATGCATAGAGCAATTCAAATAAAAATATTATGTTCTTATAGTTTATGTCAGTCAGTGAAAGTGTTATTTTGTTAGCATCAGGGAGTCCCGTCTCACTTCTCCCACCATCACATGACTCCCAGCAGACACCCAGTTCTTTCCCTACTGCCATCAAACAGCGAGCACACAAACGAGGAGGAAGAAAAATGCTTCCACACATGCTTCCGCCTCGTTCCTTTCAGTCATTAAAATACAATATGCAAGCTTTTTGATTCATTATTTCTGAGTCATCAGACATAAAAGGCACAGATGCCCAGTGGATAATGACCTAAATTCACAGAAGAGTCAGACCTAGTGCACGTGTCGCTTTTCAGACTTTATTGTAGGCCTACGTATTTTACAGCAGCCGTTTGCCACATTCACTTGTCACTGTGTTCATGCATTGCAGGTAAATTTAGTTAAGCGTTGAATGAGTTCATAGCAGCAGGAACCGGCGCCCATATGTGTGTGTTTGTGCTTCTCTGTGTGTGCAGTGTTGGGTAAATGGAAAGGTTAGGTAATGCACCCTGCCTCAAGCATCGCAACTTACTGCCTATCTAGATGAGTGGATGACCTCTCACCTCATGTCTAGCCAAAAGGCTCAAGTCTGATCGGGTCAAGCCAGGTGGCTTTCAAGAGCCTGTTGGCCTGTCCAGGAGCAAATGACACTTGAACTCTTTCCACTTCAGGACCAAACAAGTTCTTTTTGTCAATTAAGAAACTCTTACGACTTGTGTTTGACTGTGTGAAGATGTGTGCGTGTGTGTTTGGGTGTGTGTAACAGGTAAAGCTGTGGATTAGAAATCACAGATTAAGAGGTTAAACTCAGAACATCTGTTGAAATAATTAGATTTTTAGCCCACCTCTATGCTTAATAAAGTCAGACATCTGTCCAAACAGTTTTTACCTTTTATCCCGAAGTTGACACTAAGATTTTGAAACATCCTAGGTATGAGAAATAAAAGATATTCCACTGAGTTGTCAAAGACTTCGCTCTCAGCTCATTCATGAGATGTTACAGCTGTTGTGTGGCCGCTTTAATCATGAAGTATAGTCGCTGTAAGACAAAACATTGCATTAGCCCCGATCTTGTCACCGCTGAGAGAAACAGCCTGTCTCAATTCTGGCACAACATGCTCTCTGTTGTATCGCCGTGCAAGAAACTCCCCATGGAAATTTTGGAATCTTTCCCATTGTTCCTAAAGGAAAGGGGGCTTTCATATGGAAGTGGGGAACGCCAGGAAATGACAGGCATTCTTTGTGGACTATTTGAAAATAAACTTGAGGGTTCTCGCTTCCTTCTCGACAGCTAAGCAAAAACTTGAAATAAGAAGAGAGGATTATGGTCTTAACAATCCCTCACTGGCATTTTCACTTTCTTAACGTTTCCTGCTGCAATTTGTCCTGAAAGTATATTTTCTTATTCAGCGCACTGGAGACATGCCATCAGAGTTTTAGCTAAAGAGCTTTTGTCAAAGGCTTTTGACTCTCTTCTCTACAGTTTCTTGAATGGGTGCATTCTTATTTTCCTCCTTATTTGTCCTTATTTTGCCTTATCTTTCCCCGTGGCTTTAAACACAACCCCGCTGCTTGAGCTCTGCTTTATGAGGCGTGACAGTGAGGTCTGGTTGCCGAGGCAGGCCGTGTGGACTGGAACGTAAAGCTTTACATTCAGGCAGCTGCGGTTGGGCTTGGGGAAGACTTAAACTCACTTCACCCCTATAGAATACCTCGTATACAGGACCAGCGTTCATTCTGCTGAGCTGGCATGAAAGTTTAAAATTGGAAGGAGAAAGAAAGAAAAAGAAAATGTTAGACCTGCCTTCCTTAACCTCAGGGTTCTTAATTGCACACATGCAGTTGCTACCTTTTAAAAAGGAAGAAAGTGGAACACTGACTGAAAACTAAAAGAAAAGTAAAAACAGGTGGTCATGATTTACGTTTCTAAAATCATGTAACGTTTTTTTTCTTCAGTGTCAACAAGTCTAACATCTTTTTTTCAAGTGTAGTTTGGTACCAGGTGTTCATAGTTCTCTGCAGCTTTGTACCACTTCCCCCTCCTTCCCTTTGAGTTTTAATAACAGGCTTTATTTAACAGGCTCTTCTGTCTTAGCTGGTCAGTCTCGCCGTACCTCAGATTAACACTCACACCTTATCCCCCCTCCTCTCTTTCGGTCTCTCTTCCTTCTACTCCTCCTCCTTCTTGTTGTTTTTCCCACCAGGCCAGTGGTAGTTCCCAGGTATTCGACCAGTGTAGCCATCCGTAGCCGGGAGGCTGGCTGTTCTGTCCTCTTTGAGACAAAGGCAGCGTGCCTCAAGGAGAGGGATGAAAGGAAACGGGGCTGTGCAGCCACTCCTTTTTACAATGGGAAACCTCCTTAGTTAGGTTGTAGAGCCAATAACCACCTTCTCTCTTCCTTTTTTTTAACAAGCACTGAGACTATGAGAGTGTGTTTCTCTCTTTTTCTTGTAGGAAGAGCAGTGCTGTATACGTATAGATGTGAGCAAAGAGGAATGGGTATTCTTCATATCTGCATACAATGTTTTGGGCTTTCTGTCCCTTACACCTGCTTAGTGTGAGCTGGCAGATGGTGCTTCTCTTGTTAAAGATGTTTCCTGTATTAAGGTTTGTTTTTGTTGTGGTTTAAACTGTCAAAAGAGGCTTAGAAAGGAGGGAGAGAAGAATATAGGGAATCTTTTTTTTAATAATGAGCAGTCCAGTTTCAACAACTAGGACAAATTTTTCTGTGTCAGTGATAAAATATTTTTTTATAATAGTGGCAATAGTACAATTTTAATCCTTCATATTAAAAATAGTAAAGTAATTTTATATTAGCAGTAAAATATAGCTTTAAGTAAAACATTCCTATGTGATTCGGCTGGTAGTGGGTCTAATTGTTGAATAAATACATCTATTGTTGGAGAATTTAACACATGTACCATATTTTATGAGCTTATTGTGTAACAAAGTCAAATATTTTCTGCTGAAAAGGACAATTATAAAACAACACCAGATGAAAATTAGTGTAAATCTAAAATCTATTCATACTAGAATAAAGGTACTTTTGTTACTTAACATCTCTAGTTTTCAGACACAGGGTTAGTATTCAGTGACGCAGTTGTGTGGCAGTCGTTAACAATATTTTGTCACATAATTACTTGTGTACAGAAGAGTTGAATTACATACATACACTTAAATGTTCTGTGTCTCTGCTGCATATCTCTGTCTGCTCTATAACCCGCTGGCGCTCAGTCTTGTGTTATCATCTCGGGTGGTAGTCAGTGGGAGGGAGTGGAAGCCGCAGGAGTCTTTTATGGCTCCAGCTCCAGAGACAACCTGTTCTCAGGCACTTCTCTTCTGGCACTTTTTATGACATCATAAATTCCTCCATTTCCTCTGACCAGCCCTAGGTGGGTATAAAGGACATACCTGGCCAGTAATTGTCTGTCTGGCCCTCTCATCTGTCAGTCTCCTTCTACTGCTGGTGACTTCCTCCAGAGCCAGACTCTCATACTGCCTGAAGATACTCAGATCTCTTAGATCTGGATGATGGACCAATAAACTGAAACACAATTCCATGAGTGATAGGGCAAAGAAGGTTTACTTTAGCTTTTTACTGCATCTTTGTTGGTCATTTAGGTCAGTGAGGAGAGTCAGCCTGGCACCCACGTTACCAGCCTCTCTGCGTGCATGTGCTCTTCAGACCGACAACAACAGCACACTCTCAGACCTGTTACCTTTTTGTTTGGATGAAGAGCAGAAAAAAAGGATTAGGGGAAGATAGAGGAGCTTTTTGGGGGGAAAAGAGGAAAAGGGGAGGCCTTCAGGAACATTCAGCGTTCACATTCATCTGATGCTCGGCTGGGGCTCCTCAGGGAGGCTGGAACAATACATGCACCAGCACGACAACATTCCTTGGGGTTAAAAAGGTCAAGGGTCATCCATGACCCCGCCCTGCCACTCAGTCCCAAGGCACTAACTCTGTGCCTTTGTTTTTGGTTTATGTCTTCGCACTTGTTGAACAGACCCTGCACCTTGTGTTACAATGTGCCCTTTGCTCTCTAATAGACTAGACTGACGTGGAGCACTTTCATTGTTTTATAATGTTTGTTAAGTCGGATCTGGCTCAGGTACTGATAGTTTAAATGTACAATGTCGGGTTTGTAAGGAAGTAGATTATATATTTTTTTCTTTCATTGTATCATTTAAAGAGAAATAAAAATTCTGCTACACAGGGCAAGAACATAAGTTTGCTAGAAGCTGCAAAAACACTATACTTTTTTAAATTTATGTTTGCAGCCTGTGTCACATATAATATCCCAGTCAGATTTTTGGCAATATGCAAGAAAATGAACCATCATAAAGCAGCATAACTGTAATTACCCATATTTTTTATTTAAATCGCCACTTTAAATAATCAACCCACATGGGTCAAATATTAGGCTGAGGGCACTGTTGGTCCTCTAAGTCATATTTTTTCTCCCTTGTGAAAAGCCCGGCTGACCACAGCGCACTTCAAGTAAAGTTTGAATGTTGCCATTAAAGTGGAGCGTATCCATGTGTAGGCATTGAGTGGCGTGTGAGGCCCCTACAGGCAGACTGCAGGTCTGTTAGTCATTACCAGTGAATGTACAGTATACACTGGAGTGGACATGCAGCTACATTAAAGCCTCGCCCACGGCCACATCAGACCACCCCAGAGACACACCACTGGCACTTCCTCCTTCCGCCCCTGCCTCTCAGCCTTGGGGGAACAGCGTTTGGGATTTCCGGAGGATGCACTGGACATTAATCGTCTGTTGATTAGGAAACTTTCAAGCAAAAATCAGACTAACTGTCAATTTAGATAATAGATGGTCAGATTCCCAGAAAAAGGGGTGTTTCTGTACGATGCAAAAATCATCATCTCCATTCAATTTCTTTGCTGTTTTGTGCTAATATAATCGCTTTTGTCAGGTGTTCCTGATGCTGACTTGTGACTCCATGAAGATCATATCCATCAGGTACACTGCACATCATCATTAAAAAATCTTTTTCTATTACTGAATATTCACCATGTGTCACATTCTTTTGTCCTCTTTCTTGGTGGAATGGCATCACAGAAAGATGACTACTATAGACATCCCGAATTTGATCCTGCACACTAAATCGGCTTACGGTAGAGGAAGGAGACATCGCTCTCTATTAGCCCGCATTTAGAAATGAAAGCCTATCTGGCTGCAACTGTGGAGGAGCTCCGAAGATGGGGATGTTTATTGTCAGGGGCAAATAGAGGCCTTTTAATTTTGTCTAGCAACTGACGCCTCTCGCCGCCCACTCCTCCAAAAACCACCTTTGTCAGTAATGTAGAGTGGCCTGCTCAGGCTAGAGCGAGTGACCATGAGAGTTTCATAGCAGGAAAAAAAAAGTTTGTCGTTGATAGGCTCGGGGAGGAAAGGTCCGGCTGTTTGCCATGTGATGTAATTATCTGCTATTTCAAAAGATTATCTCCCAGTAGTAAATAAATGTAAATGTAAAAAATTTAATTGTGTGTGTGTGTCTGCGTGATTTGATCTCTGGTTTGCACCCCCGGTGTAATGTTGAGACTCTGTGGCCTGTAGTTTGGCCCCCCATTTAAGCTGGGTTAGCTATGATCTCCCCCCTTCTAACCCCAATCTCTCCCCCCTCTGTGAAATACACACACACGCATACACACACACACACACACACACACACACACACACACACACACACACACACATATATACAGAGTGTTTCAACACAAAAGAAATATTCAGCTGTAGAGAGGGGGGTCCCTCAGAGGGTGCGACATTGAACTGGGGGGGATTAAGAAAAAATGGATGGTTGACATTGGGGTTGCCATGGCAAAGCCCCCTTTTCTCCTCTCCCTCGATCCTTCGCCTATTTTTCATTTTAGGTCTCATAGTGGGGTGAGGTGTAAGTGTGTGTGTGTGTGTGTGTGTGTGTGAGACTGTGATGGAGCTGGGAAGATGTAATATGGCTTATGAATTTTGTCTCTTATCTGAGCTGGTCCGCTTCACCCTGAGAGAAAAGAGACTTCTGGTTCACATGCTGCAGTTCAGACCACAGGAAAAAAAGCTCTAAAAACTCCTTTTTAATTATGCAGGCAGTTTAGTGTTTTATGATATTTAGTAAAAATTATATTACATTATTTGACTACCTACTAGCTAACATTTCTTTTTATACGATCATACAAATGAATTTGTATGTTTTTGCATATTCATAATAGAAAGCATGCCGTGAAAGAATGCAGAGGCAATCATTCTACTCACAGAGGCCCAGCCTACTCACAGGACAAAAACCAAATTGTCTGTTTTATGACCGTCTGAATTACATCTGCAATAACGTGATGCATTACTCAACTATTGTAGCCAGTGTGTTATCATGCTAGCCTGACGTCGGCCTCCCACGGCAGAGTAATGGATGCAGGTCTAGCCTGCTGAATGACATCAGCGCCCCAAGCCGATGAAACGGTGGCAATGAATGACCATAGATCAGGGTTTACCATCCTTACGTCAGTCCCTAGTCCGTGCAGCAGCGCAGTGACACTGTTGTTCCCCAGCTATGGCTTGCTTCTGACAATGGGAGCTCTCAGGCTGTGGCTGGGGTATCAAAAGCTTGCCTGCACAGTAGGACATCGCAGCATTGTTCTCTTGACTAGATGTTCATAAGAACCGTGGAACGCTCAAAGATATTTCTCTAATATTGTTCTGAGAAATGGTAAACCACAGAGAGTTTTTTTAAAGGATATATTTTATTCATTTATCACACTTTTATATAATCTCTTTCTTGTAAAACTGACTGAAGGGTCAGTTCACCCAAATTACAAAAACATTTTCTCTATTGTTGTGTTATCTATCCATGCAAACAGATTAGGTTTCATTCATCCATTTGTCTTCCTTCACCCCAAAACAATGGAGGTGACTGATTTTTTGTCTAAGTTGATCATTGCATTGAAAAATGGCATTTAAAGTCCCTGTGGAAACTGTTTTGTGGAAAATTTAGAGTAGCTGGGACTTTGTGTCTGGAAAGACACATTTCTGTTGGACATTTTAAATGTTATTTCTTAATGCTGTGACCATAACTGGTTAACAGCATAAATCTCAGATAGGTAAAAAAAATATCTGAAAACCTGCTCAAAGGAAGCCAAAATTAAAGCTGCATGGCTAGATGCTACAGAAATAAATAGAGAAAATGTGTTTTTGTAATTTTAAGTGAATTGACCCTTTAAAGACAAAAATACTCTGCAATAGCCGTGCTAACAACTTCCTCTTCGTCTGTGTTTCAGATGCTGTTACGACCAATTTTGAGCTGGAGATGAAAGGACTTCAAGTTCCTCTGATTAATGAGGAGGTGGTAATGCAACAAAGCAGATTGTCTCAGTTTATGTTCCAGCTTAAAAGCACCACATAATCATGTATAATAAAACCAGAGCCATCTTAACCTTTGGACAGTTGACTCAGTCTGCCACTGTCCTGCGTCATTATGTCCCTGCACTGTGCGACCTGACCTCTGTGGTTTGAGCGACGTCCTCAGCTCTGTCCCTGCCTCCCGCTTGTCTGACTTGTCTGTCCTCCCTCCTCTACGCCCTGCACGTGTCTGTCAGCTCGGCTCACGCTCACGCGCCGCTGTCCTGCTTGCCTCGGTGAACATTCAACGCTGTCGGTGAGTTTGGTATGGATCACATAAAAACCATCGACCGTTGACTGTGCCCCGTGGCTTGCTCCGACGACGTCAGGAAAGAGCAGAAACGAACAAAAGGGCAAGTGGGCACATGCTAATCCAGAGATGAAGACATACAGATGCATAAAAGTTAAACTCTGTTTCCACTGTGCCCAAAGACCAAAGGTCACAATCAACATTCATTGCTGTCGCTGGGTTGGACTGTGTAGAAAAGCTCACTGAACAATGAGTGCAACTGTGGCCCAGATCTGCCTGACTCATGTCTCAGCCAATCAGCCGACCGGATGTGAAGCACTCTGATTTCTTTATTTATATACTTCTTGTTTTTCACTTCTATTTTCTCCACTCTTCCTCCCTCCCCGGTGCTGGGAGTCTTCAGGGGAGAGAGAGAGAGAGACACAAATAGACTTCTGGCTGCTTGCTTGTCCTCATCCTCCTCTTTTCTCCTCTAATTGGTGGTTATGTGTGCAGCAAGGGGAAGGAAGCGGAGTGAATGTGTAATCATTTGGAGTCTCTTCTCCTTTAGATGTTTCATCCCTCTCTTTTTTGTTCGTCTAATTATATACTGAGCTCGGTTAACTCTGTGTTCACTGTGCGTCCGTGCTGGGAAGAATGAAGGAGTGACAGAGAGAGGGAGGACAAGGTGAAACAAAAAAGTAGAAAGATTATAGCACCAGCAAAATGATGATCCTGTTTTTAGCATATTTTGTATAATATAATAATCTTCCTGGTGTTGCTGCAAATGTGCCCGGATATAAGCAATTTCCAAATGCAGAAAGATTGTTTTCACCTTTCTGACTGAGCACATCTCATTATTTGTGTTTGAGTTTCATGAGACTGTCTGGTTTCCTGCCTGACTCTGTGCGTGTGTGTGTGTGTGTGCGTGCATGCGTGCGTGCACGTATGCCATGACAGAGGACCTGTCTGGTGATCTCAGAGTGCAATATGTTATTTTCTTTCTATACTAAAGCAGTCAGCTCCCTCATTGGAAAACACAGTCTATAACCTTGTCTTCCTTCAGACAGTCTGGGACCGGCCACGCTGCTGCCATTTCTCATTGCGCCCTTCTGTTACAACTCTTTGATCTGTGTCTTTTATCTGTAATTCACGGCATGTAAACACACAGCTCACACAGTTCATATATATGTAGGAATGTGCTTCATGAAGTGCTGATGTTTGCTGAGTTAATTAATTAAATAAAGTTCAATTAGACTGCATCAGTGTCTGATGTGATTATTTACGGTGTGAATTATGCTAACTCATTTTCAGTCAAGTTCCAACTCCTTCTTTCCGTAGTCTCTATTACTCTTTAATAACAGTATGCACTCATTGTCGTTAAGTAACCAAACCCCATGTCTATGTCCCCCTCTCCCCAGTCTCTCTGTATTATTCATAGAAAAGCACTCTGTACATTGGTGCAGAACAGTGGAGGTGATGTAATAGTGGCTGCGAGCGTGGCTCCAGACTCATTTGGGACGGATTCATGCGACAGGAGAAAACCCTCGTTTGTCTGTCGGTTCAGCTTTGTTGGTGTTGCCAACAGCTACAGCTGAGGGCCATTAGCCATAAAGTAAGTCTACAATAAAATTTAAAATTTTCAGAAAAAAAACACCCAGAAATCCACACATGACGAGCTCTGCTGTGCAAATGTTAAGGTGGTGAAAGAGAAGGAAATAGTGGGATCTAGCACTGAACATTATCATGCTGTGTGATAACACATTTAAAAGCACTGAAACAGCAAAACTTGAGAACTTCTTATACGTGATACTACTGCCATCTAGTGTTTTTTTTTTACATGACTGTACAAGCGGCCCATTCCTTTCTGTAATTATTGTGGAAATGAGTGAGAACAAATCACTGTAATTAGGTTATTTATTATCACATTATAACCTATTTTTGTGTATAATTTCAATGCATTCTGCATCTACAATATTTGCTTCTGTTCCTGCTTTTTATTATCATATCTGTTGTAACAGTTCAACACTTTCAGAATCCCCTTTATTGGCCAAATTTGTGTACACATTAAAGGAATGTGACTCACAGACAACACAGAAATAGACATACAGTGGAGACCAATGACAACAGAGCTAAACATTCAATTTCAATTTCAATTTTATTTATTTTATTTTTTTAACATCAACTTTTTACTAGTATGTACATACAAGTAGGTGAAAAAATATAATATTAAAAAAACAAAACAATGAACAACAACATACAATGTCGACAAGTCAAACTGTTCCTGTAAAGTGCAAACAAGAATACAATAGTGCAATGTTGCTGAGTACAAAGGGCGCTGGAATAAATATTCAATGGTTAATGTAATAGGTTACTTTATATAGATATGGAAGTAGGTGGATATCACAGTGTATGCATACATTGTGGTTAGATTTAAATGTGTCAGTGATGAAATGTACATGTATATTTATCATTTTTACCGTACAGTAAATTGGATTTTTAGTGTTACAGGGTTATTGCTCAGGGATTGTTTCTAACATTATGTGACTGATGTTAGCTGTTCATCAGAGTGATGGCCTGTGGAAAGAAACTGTTTTTCTCTTGTGATAGGCAGGCTTTTGGCCTAGTAAGGCCAGGGTCGGTTGAAGCCTCTCAGTGAAGCTCAAGCCCCAGTCTCTCCAGAAGCAGGCACACACTTGTGCGTCCTTAAGAGTTGATTTATAGGGAACACTTAGGGATCTCTCTGTTGGCATTGTGTTCCAGTGTGGCTAGAGAGCAGGTATGTCTTTTAGAAGTCATGTGTCAAGGCTAACAATGTTTTAATTTTTGTGAACATGTTTTAATTTGTTTTCATCAAAGGCATTTT